TCTTCCAAAGATCTCAGGAGACCAAAAAAAAAGGTCTACTGCCCCCCCTTTCCCCCTGGAAACCTGCCACACACTAAGGGGGATTGCTGCATTTGCAAAAATTTGTTGCATAGCTCTTGGGATCTCGCCAACAATTGTCTGCAGCTTCCTGTCTCAGCAGGCTGGAGAGCTTATTGCAGACAATTCAACAGCGAGTTAGCCTACCTTACTTTTATGGGTGAATTGTGCAAGAATATTGAAACGGTGGCAAGTTCATAGGAAGCTTGGCCCATGGAGGAAGCCCCCCATTCCAAGCAAGAAAATAAAATCTGGGTTCAGCTACTTTAGGGAGCTTGCAAACCTTTCGGGGCGGAAAAACACGTTTAGACTGAGCACACTGTTTTTCTGTAGAATTCGCTGAAATTTCAAGAGAGCCAAGGTGGGCTGAGGTATCATAAGACAGATCCACATTGTAAGAAGAGTTTGCTGGATCAGACCACCATCTAGTCCAGCATTCTGCAGTCACAGTGGCCAACCAGATGCCCCCAAGGGGAAACCCTCAAGCAGAACTAGGCCCTCGCTCCTCCTGTGGCTTCCAGCAACTGGTATTCAAAAGCACTGCTGCCTCCAACTGTGGATAGCTCTCATGGCCAGTAACCATTGACAGCCCTCCCCTCCATGAATTTGTTTCATCCTCTTTTAAAGCCATCCAAGTTGGTGGCCCTCCCTGCTTCCTGTGGCTGAGAGTTCCATAGTATAACCAACATTCAGCTTAATCAGATGTCCACGAGTTCTTCCAGTTATTCGTGTTTACTATCCTGATTTTATGGTCCGGAGCTCTGATCTCTGAGTGACCAGGGGGTCCAGTTTTTTTCAGAGGACAGCCTACTTTTTGAATGGAGGTCTTGTCCAAGAACATCTGGATCAGGCCAGAGGCCCACCTAGTCCAGAATCCTGTTCTTATAACGTCCAATCCTTTCCCAATCCCAGCAGAAAAAGTGCAGTTAGGAGAAGCATCGAGGGAGTTTGGAGAACCGCCTCCTAAAGGGCACACCCTGCCCTCCCGTTTCCTCCCACGCGCGTTTTTGTTCCGCCGAGGGATAGATAGGTTTTTGCTGTCGCCTTTGGCGCCGCGCCTTCGTTGATTGACTGGGAGCTCTCGTTGCTGCGTTTTCATTCATTCGTTCCTTCGGCGCTTGCTGCCGGCTGCGCGTTCATTGATGCGTTCTTCCATTCATTCATGGAGCGGGAGGCCGCGTGGGCGGAGCGGCCCGGCTCCCCAAGTTACCAGCAGCAAAAGCGAGGCAGCCCCAGGGTAGGCAGTGGAGGTTTGGTTTGGCTGTCGGAAGTAAAGGTCTCCGATTAGTGCGGTGTTTCCCGTCGCCAAATATTTTGGGGCCTCGTAGGAATTCCTCCTCCCCCGTTTAAAAGGTCCATATCGGTCTGGGGCCTGAGAGGGTTTTCTTTCCGGCTGGGGCCAGAGAGATTCAGGTAGGCAGGTTCTTAAATGAACGGTAGAGGCAGCTGGGAGGGGGTGGAATTAAGAAGAACACAGTGTATGCCTTCAAAGTTCTGCCCATCATGGTTGTGAGGTTTGGGGGTTGGGATAATAGAGTGGACAAGAGTTTGTCTTTTTAAAATATACTGTGTGTATATATATATATATATATATATATATTACAATCATTTTAACATTTCGAAACTCGACTTCCTTCCCCCTCTTTCTGCGGTTTCCTTAAATTTATTTTTTATATATTCTACATATTCCAAATTAACTTAAGCATTTATTCATCTACTTTAAATGTATATGTTTATAAAACTGCAGGTTATTACAATAATCCTTCCAATGTTCTTACCTGTTTACAATTTGTTTGCAGATATTCAATAAATCATTTCCATTCTTTTATTAAAAGTTTGTTATCTTGATTTCCGGGAAGTTTCACCATTTCTGCAAAGTTGTTGTATCCATTCTTCCTTCGGTGGGACTACTTCTTTCAATTTTTGGACAAATAACATTCTTGCCGCTGGAGTCGCATACATGAATAAATTTCTATAGTTTGGGTAGTTCTGCCCCTGTAATTCCCAAAAGGAAAGCTTCTGGGTTGTTGTTTTTTACAAATGTTATTTTAAACATCCTTTTTCATTCCTAATATATCATTTCCCAGTAAGCTTTAACCTTACTACAACACCACATGTGATAAAAAGAACCTTCTTTCTCAAGTTCCTCTTGAGGCCTGTCTGACTTTCCCCTCCAAAGCTGTGTGGCTGAAAGGTTGCTGAGGTGGGCAGGTATCCTTTGCACACTCTAAGTTTTAGCTAGGAGCAGGAGGCCCCCCTGCTTCCCTTTGCTAAGGGTACAGTAAAGGGTAAAGGTAAAGGGGACCCCTGACCATTAGGTTCAGTCGTGGCCGACTCTGGGGTTGCGGCGCTTATCTCGCTTTATTGGCCGAGGGAGCCGGCGTACCGCTTCTGGGTCATGTGGCCAGCATGACTGAGCCACTTCTGGCGAACCAGAGCAGCACACGGAAATGGTACTTATTTATCTACTTGCACTTTGATGTGCTTTCGAACTGCTAGGTTGGCAGGAGCAGGGACTGAGCAACAGGAGCTCACCCTGTCGTGGGGATTCGAAATGCCAACCTTCTTATCAGCAAGTCCTAGGCTCTGTGGTTTAACCCATAGCGCCACCCGCGTCCCCTGCTAAGGGGGCAGGCCCAAAAGAGCTGAGAAAATGCTCCAGTGTCATTTCAGATTAATACACCCAACCTCCCTATTTCAGTGGGAGGAAGTTTAGTAGTTAGTGGTTTTAGTCAGCTGCAGATCTTTTAAGCATTCATCAATAAAGGTTTTATCTATTTGAAACCCAAACCAGTATCTTGTCTTCTTCTTCTTCTTCTTCTTCTTCTTCTTCTTCTTCTTCTTCTTCTTCAATTTGTATACTACCCTTCATCCGAAGGTTGCAGGAAAGTTTATAATACTAAAAATACAAAAATACATACCACCGTGCTTTTTCTTCTAGGTACAGTGAAAGCTTGGGTTGTGAACGTGATCCGTGCTGGAGGCACGTTCACAACCCGCAGCGTTCACAACCTGCAACCCACGCGTCTGTGCAATTCGGCGCTTCTGCGCATGCGCAAAACACGATTTAGCACTTCTGCGCATGCGCAACCGCCGAAACTCGGAAGTAACGCTTTCCGGTACTTCCGGGTTTCGGCGCATCCGTAACCTGAAAAAACGCAACCCGAAGCGTCTGTAACTCGAGGTATGACTGTATAGAAATAAATATACTCTTGTCACTAGAGGGAGCTAAATCCAAACATTGTTGCTGTATCATTTCACAGGGCTCGTCATCCCGGCTCCGAAACAGTCTGAAGGGTTGAAAATGTGCACTTGGAAGGACACACGTGGCTACGACACACACGTCCATCTGCAAATAGTCACAGAAATTGCTCGCCTTGGCTCTTTATCTCATAATTGCTTCCATGGCGACGAAGCTGCCAATTGCATTATGTCCAGAATTGGCTTATGGAAAGCCTGCTGCGGTCCGTTGCCAGCTTGCTAGCCGGGTGAGAGTTTTCACAGGTCCAAGATTCATTACAGTAGGGGCAAGACCTTTCGCAAAAGATATATTCACCGTATGTCCTAGAAGGGTGCACTGTGTGTGTTGCATTTGGGGGTGGCTGTAAGCAGTGGTGGTTGGTGCCACTTAGGACTGGTGGACCAGAAATTGGGGGGACAGACGAACAGTAGGTGGTAACCAGAGCCAATGATGTGCATATAGTGAGGCGGTGCACATAGTTAGACTGCGAACCTTGCTCCCACAGGGGGCCATGATCGCCACCAACTTGGATGGCTTTAAAAGAGAATCGGACAAATTCAGGAAGGAGCGGGCCATTGCTACTCTTGGGAAGACAGGCGAACTAATGCCAGTGTACTGGAAGAAGCAAAGATCACCAGTGTTGAAGCGATGATTCTTCAACATCAACTTTGTTGGACTGGTCATGTTATTTGGATGCCTGATTATCGTCTTCCAAAGCAACTACGGTACTCTATTCCAAACTTAAAAATGGAAAGCGTAATGCTGGTGGTCAACAAAAGAGGTTTAAAGACTCTCTCAAGGCAAATCTTAAAAAATGTAGTATAAACACCGACAGCTGGGAAACACTGAACTGCAAGCGCTCCAATTGGAGAACAGCCTTTACTAAAGATGCCATGGGCTTTGAAGACGTTCAAAGTCAGGATGAAAGGGAGAAATGCGCTAAGAGGAAGGCACACTTGGCAAACCCTCACTGTGGTCAACTCCCATCCAGAAACCTATGTCCCCACTGTGGAAGAACGTGCGGATCCAGAATTGGCCTCCACAGTCACTTATGGGCTCACTGTTAAAACAGTAGCGATGCTGAGTTGCCCACCGTCTTGAGTTTTCTATCCCAAATGGGAAATGGGAAACAGAGCAGAACAAAAAACAGCTACACAAAGTGGACAGTCCTCTCCACTGCTAAGCCTCCTCTTCTTCAGGGGCTGGCTCATTCACAAGAATGAAGGAGCAGCTGCAGACACATTCATTCATTCATTGCATTTTTATGCTACTTACCGGTAATCATTAGCAGATCTAAGCAGTTTGCATAAAGATAAACCACATAGAGAATAAAACAATAAAAATTAACCACAAAACCTGAACATTAACTTAAAATGCCTGATAGATTAAAGTTTGGGCACCCCTGTAAGGGAATTAAGAGGTTATTTTTCTTATAACAATACTAGTCCTCTGGAAGGGCAGTGTGCATTATTAACATCCCTTGTAGACCGTCCTTCTAGAGGGCTGGCAGCCAGGTGTGAAACCTTTATTATTATTATTATTATTATCTTAATAACCATTATTGAAGGCTCTTTGGGGCAGGGCCCTGCCCTTGCCCGTTATGCCTGCCGCCTTGTGCGGGGAAGGAAGGAAACAGGGAGAGAAAGAACCTCTCGCTAACCAAAAGAACCCTCAGCCGGGCAAAATCCGAGAAGCCGGGCGGATGAAGCCGGCGCCTCTCTTTTTCTCTTCCCCCGCCCTCCTTCCGGTTCGTCCCTCCTCCCGCCCCGGCAGTGCTTTTGCGTGGCGTTTTCTTGCCCCCCCCCCTCATCCCTGGCTGCTCCTCCCGCTCCTTCTCCTCCCGCCGTCACTTCCGCTGGGGCCGGAGCCAAGAGAGGGCGAAGCGGCTGCAGCCGGAGAGGAGCTCAGCGCCAGCGGCCCCGGAGGTAGGCAGGGAGGGCCCGCCGGGGCTGCCTGCTCAACGAGCCCCCGAGCGACCCCACTACCCCTGAAGGGTTAAATGCTTGCGTTGCTCTAGGGGAGCGAGGGGGTGTCAGAGCCCCTTTGCCCCCACTGCTTGTGGGGAGGAGGGTCATGGGAGAGAGACCCTGCCAGCTTGCTTACCTTACTTATGGGGCAGGGAGGGCTGTAGGGAGCCCGCTTTGCCCGCCCCTTGGGGAGGGAAGTCTATGAAAGACCCCCCCCCACCTCCTTGCCTGGCTGTACTTGGAGGTTGGAGGGCAGATATCCCTACCCCACCTCGCCTGCTTATGGGGAGGAGGGTCGTGTAGGAGGGTCGTGCTTGCTCAGCTATGGGGTGGGCAGGTTGTAAGAAGCTCTCTCTCTCTGCCCTCCCTTGGGGGCCCGTGACAGACTGCCTGCCTGGGGGGCAATAGGGGATATCCACTCCCCCACCCATCGGTCTGTCCGGTTATGTGGGGTGAGGTGGGGCAGTAGGAGACCTGTCCATCTGCCCTTGAGGAGGGGGGTCCGTCTGCCTGCCTCTCTTACCTATCCGTACATAATCTTCAGGCTAGAGGAGATTGCTCCCCCCCCACCCCACGTCTGCCTGCTTATGGGGAGAGGGGCTATTAGGAGACCTTCCTCCTTGCTTGCTGTCTACCCCTTGGAGGGGTCTGTAAGAAACACCTCCCTCCCCGCCGCCGCCGCCCTCTCAGTCTGTTCTTGGAGATTAAGGAATATAGGAGATTACTCCCCTGCTGCCACCTGCCTGATGGCCTGCCTGCTTATGGGGAGGGGAGCAACAGGAGACCCTGCCTGTCCATCTGCCCTTGAGGAGGGGACTGTAAGAGACACCCCCCCCCCCCAAATTCTTGTCTCTATGCATTGGGGGCAACAGGGATAGACCTTTACTTGCCTGTCTATATTATATCTATGGGGAGGGGGCAGTAGGAAGCCTGGCCTGCCCCTCAATGGGGAAGGGGCTGTAAAAGACACTGTGCCCGTGTTTGTGCATGGAGGTGGGGAGCCGACCTCCTTATGGGAAAGGAGGAGAATAGGAGATTGGCTGCCCTGCCAAGGGGGTCCCCACTTCCTAAGTGTTATCTGGAGAGCCCCATTGCACAACTCTTTGCTCCCCCCCCCCATGCCCTCACAGTCCAGGTCAGGTCTTAAACTCCCCCTCCCCAGACACCCGTGAAAGCCTTTTAATAGTGATGGGTCAATTGTCCTACCTCTTGTTTGTGTGTATGTTTCTGTGAGCTTTACAATATTAAGTTTTTTGGGGGTGGGGAGTGTGATTTGGGCTCTGGTCCAACCACTGCATCTGTTTCTAATCACTGGCTTGTGCTTCTTTTCAAAAAAGGCTACAAGCCAGTGATCCCTGAGCGTGCACAAAGTGTATTTGATTAAGAGAAAATGGGTGTCATGATTTTGGAAGATATTACCAGTCTCCAGTCAAGGCTTGAGTCTTGTTTTCTTTTCCCTAGAAATACCTTAGTTGCTGGGAATGGCCTGGCTTGGTCAGTTGGGCAACAAATTACCAACAGGCTAGTGTGTTTTTCTGGTCTTACAGCGCAAAGGTCAATAGGCTCACTCCTCAACCTCTGACATGTTCCTGGGTCAGGGGCTCTGCTTCTTTTTAAAACATCCAAGGTTGTGTAATGCATTTGTGTTGTGGCAGCATTTTGTGTGTGTGGGAGGGGGAATCTAGGCCCTTTAGATTTCACTGGGTTACAGCTCCCATGGTCTCTGACCATTGACCATTCTGGCCTAGGCTGATGGGAGTCCAGTAAAGGTAAAGCGACCCCTGACCATTAGGTCCAGTCGTGGACGACTCTGGGGTTGGGGCGCTCATCTCGTTTTATTGGCTGAGGGAGCCGGCGTACAGCTTCCGGGTCATGTGGCCAGCATGACTTCTGGCGAACCAGAGCAGCACACGGAAACGCCGTTTACCTTCCCACCAGAGCGGTACCTATTTATCTACTTGCACTTAGACGTGCTTTCAAACTGCTAGGTGGGCGGGAGCAGGGACTGAACAACGGGAGCTCACCCCATCGCGGGGATTCGAACCGCCAACCTTCTGATCGGCAAATCCTAGGCTCTGTGGTTTAACTGACAGCACCACCCGCGCCCCAGGAGTCCAGTAGTACCTGGCAATTTACTACCCCTTTAAAGGGGTAACTGCACACATAGTGTATGTGTGTGTTTTAGGGGGAAAACACTATTGACTATTAAGAGCACACGTAGAATTGCAGAGTTGAGAGGAACTCCAAGGGTCATCCAACCCCCTGCAATGCAGGAATCACAGCACATAAGAGACAATCCATGAACTGGAACATAAGAATGTCCCTTTTTTTTCTTTTTGTACGCTCAGCTGAGCTATGATTGGTGCCATGCAGTTGTCTATCAAGCACACCCTTGGTGGTATAGGAAAATAGGAAGCTGCCTTATTGGTCAGACCTTTGGTCCAACTAGCTCAGTATTGCCAACACTGACAGGCAGTGGCTGTCCAGAGTTTTAGGTGGGGTCTTTCCCCCAGCCCTACCTGGAGATGCCAGGAGTTGAACCTGCATTCAAAGCAGATGCTCTTCCCAGTCCTGGCCTTTTGTGATGTAACGTGTTCAGTGCTGTAAAGAATATAGAGGCAGGGAAGTTCCTGGTGCAAATCTCACCTCTGTCGTTTGCTAGAGATTGTAGCTCTATGGGAGCTCTCAGCAACCTTAACAAACTACAGTTCCCAGGATTCTTTCTGGGGGGAGGAAGCCACGACTTTTAAAGTGGCGTTGGAGTGCTTTAGGTCATTGTCATGGTACTTCCAAGTGGTCGCTAGATCTTCCTGCTGCTGCCTTTAATTGGATGTGTGTGGATGGACACTCACTTGGTTCGGTTGCTGCAATAAGTAAGAATCACATTGAAATGAACAGGCAGCTAAGTTTTCCTGGATTTGCCCCACCCCAACCATTTCCCCTTAAGCCACAAGTAACTAACTTGAGAATATGTAGGTGAGCAGGCAAACAAGGTAAAGAGTTGTGGACTAAACTTACAGCACTGTTTTCTCCCTGAGATCTGGTTTTCTCTCTCTCTCTTTTGTTTGAACCATTGTGCTTGATTTTCTTGTTCTTTCATCCCAGTCCTTTTATAGGTGTGAGGGTAATAATGCATGCCTGTTAGGCAAATTCTTCACCTTAACACTCTAAATAGTCATTCCCCCAACCTGGAGCCCTCCGGATGTTTTTAGACTACAACTTCCATCATCCACAGACAGAATGTGCTTGTTGTAGATGATGGGTGTGGTAAAGGTAAAGGGACCCCTGACCGTTAAGTCCAGTCGCGGATGACTCTGGGGTTGCAGTGCTCATCTTGCTTTATTGGCTGAGGGAGCAGGCATATAGCCTCCGGGTCATGTGGCCAGTATGACTAAGCTGCTTCTGTTGAACCAGAGCAGCACACGGAAATGCTGTTTGCCTTCCCGCTGGAGTGGTACCTATTTATCTACTTTGACGTGCTTTCGAACTGCTAGATTGGCAGGAGCTGGGACTGAGCAACGGGAGCTCCGTCACAGGGATTCGAGCCACCGACCTTCTGACCTGCAAGCCCAGGGCTCAGTGGTTTAGACCACAGCACTACCAGCATCCCTGATGGGTGTTGTAGTCCCAAACAATTGAAGGGCCTCAGGTTGGGAGAAGGTTGTTTTAAACATTGTCGAGGAACGCGTGTTGCAGTCCTTTGTGTGTCTGCTCAAAGTTACTCAAAGGGAATCATTGAGCTATATATTATGCGGCTGTTCATCTTAGTCCTGTGTTCGCAAAAAGCAGTTCCGTGGAAGAAATCCCTCTGCTTCGTATCGCGTGTTTAATGTCAATTCTTGCCTGTTTTGGGGATTGTTGGTCTCTAAGCCTGTAGTTCTAGCTAGCGGACTTTCAACTCCCTCACACAGGTAGTGGGGAGTTGTTTAAGAATTTGCTGCAAAGGCAACTGACCTGTAGGGTGAACTCTGCTTATTTGTGTTTTTAGGAATTGCAAGCCACTGATAACTCTCTGCCCCCCTTCATCTTTGTAACAGCCCAGTTGTGTGAGATCTGCTTAACAAATTATTTGGTTATCTCCCTCTGTTTCTGAACTTCCCTGGTCTGTGCCGTTGTTCACATAACACAAATGACGCATTCCTTGTTGAAGAGGGAAGTATTGGCAGGCTTGAATCCCAAGTTTTGAAAAAGCAAATTACTTTTTTAAAAAAGAAAACGGGCTAGGAGAAGCCCCCCAAAGGGGGTAAATGCAGACTGTTACATAGACTCTCCCTTGTAAACAAACAAAAAATCAGCCTGCAGGTGGAAAACTGGCCTGCTGCGCTAGATTTCTACTTGCAAGGAATTCCTCCTCCACATAGCAAGAACTTCAAAAAATGTGATTCTCCACCTCCAGTTTGGGAAGTGGCATAGTCTGCTGTGGCATCTTGGGCCTCTACCACCTGATGTTTCTGCTTGCCTAGGCCAGCTCTGAAGAACATCGAGGGAAAGCTACTTTTTGGTTTCCCAACACCCTGAGTTGCTGCTTTGCAGCTGGGCTTGCAGATGACTCAAGGGAGATGCTTGCCTATTTTCAGGCTTCGAGGAAAGCTGCTTCCTCTGGAGGTTCTCCTTTCTCTGACTTCTCTGTTCCCTTCCTCGTAATTACAAAACAACCTCTGCCTCGTGACTCGCTGTTCTCCCAGCACTAAACTTAGATAAAAACATTAAGCCAGCCCTTGCCAACCTGACACCCTCCAGATGTTTTTGGGCTGCGATGCCCATCAAACCCAGCCAGCGTGGGGCTGATGAGAGTTGCAGTCCCAAACTTCTGGAGCCTACCATTTTGTGAATTCTCATGTTGTTGTTTAGTCGTTTCATCGTGTCCGACTCTTCGTGACCCCATGGACCAGAGCACGCCAGGCACTCCAGTCTTCCACTGCCTCCCGCAGTGTGGTCAAACTCATGCTGGTAGCTTCGAGAACACTGTCCAACCATCTCGTCCTCTGTCGTCCCCTTCTCCTTGGGCCCTCCATCTTTCCCAACATCAGGGTCTTTTCCAGGGAGTCTTCTCTTCTCATGAGGTGGCCAAAGTATTGGAGCCTCAGCTTCAGGATCTGTCCTTCCAGTGAGCACTGAGGGCTGATTTCCTTCAGAATGGATAGGGTTGATCATCTTGCAGTCCATGGGACTCTCAAGAGTCTCCTCCAGCACCATAATTCAAAAGCATCAATTCTTCGGCGATCAGCTTTCTTTATGGTCCAGCTCTCACTTCCATACATCACTACTGGGAAAACCATAGCTTTAACTATACGGACCTTTGCTGGCAATGCCAACTTCCCTTTTGAGTGAAAACGGGTAGCAAAGAGAGTCTGGCATCCCCGACTTGGTGCCTTCCAGATGTTTTGGGTTGTAGCTGCCCTTCGAGCCAACCAATGTGTCATAGGCTGAAAAACTCTGATCTCGAGGGCACCAGGTTGCAGAAGCTACCATGGACCATTTGTCCATTGAGCCCAGAAGGCCTGAGAGGGAGATTTCCTTTCCCCCAGACCTGCTGTTGAAGAACCTGTGAATGGCACCTGCAGCCAGAAGTGGCTAACCTTGTAACTGTCCAGAGGTGGTGGGCTCCCATAAGCCACAGCAGCCAGCTTGACCAGGGGCAGGGGGCCGTCAGAGTTTTAGTACAGCATCTGCAGCAAGGATAGCCAACGTTGTGCCCTACAGCCATCATCAGTCCGAGTTGGGGTAATAGGAGTTGTAGTCCAACAACTTCTGGCTGCCCCCACAGGTCTCCTGAGCCCCTGCCTTAAGTCAAGGGCTCTATCACTTTTAGAAGATAACAAGTGCTGGATGAATCAGGCCCATCTGGTCCAGCATCCTGTTCTCGCAGTAGACAATCAGGTGACTCTCTGCACAAGAGCACTCTCCTCCCTTGTGGTTTCTTGGCAACTGGTATGTAGAAGTATCGCTGCCTTTGACAATAATAATAATAATAAAATTTATTTATACCCCACCCTCCCCGGCCAGAGCCGGGCTCAGGGCGGCTAACACCAATAAAGTCACAGTAAAAACATTTGTTGTTGTTTAGTCGTTTAGTCGTGTCCGACTCTTCGTGACTCCATGGACCAGAGCACGCCAGGCACTCCTGTCTTCCACTGCCTCCCACAGTTTGGTCAGACTCGTGTTTGTAGCTTCGAGAACGCTGTCTAACCATCTCGTCCTCTGTCATCCCCTTCTTCTTGTGCCCTCAATCTTTCCCGACATCAGGGTCTTTTCCAGGGAGTCTTCTCTTCTCATGAGGTGGCCAAAGTATTGCAGCCTCAGCTTCACGATCTGTCTCTCCAGTGAGCACTCAGGGCTGGTTTCCTTAAGAATGGATACGTTTGATCTTCTTCAAGTCCATGGGACTCTCAAGAGTCTCCTCCAGCACCACAGTTCAAAAGCATCAATTCTTCGGCAATCAGCCGTATCAGTAAAAACATAAGAGGAGAAAAAGATGGGGGGGGGGACCCACAATTTTAAATACAGATTAAAATGCAATTTAAAATGCAGCCTCATTTTAAAGTAGCTGATAAATCAAGACCATAAAGGGAGGGAAACATAAGGGTCAGACCGAGTCCAAACCAAAGGCCAGGTGGAACAGCTCTGTCTTGCAGGCCCTGCGGAAAGATGTCAAGTCCCCCAGGGCCCTAGTCTCTTGTGACAGAGCGTTCCACCACGTCGGGGCCAGTGCTGAAAAGGCCCTGGCCCTAGTTGAAACCAATCTAACCTCCTTGAGGCTCAGGACCTCCAAAGTGTTGTTATTTGTGGACCTTAAGGTCCTCTGTGGGGCATACCAGGAGAGGCAGTCTCGTAGGTACGTGGGTCCTAGGCTCCATAGGGCAGAGCATAGCCATCAGGACTAGTAGCCACTGAGAGCCTTGCTTCTCCGTGAATTTAACTTTTAAACAAACTCTTCTAAAGCCACCCAAGTTGGTGGCCATCGCTGCCTCCTGTGGCAGTGAGTTCCGCAGTTCTGTCTTCCCTGAATCTTCCCACATTCAGCTTCCTTGGATGTGCCCGACCTCCAGTGTTATGACAGAGGGGGGGAGAAATACATTCCTCTGTCTACTTTCTCTGTGCCGTGCATCATTTTCCTATATTGTCTCCTCTTAACTCCCCCTTAACTTCCCCAAACTGAAAAGTCCCAAAGCTGGCAGCATTTCCCAGTGATCCCCTTGATCACTTTTATCACTTTGCTAGCCCTTTTCTGAACCTTTTCCAACTCTTAGAATATCCTTTTTGCGGTGTAGCAACCAGAACTGTACTCACGGTGTTCCAAATGCAGCCACACCGTGGATTTCTTAGAAGGGCATTACGATATTGGCCTCCTTGTGATATCCTTCAGTCCTCGAAGACACAGAAAAGGTGACTAGCAAGTGTGCTGCTGTCTATATTCTGACACAACTGATCCATGTTCCCCCCACCCCACGCACACTCCGCTTGTGAATCATCTTTTCATCCTGGAGACCAGAAGATGTTATTTGCAGACCTGCTGTTAACAGAACATGTTTTTAAAACTGGGAAAGCGAGAGATAAATTGTATTTATTTATTAAATGAAATGAAATAATTAAATAACTGAAACATTTATATACCACTATGTCATGGGTGGCGCTGTGGGTTAAATCACAGAGCCTAGGACTTGCTGATCAGAAGGTCGGCGGTTCGAATCCCTGCTCCTGCCAACCTAGCAGTTCGAAAGCACATCAAAGTGCAAGTAAATAAATAGGTACCACTCCGGCGGGAAGGTAAACGGCATTTCCGTGCGCTGCTCTGGTTTGCCAGAAGCGGCTTAGTCATGCTGGCCACATGACCCGGAAGCTGTCTGCGGACAAACACCAGCTCCCTCAGCCTATAGAGCGAGATGAGCATCGCAACCCCAGAGTCGGTCACGACTGGACCTAATGGTCAGGGGTCCCTTTACCTTTATGTCACGTGGACTGCAAGAAGATCAAACCAATCCATTCTTAAGGAAACCAGCCCTGAGTGCTCACTGGAAGGACAGATCCTGAAGCTGAGGCTCCAATACTTTGGCTACCTCATGGGAAGAGAAGACTCCCTAGAAAAGACCCTGATGTTGGGAAAGATTGAGGGCCCAAGGAGAAGGGGACGACAGAGGACGAGATGGTTGGACAGTGTTCTCGAAGCTACCAGCATGAGTTTGACCAAACTGCGGGAAGCAGTGGAAGACAGGAGTGCCTGGCGTGCTCTGGTCCATGGGGTCACGAAGAGTCGGACACGACTAAATGACAACATGTCACACACACACACACACACACACACACACACACACACAGCTGGTTTGCAACAATACCTATACACAATAAAAACCACTTAAGAAATCTAAAAAGCAGAGATCGTCAACTAGCTGCTACAGAAAGACTTTGGCTGGGACATGGCAGTTTCCTGGAAGGGGTTTCTCCAGTGAGGTCATTGCTTCTAAGGCTTTCCCATTGGAGTGATGTGGATTTCACCCACCCCTACGCAGGAGTGAAAGTCGCTGAACAAATCTGAGCTTCCTTCTCATAGCTCCCCTTTTGGATTATAAAAAATATGCTGATTTGGTCTTCCGAGATTGCAGTGACCAGCTGCGTCCTTCTAAGTTGCAACAGTGAGGACTCGGAGTACCAGTAATTAAGGAGGGCGGCTTTGGGTCAGGCTGGACATCTGTGCAGGACAGGGTTGGCTCTGCACTGTGAAAATCTCACTCCGGAGACCTTGAACTTACTTGATTACCACATTGTTTCCTGAAGACAGTGGAAAGGGAATAGCAGATAAACAAGTGATGTAATGTGATGCCTCCTGAATTTCAAGTCCTCCTGGAAAGTGGTGGTTTCTGTAGCGCCGTGGTGTATCCAGCGTGGGATAGAGCAGTGGTTCTCAACCTGTGGGTCCCCAGATGTTGTTGGACTACAACTCCCATCATCCCCTCAGCTCTGGCCTTGCTAGCTAGGGATGATGAGAGTTGTAGTCCAACAACATCTGGGGACCCACAGGTTGAGAACTGCTGGGTTAGAGTGTCAGGCTAGGACCTGAGAGACCAGGGTTCGAATCCCCACTTGGCCATGGGTTGGGTGACCTTGGGCCAGTCGCTGCCTCTCACCCTAACCTGCCTCGCAGGGTTGTTGTGAGGATTCATTGAGGAGAGGGGCAGAGCTGCACACGCACATACCACCTTGAACTCCTTGTTGTTGTTGTTGCTGTTGTTGTTTAGCCGTTTAGTCGTGTCCGACTCTTCGTGACCCCGTGGACCAGAGCACGCCAGGCACTCCTGTCTTCCACCGTCTCCCGCAGTTTGGTCAAACTCATGCTGGTAGCTTCGAGAACACTATCCAACGATCTCGTCCTCTGTCGTCCCCTTCTCCTTGTGCCCTCCATCTTTCCCAACATCAGGGTCTTTTCCAGGGAGTCCTCTCTTCTCATGAGGTGGCCAAAATATTGGAGCCTCAGCTTCTCCTTAAAGGTACCCCTGCCCGTACGGGCCAGTCGTGTCCGACTCTAGGGTTGCGTGCTCATCTCACTCTAGAGGCCGTGAGCCAGCGCCGTCCGAAGACACTTCCGGGTCACGTGGCCAGCGTGACGAAGCTGCTCTGGCGAGCCAGCACCAGCGCAGCACACGGAAACGCCGTTTACCTTCCCGCTATAAAGCGGTACCTATTTATCTACTTGCACTTAAGAGTGCTTTCGAACTGCTAGGTGGGCAGGAGCTGGGACCGAACCACGGGAGCTCACCCCGCCGCAGGGATTCGAACCGCCGACCATAAAGCGGTACCTATTTATCTACTTGCACTTAAGAGTGCTTTCGAACTGCTAGGTGGGCAGGAGCTGGGACCGAACCACGGGAGCTCACCCCGCCGCAGGGATTCGAACCGCCGACCATACGATCAACAAGTCCTAGGCACTGAGGTTTTACCCACAGCGCCACCCGCGTCCCTGCTCATCTTCTCCTTAGTGGGATCTAAACTCCTTGAACTCCTTAGTGGGATCTAAATGCAATCAACCCATGAGTGAGACAGGTCTTTGTCCCAAGCAGCTTACAATCTGCCCCTCCCTGCTGCTGGCCGAGGAGAAACAGGCGAAGACAGTGTGAGTGTAGTTTTATTAAATTTGCAAATCACTTCTCGTAGCAATGTTCCGAAGCAATTTACAACAATATAAACGCAGTAATGAAAATACACGAATATGATGGCTATATGCTGCCTCCGTATATGCTGGGGCAATAATGCTTCTGAATACCAGTTGCTGGAAACTTCAGGAAGGGACAATGCTGTTGTGTTCAGCTCCTGCTTGCAGGTCTTCCACAGGCATCTGAGTGGCCAGTGTGAGAGCAGGATGTTGGAATAGATGGGCCATTGGCCTGATCCAGCAAGGCTGCTCTTCTTTTCTTAGGTTTCAAAGTGTGGTTTCCGAAAGCCTGAAGCTGGCTCAGATGTCACAGCCAGCCACATTTTGGTGAAACGTGAGCAAGGCTTGAATATCACTTTGGGGTTTCTTTGACATCATATCGTAATTCCCTCCTCCCTCTTTCTGCTGGTTTTGGTCTGCACGAGCGGAATATTTTTTGCTTGCTTGCAGACCCAGGACTGGAAACCAGTCGCATGCAGTGCAGATTTGCAAGAAAGTGCAAAGCATGTTTTTTCCCTGCATTCAGATGATTTCTCAAAAGCTGTGGTTTGCCTCATAAACCAGGAAAGGGGAAACGGCAGTGAGTGAGCCATTTGGCTGTAGCTCGGTGGTAGAGCAGCCACCTTGCATGCAGGTGGTCCTGGGTTCAATGCCAAGGGTCTCCAGTTAGGGCTGGGAAAAGCCCTTCCCCCAAGCCATCAAGAGCTGCTGCCCGTCAGTGCAGACAGTACTGTGCCAGATGGACTAAGGACTTCAGGTAGCTTCCTATGGTGAGCAAAGTACCAAGCTGTAGATCGGCCTCAATGAATGTCTGAACCAGTCCTTAAGTGTCAGGAAAAGCAGTTCAACAGTGCTTAGTCCGGCTTGGACAGTGGCTTCAAAGGACCAGCTGTGTACTGTGCTCCTCCTTCAGGGATCCAGTTGCTTTGCTGAAGCTTCGGCCTTTTCTTCTGCTCTGGAGCTCAGAATTCTCCCAGAGGCTGGTTTTGAAGGAAGACTTCTTTCTGAACCAAAAACATCCAAGCATTGACTGTCTTTAGCAGTCCCTCTTTGAATGCAGTGTCTCTCTGTAAGTTGATGGTGGTGTTTATATAACGCGGGAACAATCCTAAGCTTCCAGGAACAGGCCTGGGGGGACCCAGGTTTATGGAGAGCAATAGACCCACGGTGCTATTAGCTGGTCTCCTTCTTTCCGTAGAGCTTCTGTAGATTATGGCTGCTTCTGTAGATTATGGTTGGTTGGAGGAAAGAGGAAGGAATTATTCACTGGGCTCAGAAGTCTCCTGACATTAGTCCTGCTTGCTAATAGAAATAATGTACAGCTATGATGCTAGAGCATGGGTAGGCAAACTAAGGCCTGGGGGCCTGATCCGGCCCAATTGCCTTCTAAATCCGGCCCACAGGCAGGTCCCACAAATAACCCAGAGATGCATTTTAAATAAAAGGACACATTCTACTCATGTAAAAACACGCTGATTCCTGGACCGTCCATGCGCCGGATTTAGAAGGCAATTGGGCCGGATCCAGCCCCCGGGCCTTACTTTGCCTACTCCATGTCCTAGGTCCAATCCTGGACATCTTCAGGTCTGGTTGGGGAAAGACTCTTGGCTGAAACCCTGGAGAGACCTGCTTCCAGCCAGTGTAGGTAGGTTGATGAATGATCTGACTCAGTAGAAGGCACCTTTCTCTGTTCTCCTTGAAAGCCACTTAGCCTGAATCCCACCAAGAGATTCCCATTATGAGAGTGGATTCCTGATGTGGACTGGGTGTTTGCAGTTTGTGCGTGTGTGGAACTTCTCTTTAGAACTGCCTTGCTGATCCTTTCGTTGGCGCTGAATATGCTGGTTGTTTCTTCACTCCTGGCATCTCCCCAGCTGGCTGGGTTTTTTTTGGGGGGGGGGGGTTATCCAGCAAACCTGGTGGTGTCTCTCTGTGCGTAGTGTTTTTAAAACCTGATCTGTGGGTCTGACCACCCACCGTTGCTCTTCTGAGAATTCCCCTTCCACGCCCTGCCAAAGGCTCCTTCCTGGGACTTAGCAGCCTCTGGCAAACCTTGTTAAGGCATCTCTGAAAGTCCCAGATAAGAGCCTCTTCTCCAAATGCTGGTTTCTCTTCCCCTCTCCTTTTTAAATTTCTGAATTTGTCCTTTCTCTCCCTTTGTGTCCTGCCTTCCTCTCTGTTTATCCTTCAGGGTTCATTGGGCGTTAAAACCTCTTCTGCAGCCTGCTATATTTTTATTCTTCTTTTTTTCCTCTTTCAGAAGCAGCAACAAACCAGGAAACAAGATGTCAGACTCCAAGTATTTCACCACCACCAAGAAAGGTAATATGGGTTGCTTTTAGATTTTATGTGTGTGTGTGTGTGTGTGAGAGAGAGAGAGAGAGAGAGAGAGAGAGAGAGGTGTGTGTGTGAGAGAGAGAGAGGTGTGTGTGTGTGTGTGTGAGAGAGAGAGAGAGAGAGAGAGAGAGGTGTGTGTGTGTGTGTGTGAGAGAGAGAGAGAGAGGGGTGTGTGTGTGTGTGTGTGAGAGAGAGAGAGAGAGAGAGGTGTGTGTGTGTGAGAGAGAGAGAGAGAGAGAGAGAGAGAGTGTGTGTGTGTGTGTGTGAGAGAGAGAGAGAGAGAGTGTGTGTGTGTGTGTGTGAGAGAGAGAGAGAGAGAGAGTGTGTGTGTGTGTGTGAGAGAGAGAGAGAGTGTGTGTGTGTGTGTGAGAGAGAGAGAGAGAGTGTGTGTGTGTGTGTGTGAGAGAGAGAGAGAGAGAGAGTGAGAGAGAGAGAGAGAGAGAGAGGTGTGTGTGTGTGTGTGAGAGAGAGAGAGAGAGAGAGAGAGAGTGTGTGTGTGTGTGTGTGTGTGTGTGAGAGAGAGAGAGAGAGAGAGAGAGAGAGGTGTGTGTGTGTGTGTCTAGGGCCTGATTTCCACAAATGGCAATCCAATCAAGGTTATAAAATTGTTCCAGGACTCTTTCCATGTCAGAGTGGCAGGTTAGGCTCTCCCTAACCATAGGAGGAGAAGCCATTCCTTGCACACAGAAAACATATCAGGGAGACATGTTTGATGTGTTTTTTAATATTTTAATATATGCTGCAAGCCAGCCAGAGTAATATACATTTTAATATATGCTGTAAGCTGCCCAGAACGGTGGTATTATTGTTATCATCATCGTCATCATTATTTTCTTTTTTTATTGTTTGTTGCTTTATTAGTTTTAACAAGAAAAATTACAATCACCCAAAAATAACAAAAGAATACTACGATTTACAAAGGATAAATTAAATTCTTACAACATAACTTCCGTTGTGACTTCCAGTCACCCCCTCGAGGGTCCTGGTCATCATTATTTTCTATGCCTGCCTCCTTCCTGAAATGCTATTTTTCAATATGCAGAAATCTCTTTCTCTCCCCCTCCCCCTTCAAAAAAAGGGAGAAAACTCTCAACCATGCGGGAGAGCTTAAAGAAACATGATTTTTAGTTAGTTATTTTATATTTTTGGTAATGTATAAAAAAGGCTATAAAGACAGATGAAAAATATAATTTGAAGAACAAAACAATAAAATAGGCGCGCAGAATAAGTACAGTTGCAGATGGGTTAAAATAGCAAAGGCGAAAGAAGAAAGTGAGAATAAATGTTTCCTTCGCATGAATAATATTAGTGTTACTTGGTTGTCAAGTCTAGTTCGGTTCTGTTGTGCATGTAATTAAAGGAATGGCAAAACATATAACAAGTTTCTGGAGATTCTAATATTTTTATTTATGAATTTATATGAATCGCCTTTTGCATATATCTCAAGGCAACTTATAGGCTCCCCCCCCCATTTATTTTAATAACTTGCATACCATCAAGCATCGGTATCTCTAAGCAGCTTATATAAGTTAACAGCCATGAAACCACAAGCAAAATTTAAGCACGCAGCATTGAAATACTAGAAGTAAAATGTTTAAAGTGAAGTGATGCCTATGGGCTTGTTGCAGCGCCTTCAGAGACAGGGCATAGTTCTCCCATTACCCAGGCTGAAATCCTAAACCCAGGGGTCAGCAACCTTTTTCAGCCGTGGGCCGGACCATAATCCCTCAGACCATGTGGTAGGCCGGACTATATTTTGGAAAAAAAATAATGAACAAATTCCTATGCCCCACTAATAACCCAGAGATGCATTCTAAATAAAAGCACACATTTTACTCATGTAAAAACACCAGGCAGGCCCCACAAATAACCCAGAGGTGCATTTTAAATAAAAGCACACATTTTACTCATGTAAAAACACCAGGCAGGCCCCACAAATAACCCAGAGGTGCATTTTAAATAAAAGGACACATTCTATTCATGTAAAAACACCAGGCAGGACCCACAAATAACCCAGAGGTGCATTTTAAATAAAAGGACACATTCTACTCATGTAAAAACATTCTGATTCCCAGACCGTCCGCGGGCCGGATTGAGAAGGTGATTGGGCCAGATCCAGCCCCCAGGCCTTAGGTTGCCTACCCCTGCCCTAAACTGTGGTTAATCTTAACTGCTACCTGTTGAAACAATCCAACACACAACTGTGCAAAGCAACTCAAAATAGTTTTAAAAGGGTATACAAAAAGCAACCGAAGGTAGCTGTTCCTTTTGCATTTGTTTTTAAACCTAAGGCAGAAACCTTTTTTCCAGCTTGAAAAGCCGGCCAAAACAGAAAAACGCCTTCACCTTGTTTCCGCAGGATGGGAGCATGCCATATGTCAACAGGGATGCTGTTCCATGAAACCGGGGCAGCTGCGCCGAAGGATGATGATGATGATTATTTTAGTTTTTCGTTGTTCTTAATCTCTTTTTAAATTGAAGGATTATTACATCCTGCATTTTGTCTGCTGCCTCTGGGATTTGTTCGGATGAGCGGCAATTCAGAAACCTGCAAAATAATTCATAAGCTGGTTGGAGAGCATAGGAAGCAGAATATTGATTCATTTCCCACGTCGCTTTGCCCGCCCCCCTTGCCAAAGCAGACTCTGAAAACCTGAATTGTGGAGGCAGAACGCATGAGCAAGTGGTGGCTCTGTGGTAGAGTCATCTGCCCAGCATCTCCTGGCAGGGCCGGGAGAGCCTGAAACCTGGGAGAGTGGCTACCTGTCAGTGTAGACAATAATAATGATAATAGTAATAATAATAATTTTTATTTATACCCCGCCCTCCCCAGCCAAGCCCGGGCTCAGGGCGGCTAACAAGCAATAATAAAAACAAGTTGAATGAATACAACTTAAAAACAAGATTAAAATACAACAATTAAAATATTGAAACATTAAAATATTAAAATGCAGCCTCATCACAGGAGGAGAAAGGAAAAAGAAAGAGGGGGAGGGAATCACATTGGCTCCAAGCCAAAGGCCAGGCGGAACAACTCTGTCTTACAACCCCTGTGGAAATAAATCAGATCCTGCAGGGCCCTGGTCTCAGGAGGCAGAGCGTTCCACCAAGCCGGAGCCAGTGTTGAAAAGGCCCTGGCTCTGGTTGAAGCTAATCTAACTTCCTTAGGGCCCGGGACCACTAGGGTGTTGCTATTTATCGACCTTGAGGCTCTCCGTGGGGCATACCGGGAGAGGCGGTCCCGTAGGTACGAGGGCCGCAGGCCGTGAAGGGCTTTAAACCAGCACCTTAAATCTGACCCTGTACTCCACCGGGAGCCAGTGCAGCCTGAAAAGCACTGGGTGAATATGCTCCCATGGCAGAGACCCCGTGAGGAGCCTCGCTGCAGCGTTCTGCACCCGCTGGAGTTTCTGGGACAGCTTCAAGGGCAGCCCTGCGTAGAGCGAATTACAGTAGTCAAGCCTGGAGGTGACCGTCGCATGGATCACTGTGGGTGATACTGGGTTAGATGTGCCATTGGCCACCTGGCATTATCTAATTTTTTGGGTGTTCATAGCTTAAAGGTAGAGCATCTGCTTTGTCTGCAGAAGGTCCCAGATTCAACCCCCAGGGGCATCTCCAGGTGGGGCTGGGAAAGACTGGCACCTTAGAGAGCTGCTGCCAGTCTGTGTTAGCAGTACTGAGCTAGACTGGGCTTCCTGTGTAAGCTGCTGCTCTTGAGTGCTGTTGTGCTGCCTGTTGGGGTACTTTCTCTAGGTGCTGAGCGGGACCTCCTGCCACCTTGATTTAAACTTCCACGGTTTTTCCCCCCCTCTCCAGGGGAGATATTTGAGCTGAAGGCTGAGCTCAACAGCGACAAAAAGGAGAAGAAAAAGGAAGCTGTGAAAAGGTGATCGCGTCCATGACGGTGGGGAAAGATGTCAGGTACGTTGCCATTCTGGAGATGCGTTGGTCCAACATATGAGCCAATCTGGGGTCTCCAAATACGGTGTTGGGCTACAGCTCACATCAGCCCCAGCCAGCGCAACTGGGGCTCAGTGGCTGTGCTGGCTGATGCTCTGCCCCATTGCAGGTGCTCTCCCACTGAGCCTATTGCCTTCCCCATGGATTACATGGTAGATTATGCTTCACGGTGAAGCCCCAACAACTGTTTCTCTTCCCCAGGCAGTCTTGACTGCCTGCAGACTGTCTTGCTTGCCAGAGTGGTGCATGCTCTGGTTATCTCCCGCTTGGACCACTGCAATGCGCTCTACGTGGGGCTACCTTTGTTTTTTTTTTTTAAAGCAGTTTATTGGATTTTACAATAGGAATAAATGTAATAAACAATATAACATTCGTCTTAACATAATTTCACATTTTCTTTGGACTTCCTCACATCTCCCGCTCCCACCTTCATCATTATAACATTTTGTCAGCAATTTATCATCTTATTTAAATTCTTATATCTCTTCGATATTTCATGATCTTATAGTTCTCATAAAGAGTTAAACTTTCACAGTTTTTCTTATTTTCTTAAAAACTTCTAAGTTAAGTGGTGCTCAGTTATTTAGTCTAGCATCTTATTCAGCATTCAGTCAAATCACAATGTTTTTGTAGGTAGTTCTTAAATTTCTTCCAATCCTCCTCGATTCTCTCTTCTCCCAGGTCACGGATTCTGCCAGTCATTTCAGCCAGTTGCATATAGTCTATCAGTTGCATCTGCCATTCTTCCAGTGTGGGTAGATCTTGAGTTTTCCAATGTTTTGCGAGTAGTATCCTTGCTGCTGTTGTTGCATACATAAAAAATGTTTGGTCCTTCTTTGCCACCCCTTGGCTGACAATACCCAAAAGGAAAGCCTCTGGTTTCTTAGTGAAAGTATATTTAAATACCTTTTTCAATTCATTATAAATCATTTCCCAGAACGCCTTCACTTTAGGGCAGGTCCACCAGAGGTGAAAGAACGTTCCTTCACACTCTTTACATTTCCAGCACTTGTTATCAGACAGGTGGTAAATTTTTGCGAGTTTGACTGGGGTCATATACCATCTATAAATCATTTTCATTACATTTTCTTTCAAAGCATTACATGCAGTAAATTTCAATCCATTACTCCACAGCCTTTCCCAGTCCTCAAACATAATATTATGCCCAATATCCTGTGCCCACCTTATCATAGCCGATTTAACCATTTCATCTTGTGTATTCCATTCCAACAGCAAGTTATACATCCTTGAAAGTATCTTAATCTTTGGTTCTAACAATTCTGTTTCTAATTTCGATTTCTCCACCTGGAACCCTAGTTTCTTATCATTTTTAAAAACTTCTTTAATCTGAGCATAATGTAACCAATCTCGCACTTTGTCTTTCATTTTCTCCAAACTCTGCAATTTCCAATTGTCTCCATCTTTTCTAGTATTTCCCAATATTTTGGCCATTTGGCCTCCATATTGGGTCTTTTTCGGGCCTTAGCTTCCAAAGGTGAAAGCCACCTTGGTGTTTTATTTTCCAGCAAGTCTTTATATTTTGTCCAGACATTAAACAGTGATTTTCTAACAATATGGTTCTTAAAGGCCTTATTTGCTTTAACTTTGTCATACCATAAATATGCATGCCATCCAAAAACATTGTTAAACCCTTCCAAATCTAACACATCAGTGTCTTCAAGAAGTAGCCAATCTTTTAGCCAGCAGAACGCTGCGGCTTCGTAATACAACTTTAAGTCCGGCAGGGCAAAGCCCCTCTTTGTTTTGCATCAGTTAGTATCTTAAACTTAATTCTGGGCTTTTTGCCCTGCCAGACAAACTTCGAAATGTCTCTCTGCCACTTCTGAAAGCACTCCATTTTGTCCAAAACCTGAAGTGTTTGAAATAAAAACAACATTCTTGGCAATACATTCATCTTAATCGCAGCAATTCGGCCTAACAAAGAAAGTTTCAATTTTGACCAACTGTCTAAGTCTCTCTTAATTTCTGTCCAACATTTTTCATAGTTATCCTTAAATAGACTTAGATTTTTTGCTGTTATGTTTACCCCTAGGTATTTTACTTTTTAACCACATTAAGTTCCGTCTCATTCTGAAACCGTTCTGACTCTGTCTCAGTCAAATTTTTCCCAAAACCTTGGTTTTCTGTTTATTTAATTTAAATCCCGCCACCCGACCAAAGTCATTAATCAATTGTAATACTCTTTTCGTACTAGGCTCTGGCTTCTGCAAGGTCAAAACCAGGTCATCTGCAAAAGCTTTTAGTTTATATTGTTTCTGACCAACCTGAATTCCTTCCACCAACTGGTCCCCTCTAATCATGTTCAATAGCACTTCCAGAACCGAAATAAATAACAAAGGGGAGATAGGGCAACCTTGTCGTGTCCCTTTTTCAATTTTGAACTCTTCTGTAACCACATTATTAACTATCAGTTTAGCTTTCTGTTCTGAATATATCGCCTCAATCCCATTCTCAAAACCCCGTCCCACTCCCATCTCTTTTAAGTTTCCCATCATAAATTTCCAAGAAATATTATCAAAGGCCTTCTCCGCATCTATAAAAATTAAAACTGCTTTTGTATTTATGTCAGTTTGGAGAAGTTCCAAGATATCAATAATGTTCCTTGTGTTAGCAAACAGATGTCTACCTGGGAGAAAACCGGCCTGGTCCTTATGAATTACTTCATTTAAAACTTTTTAAATCTACTTGCCAAAATATCTGCAAATATTTTGTAATCCACATTTAAAAGGGAGATGGGACGGTAGTTCTTCAGTTGTGTCTTTTCAGCTTCTGACTTTGGTATCAATGTGATAAACGCTTCCTTCCACGAATCCGGTGCCCTCTTCCCCTCCATAATTTCATTGCTAACCTCCATCAAGGGTTGTATCAAATAGTCTTTTAGTGTCTTATAATACTTGGAGGTCAGCCCGTCTGGCCCTGGAGATTTGCCAAGTTGCATGTTCTGAATAGCTTGTTCAATCTCCTGTCGTGTTATTTTAGAGTTCAGGGTTGTCCTATTTTCTTGTGACAGTTTAGATAATCCATTTTTGCCAAAAATTGTTTAATCTCGACTTCGTCTTGCGGCCCTTGGGTATATAGTTTTTTAAAATATCTCTGGAAACACTTTCTAATGTCCACTGGATTCTGAATGTTTCTTCCATCGACCTCTAAATTTGTAACCGTATTTAATCTTTGTCTTCTCTTCAACTGCCAAGATAGCAGTTTTCCACATTTATTCGCCGACTCAAACGTTTTTGTTTCATTAATTTAATCTTCCATTCAATTTCCTGGTTTATCAATTTAGAATATTGTGTTTGATACAGTTTAATTTCTCTCAGAGTTGGCTGTGACTTTGGATTCACTCTTAATTTCTTCTCTAATTCTTTTATTTTATCCAAGATCTTGTCTTTTTCTCATTTTGTGTTTTTTTCCTTACTACATTCTGTTGTATCAAGAATCCCCTCATGACAGCTTTGCTTGCGTCCCAGACGATTCTTTTTTCCACCGAATTATTCATGTTTATCTCGAAATAGTCTTTCAAAACTTTTTGGGCCTTCTTGGTAATTTCCTGATCTCTAAACAAATTGTCATTCATCTTCCATCTAAAGGATCCAGTTGGTAGTAGTGTCATATCCATCTTTACTGCGTTGTGGTCAGAGCAGGTCTTTGGGCAGATTTCCACTTTTCTAACCCTAGGTGCCAGGCCTCTAGAAATCCATATTTGGTCGATTCTTGTCCAGGTCAGTTGGGCTTCAGAAAAGAATGTTCCTTCTCTACCTAGTGGGTTCTTTGTTCTCCAAATGTCGATCAAGTCCATATTGTCAGTCATTTCAAAAAAAGGTTTTAGGTAGTCTGCCATCTTTTGTAACATTTTGACTTTGCGACTTGTCCATGTTAGTTGATACGACCCCGTTCATGTCTCCCATCATTATGATGTTGTTGTAATCCAGATGATCCAGCATTGTCCCCTGCAACTTCTTGTAAAATTCCGATTTCCCTTCATTGGGTGCATAGATTCCTAATATCAGCAGTTTCTCTCCTTGATATTGTATCTCAATAGCCAAAATCCTTCCATGTTCATCTTTAAATAGAAATTTAGGTGACAGGCTCTCTTTTGCATATATCACCACTCCTCTCTTCTTCACTTTGTCCGACGAAATAAATTCCTGGCCCAATCTTTTATTTATTAACACTTTTCTGTGGAGCCTCGTCACATGTGTTTCTTGTAAACAGATAATGTCCAATTGTTCTTTTTTTAATATATGAAATATTTTCTTCCTTTTTTCCGGAATGTTACAACCATTAATATTCCAGCTCAACAGTTGCAGAGACATCCTGGATCTGTCTGGTTATTTCTCCCGGGGTGGTGTCTTCTCTGGATCTTCAAGTTCCCCAGGTGCAGGTATTAATGCTGGCTTTGCCCCAGGCCCGGAAGGTAGTTCAATTCCTTTTTGTAGGTCCTCTCCGTATGTAGCCAGAAATTTATCTCTCTCTTCCAATGTTCTAATTTTGACCTTTCTCCCTAAGGGTAAAAGATAATCCTTGGGGAAATTCCCACCTGAATGGAATTGCGTTGCTCCTTAATAGTTTAGCAAGTTCAGAGTAGGCGGCTCTGAGATCCAACAGTTGTCTTGGAATATCTTTATATATCTCAATTCTTCTATCCAAAACCTCCAGTGACTTTTCGTAATGTAGACCCAAAATCTTATCCCTTTCCTCCTTCGATCTCAATGTAATCAAACAATCCCTGGGCCTCTCCTTCTTTATAAATCTTCCAAGTCTGAAAGCTGACACAATTTTAAAGTCCTTTTCTTCCAAATTCCAGAACTTGGAAAGTTCTTTGGTCAAAAACTCAGTTAGATTTCCTTCTTCTGCCTCTTGTAATGATCTACCTTTGAAGCTACCTTTGAAGGTGACCCGGAAACTACAACTAATCCAGAATGCGGCAGCTAGACTGGTGACTGGGAGTGGCCACCGAGACCACATAACACCGGTCTTGAAAGACCTACATTGGCTCCCAGTACGATTCCGAGCACAATTCAAAGTGTTGGTGCTGACCTTTAAAGCCCTAAGCAGCTTTGGCCCAGTATACCTGAAGGAGTGTCTCCATCTTTATTGTTCAGTGCGGACACTGAGGTCCAGCTGTGAGGGCCTTCTGGCGGTTCCCTCCTTGCGAGAAGTGAGGTTACAGGGAACCAGGCAGAGAGCCTTCTCAGTAGTGGCGCCCGCCCTGTGGAACGCCCTCCCGTCAGATGTCAAGGAGATAAACAACTGACTTTTAGAAGACATCTGAAGGCAGCCCTGTTTAGGGAAGTTTTCAATGTCATTTTTTATGTGCTGTAAGCCACCCGGAGTGGCTTGGGAAACCCAGCCAGATGGGTGGGGTATAAATAATAAAATTATCATTATTATTAGGCTGGGTAGTTTTAAGCATGGCTGTGATTTTTGAGAACATAAGAAGAGTCTGCTGAATCAGGCCACTGGCCTATCTAGCCCACCCAATGGCCACCTTGATTCCCCAATCGGAGGCCAGCAAGCAGAACCCGATCACAAGGGCACACTCCTGATTCCTGTGGGAATTCCACATTTCCACTATACGCTGCATGAAGAAATCCTTTCTTTTGCCTGCCCTGAATCTTCTAACGTGAGTTCCGTCCACGAGTTCCGTTGTCATGAGAGCCAAGCTGAGAGATTCCTGGCCCTCAGCTCGCTGATGCCGTTCCCAGAATGATCATTTTGGAAATGAGAGAGAGGTGGAACAAGTGGTGGTTCTCACAAGGCCCTCTACCTGGTTTCATTGACTTGGCCTTTGCCTTCTGCCATAGCTGTCAACCGTCCCTTATTTGGCGGGAAAGTCCCTTATCCCAGCACTGTGTCCCGCTGCTGTCCCTTATTGATGATGTCCCTTAAATTTCCCGGGTTTCAGAGGAAGCAGCTCCTCTCCCTCCCTCCCTGCCGGCCAGGGAGGAGGGAGGCTCCAACTGTGTTGCTTGGCTGCGTTGCTCACCCAATAAGGAGTCTAAGAACGACTGGGGGTGGAGCTTGCATGCCTTGTGCCGATCAAATTGGCCACGTTGCCTGGGGACTCGCCTTTGCTCAGCACTTCCCAGCGGAGAGGTGACAGTGGTTTTCCTTGCTACATCCCCTTTGCCGGGTTGCTGCGCTGTGGGAACCACTGCTTGAGGCTTCGTTTGGCTGCTGGCTGGGCTGTCTGCCTTTGGCTCGGAGGGGCTCAGAAGTTGAACATACCTGTGCCCTGAAAATCCCTTATTTTGGCTGCTGATCCCTTATTTTCGAGGCTGCTGGTCCCTTATTTTCAAATCTGTAAGTTGACAGCTATGCTTCTGCGCACCAGAGCTTCAAGCCATCAGCCTCGCTTCTAGTTAAAGATGTGTGGCATAGGAATAATCCGGATTCCGGGCTTCTCTGTTTGGATTAAGGAGGTCGGCTGCGTCCTTGACCTTCAGGGAGCAGGACTCTTTGCACGTGCCGAGCATTTTGTGGCTTTGAAATTGGACCAGGGAGCAATTCCGTTCATTTTTATTTATTTGACAAGGCTTGTATACCACTTGGTCATGGCAAAACCTTGAAGCGATTTAGAAATAGAACACTGAAACGGTTGGAAGCAACTATTTATAGAGCCCTCCTGTGGTGCCATGGGGTCAGCGCGTCTGGCTGTTAACCAGAAGGTTGGTGGTTTGATCCCACCCGGGGAAGGTTGTGGGCAGAATTCCTGCACTACAGGGGGTTGGACTAGATGACCCTCGGGGTCCCTTCCAACTCTACAATACTACATTCAAAAATGAATTAAACTCTAGGATAAGGAGGGCTGGGTGGGAAGCCCGCACCGAAATTAAAACACATGTCAACATGCCTGGATTGGCTTGCCTGAACAGAAATGTTTTTAGCAGGCACCAGAAAGTGCACAGCAAAGGCATCTATCTGATATCAATCGGCAGGGAGTTCCGAAGTGTCAGCATTGCTGCACTAAATACCACATTTTTCGCTCTATAGGATGCACCCGACCATAGGACGCACCTTGTTTTAGAGGGGAAGAACAAGAAAAAAAATCCCCCCCCCCTCTGCTCAGCGCCCCTTCAGCGAAGCGGCAGGAGAAACGGAGTCCCTTCCATTTCTCCTCCCGCTTCGCTGAAGGGGCGCTGCGCAGCTCTCCCTCTCTGCTGAAGCCAGGAGAGTCTTGCTCTCCCGGCTTCAGCAAAAGGAACCCGAAGCCTTTGGAGTGCAGCGCGAGGTCCTGCTGTGCTCCATAGGCTTCAGGCGGCTATCCCTGAAGCCTGGAGAGGCTTCAGCGAAAGCAACGCATCTCCAGGCTTCAGCGAAAGCAATGCATAGCCTCCAGAGCGCGGAGGGAGCACTCCCTCTGTGCTTTGGAGGCTTTGCGTTGCTTTCGCTGAAGCCAATGAGCCTGCATTCGCTCCATAGGACGCACAAACATTTCCCCTTAATTTTTGGAGGGGGAAAAGTGTGTCCTATAGAGCGAAAAATACGGTATATCATTTTCTTACAAGTTCTTACAAGTTCCTTACACGTGTATTTTGTGGCACGTGTAACTTTGCCAGTTCTGTAGATCAGAGCAGTCTAGTGGGGCATCAATGGGGTAAGACGACCTCACAGGTAAACTTGGTCCCAAGCTTTCATATACTAATAGTTACAACCTTGAACTTGACCCGGGAGCAGGTGAGCAACCAGTGCAGCTCTCTTGAGCAGAGGAGCTGTATGCTGACAAGGTCCCGCTGCTGCCAACAATTGCCTAAGGGAAGCCCCACGTAGAGCATATTGCAGCAATCCCACCTTGAAGGAACGAATGCACGATAACAAGAAGGGAGGGGAAACGTAGTAGCCGGGGCCAGGACGAGAGGCCTCTGAATGGTGAAGCCAGAGCAGTGAATCTCAACACAGGTACTGATTTAAAAAATGAGGATGAAAAAATAACATTTAACTCTGCTTTCTGCAGCCCTCCATCTGTTCTGGGCTAGAAATCCTATCGGCCTCTGTTAGCACAGCTCTCTGGCTGGATTTCTTTGTGCAGGGAATTTTGGTTATGAACGTCAGGAGGGGGGGAGGAAGCATTCAGCGGTGTGATTGTCCAGTGGTCGTTCTATGCAGGAATATTGTAACCAAGCAACAAGCTGCCAGGACAGACTTAAGTTAGCAAAGCAGTTGCGAAGCCTTCAGGCAGATAGTCCAAATCTGGCACGGCAACCTGGGAAGAGTTAAGATACCCGTATTTTTTTGCTCTATAAGACGCACCAGACCATAAGACGCACCTAGTTTTTGGAGGAGGTAAACAAGAAGAAAAATATTCTGAATCTCAGAAGCCAGAACAGCAAGAGGGATCGCTGCACAGCGAAAGCAGTGATCCCTCTTGCTGTTCTGGCTTCTGGGATAGCTGCGCAGCCTGCATTCGCTCCATAAGACGCACACACATTTCCCCTTACTTTTTAGGAGGGAAAAAGTGAGTCTTATAGAGCAAAAAATACGGTATTTTTCTAGCTGGCCTGGTAGATTTAGGGATTCCTCGTCTTTCTCCGGTGGGGCGATGGGAGGAGAAATCTCTTTTAAGTTTGGCCTGGGGAGCAGCAGGTCCCCACTGCATTGGTTTTAGCTTTCTTTTTAAACCAAGAGGGCAATCTGGTGTCATAGTTAGCTGCCCGGTTCTTAAGAAGGCAAGAAGGGTCCCTCTGGATGGGACCACAGACCCAGCTGACCCAACATCCTGTTCTTGCAGTGGCCAACCAAGTAGGGACACAGGGCACTGCTTTATGCAGAGCCAGGCTGTAGGTCCATCTAGCTTCGACTTTAAGATTCTGGTCCTCAAGGTTCTAATTAAAAAGTTGAATAAAACAGGCGTGTGGGAGACTGCCTTACACTGAGTCAGGCCATTGGTCCATCTCTCTCTGTACGGTCTATACCAGGGTTTCCCAAACATGGGTCTCCAGCTGTTGTTGGACTACAACTCCCATCATCCCTAGCTAGCATGATGGGAACTGTAGTCCAAAGATAGCTGGCGACCCAAGGGAAACCACACTGTCCTCAGCCGCTTTCTAGGTGTTCCCAGCCCTTACTGGATATGCCACTGGGGACTGAACCTTAGGACCTCCTGCATGAAAAGCAGGTGGTCTACACCACCAAGCCACGGCACTTGACACCCCTGGAAAGTCCAGAAGCAGGACCTGGGTGCGAAATCAGCCCCCTCTCTACTCCCAGCAGCTGAAATTCAGAGGCATGCTGCCTCCAACATGGCTGCCTGTTGTCTTCCTGCTATAGACATCTGAAGGCTGCCCTGTATTGGGAAGTTTTTTTAAAAATGTTTGACATTTTATTATGGAACCCAGAATGGCCGAGGCAACTGAGCCAGATGGGCAGGGTATAAATAATGAAATCATCACCGTTATTACTATTATTTCCAAGGCTTACATTTTTCCTGGCCCGTTGACCAGCTGCTCTAAAACAGCACAAGGGTGTATGTGTGTGTGTGTCTCCCCATCTGTATCCTGGTTCCTCACGCCGCCTGCCTGTTCTCCGTTTCCAGCGCTCTCTTCCCCGACGTCGTGAACTGCATGCAGACGGACAATCTGGAGCTCAAGAAGCTGGTTTACCTGTACCTGATGAACTATGCCAAGAGCCAGCCAGACATGGCCATCATGGCTGTCAACACCTTTGTCAAGGTGAGTTACAGCAGCAGGAGCAGCACCTGCTCTCTAAAGCATGGGTAGGCAAACTAAGGCCCGGGGGCCGGATCCAGCCCAATTGCCTTCTCAGTCCGGCCTGCGGATGGTCCAGGAATCAGCTTGTTTTTACATGAGTAGAATGTGCCCTATTATTTAAAATGCACCTCTGGGTTATTTGGGGGGCCTGCCTGGTGTTTTTACATGAGTGGAATGTGTGCTTTTATTTAAAATGCATCTCTGGGTTATTTGTGGGGCCTAGGAATTTGTTCATTCCCCCCCCCCCAAAAAAAATATAGTCCGGCCCCCCACAAGGTCTGAGGGACAATGGACTGGCCCCCTGCTGAAAAAGTTTGCTGACCCTTGCTCTAAAGTTTTAAAAATGGAAGTGCCCATTTTCCCCAGTGGAAGCGCGTTTCGATCTTTCTTTGAGTGTGTGGGTGTTTAATAAGCATTATTTATTTATTTCACAAAATTTGAAAGCTGCCTGATTGTAAAACAACAACAGCAACATCAGAGCTGTTTACAGAAAGAATAAAACAACGAAATGACTCAACTATTTTTAAACATTTGAAGGTGAATTAAAATCAACGAGAAGCTAAAAAACAAACAAAGCCCCCCAGCTTTGAATGCAGGTCAGCATTCTGCCATGTCCGTATAAATGAAAATATTTTTCAGCAGGTGCCTGAAAGTGTCCAGCGGAGTTGCCCTTCTGATGTCAATAGGCAAGGAATTCCAAAGAGGGGGGTGCCGCTGTCACACTAAAAAAAGAGTCAATTTCTTACAAATGAGTATTATGTGGGACCTGTAATTGCGCCAGTTCTGCTGATCAAAACGGCCAGCTTGGGCATAGAGTGGAGTAATGCTATTTCTCTATGGCTATCCCATACAAAATCTCAGCTTTAAGGCAAAGCTAAAGAGTGACCAGGACATGGGTGGCGCTGTGGTCTATAAACCACAGAGCCTAGGGCTTGCCGATCAGAAGGTCGGCGGTTCAAATACCCGTGACGGGGTGAGCTCCCGTTGCTCGGTCCCTGCTCCTGCCAACCTAGCAGTTCGAAAGCACGTCAAAGCGCAAGTAGATAAATAGGTACCACTCAGGCGGGAAGGTAAACGGCGTTTCCATGCACTGCTCTGGTTCGCCAGAAGCGGCTTAGTCATGCTGGCCACATGACCCAGAAGTTGTATGCCGGCTCCCTCAGCCTATAAAGCGAGATGAGCGCGCAACCCCAGAGTCGTCCACGACTGGACCTAACGGTCAGAGGTACCTTTACCTTTTTTAAAGAGTGATGATGCAGCCTGTTCTCCCAGTCGTCAGCCGGGAAGACCGCAAGCAGGACCTGAGTGCGACAGGACTCTTCCAACTTGCGATTCCCAGCAACCGGGATTCAGAGGCATTGCTGCCCCCCCCCCCCCCCCGTGGAGGCAGAGCAGAGCCATCACGGCTAGCTGCTGTCGATAGTCCTCTCCTCCTCTTACGAATTTGTCTAATCCTCTTTCAAAGCCATCCAGATTGGTGGCAACCGTTGGCTCCTGTGGCTGTGAGTTCCACAGTTCTATCTGCCCTGAAATTTCCCACAATTGGCTTTGAGTTCAAGTGGACATCGCTGTCTCCTGTGGAAGAGAGTTCCATAGTTTAACTACAAACTGTTCTTTCTTTTACCTGAATGTCCTGAATGTTCCAGCATTCAGCTTCATTGGACGTCCAGAGGTTTCTGCTGTTACGAGAGAGGGAGAAAAACGTTTCTCTATATATGCCATGCGTACTTTTATAAGCTTCTGTCACGTCTCCCCTCGCTCGTCTTTTCTCTGAACCAAGAAGTCCCAAACGCATATGTGGTGGCCTTGTTGTAAGGTTAAAAGCTTACTGGGAAATGATATACAGTGAATTGAAAAGGATGTTCAAAATAACTTTTGTTAAAAAAAACCCAAACAACAACCAGAAGCTTTTCTTTTGGAAATTATAGGGACAGAACTACCTAAATTGTATAGAAATCTATTTATGTATGCAACTACAGTGGCAAGAATGCTAGTTGCCCCAAAGTGGAAAGAAGCAGAACTCACAGCTAAGGAAGAATGGATACAGAAACTTATGGAATATGCAGAAATGGCAAAACTTTCCGGAAGAATAAAAAATCAAGATAACAGACTTTTTATAAAATAATGGAAATGGTTTATTGAATATTTACAGGTAAATTGCAAACAGATAAAAACATGGGCAGGATTATTGTAATAACCTGCAGTTTCATAAGAATATATATTTAAAATAGATGATTAAATGAGTAAATTAAATGAATTTGGATATGCAGATGATACTAAAAAATAAATTTAAGGAACCTCAGAAAGAGGGGGAAGGAAGTCAAATTTGTTAAACTGATTGTATAACTAATCAAATGTATAAATTTGAAAAGTATAAATAAAAACTTTTTTATGGTAGCTAAAAAGGTGAAGTACCTGGGAATTTGGCTGACATCGAAAAATATAAACCTGTTTAAAGACAATTATGAGAATGTATGGAAAGAAATAGTGGGACGCGGGTGGCACTGTGGGTAAAACCTCAGCGCCTAGGACTTGCCGATCGCATGGTCGGCGGTTCGAATCCCCGCTGCGGGGTGCGCTCCCGTCATTCGGTCCCAGCGCCTGCCAACCTAGCAGTTCGAAAGCACCCCCGGGTGCAAGTAGATAAATAGGGACCGCTTACCAGCGGGAAGGTAAACGGCGTTCCGTGTGCTGCGCTGGCTCGTCAGATGCAGCTTATCACGCTGGCCACGTGACCCGGAAGTGTCTGCGGACAGCGCTGGATCCCGGCCTATAGAGTGAGATGAGCGCACAACCCTAGAGTCTGGCAAGACTGGCCCGTACGGGCAGGGGTACCTTTACCTTTACCTATGGAAAGAAATCAAGACTATTCCTCATAGGCGAGTCACTCCACACCTTGACCATTTGGGTTGCCCTATTCTGAACCTTTTCCCAACTCTGCGATGCCTTTTCCATACCCTACAGGACTGCGAAGATCCCAACCCCCTCATCCGGGCCCTGGCAGTGCGCACGATGGGCTGTATCCGGGTCGATAAGATCACCGAGTACCTCTGTGAGCCGCTGAGGAAGTGCCTGAAGGATGAGGACCCTTACGTGCGCAAGACGGCGGCTGTTTGCGTGGCGAAGCTCCACGACATCAACGCGCAGCTGGTGGAGGACCAGGGCTTCCTGGACACCTTGAAGGACCTCATCTCGGACTCCAATCCTATGGTGATGGACCCCTTCTTGCCTGGGGGCGGGGAGGGAGGAGGGCTGTCTAGGCTGCTAGTCCCCTGCCCCAGCTGAACCAAGATCCGCTAAAGGCTTTGGGTCCGGAGGGATTCCCAGGTAGTCAAAGGGAGGAGCTACTACTTAGATACTCGCTAAGTAAAGGAACCAGCTGCAAAGAATTCTTCTCCTCCGTTCCCTTACATGCTTAGCTCAAATGTGTAAGGGCCTTCGGGAATTGCTAGCGTCCATGATGGTTACCAAAAGCAAGGAAAGGTAGCAGGTCAGGAATACGTCCCCCCTGATCGGCTGTCTTTCTGTCTGCAGCGCCTGGCTTGGAGCCAAACGTGCATCTTTGAAATGGAAGCAGTTGAGCGGCAAAGGGCTGCCTGCCGTCTTGCACGTTTAACCAGCGTTGGAGAAACGCCCAACCCGAGCGCTGCTCTTTCCACCCACCCCCCCCCCCCGCTCCACGCTTCCTACATTTTTAAAAGGAACGTAATGAGAGAACTATCGGCCGCCTCTGCAAACCAAGTTCCAAATGAATTTTTAATTTAGGCCAAATGGCCTCGGATGCTCCTTGGGCCTGTGGGTTGCTGAGAGGAATAGCGGTCTTGCTAGGAAGCCTTGCTTCATGCAGCAATAGCATTCGGTTTAATTTTCTTTCTTTTTGGGTGGGGGTGTGTTCTTTTCCACACATCTCTGTACCCCCGGTGCCCCCAGGACGCTTTTCTGTGGAGATTTATTTTTTTTTAGAGGCAAGAGCTGCCGAGAACTATTTGCCTGGTGAGGCCTACAAGACTTAGGCCACATTCACACCCTACGTTTAAAGCACTACGGTACCACTTTAAACAGTCATGGCTTCCTGCAAAGGATTCTGGGAACTCTGGTTTGTTATAGAGCAGACATAGCCAAACTTGGCCCTCCAACTGTTTTGGGACTACAATTCCCATCATCCCTGACCACTGGTCCTGTTAGCTAGGGATGATGGGAGTTGTAGTCCCAAAGCAGCTGGAGGGCCAAGTTTGGCCATGCCTGTTATAGAGGAAGCCTCCATTTCCCTCATGGAGCTACGATTCCCAGAGTTCCCTGGGAAAGAGAGATTGACTATTGGAGCACTCTGGGAATTATACTGAGCTAGACAGACCTGCAGCTGTAGCTCAGGTGGCAGAACATTTCCTTGGTATGCAGAAGGTCCCAGTTCAGCCCTCAGTATCTCAGTGGGCTCTTCAGGACTCCCACCTGAAACCCTGGAGAGCTGCTGCCAGTCAGAGTAGGCAGTACTGAGCTAGATGGACTAACGATTTGACTCAGGATAAGGCAGCTTCCCATGTTCCTATTTTCACAGATGATTACTCTCTTTTGTTTTCCCCCAGGTGGTAGCTAATGCTGTAGCAGCCCTCTCAGAGATAGCGGAATCTCACCCCAGCAGCAACCTGCTGGATTTGAACCCACAGTCCATCAACAAGCTGCTCACTGCCCTGAACGAGTGTACGGAATGGGGCCAGATCTTCATCCTCGACTGCCTGGCCAACTACATGCCCAAGGATGACCGCGAGGCCCAGAGGTGAGAGCTGCGGGTTGGCTCACTTACTCGAGCCCCGTGTCGACCATGCTGCTTTGCAGGCACTGTTGTGCGAGATGCCCTTCCTTGTTCAGAGACAGCCCAGTCTGTGTGCAATTTGTGTCTGTCTCTCTGTCTGTCCGTCCCATGCCTCTGTTTTTGTTATCAACGGAGCCAAATTCTTTACTGTAGCACTCTGCGCTTCAGAAGACTCCGTACAGATTTTTTTGAGAAAGGGCATCATGTTTTGAGGAAAAGCAAATAAGAGGAGATATGGAGAAAGTGTTTTTATCCTTCTCTAGAACTCCTGGACATTGGAACGTTGGAAGATTCAGGGCAGATTAAAGAGAGGATTTATTTTAAACTATGGAATTCGCTGCCCCAGGAGGCAATGATGGCTACAGACTCGAATGATGTTAAAAGAGGATGAGAGAAAGTCAGGGAGGGCAAGTCTATCAATAGCCACTACCCACAATGGCTATTCTTGGCTTCCCCAGTCGGAGGCTGCATGTTTCTGAACACCAGTAACTGATGGAAGCTTTGTATTTTTCTTCCTCCTCTTTCTCTTTCTTTTTTATTGTTTTTCTTTTCCTTTTTGTATTTTATTTTTATTGTACTGTGTTTTTATTGTTTTTTATATTATTATTAATTTAAACATTTTTATTGAAAGTTCAAAAAGTACATAATTATATGTGCACTAAACATGGAGAGACATAAATAAAAGAGAGAAAAAGAGAAACATCACCTGTGTAGAAGGGAAAATAAAGGGGGGAGGGAGGAAACCCAAAACTGTGTACTTTACAAGGTTGTTATTGTACTACACCAGATCTTAAACTACTACAGTATTTGTAAGAATAGATTCCAAATATCATTGAATTTATCCGTGGCAAGCCTGTGTTTATATGCAAGTTGTTCATATGTTGCGAGTTTGTATAAGTCTTCAATCCAATCATAGAAGGGAGACGCATTTTTATTTCTCCAATCCATCAGTATCAGTCTTTTTGCTGTGGTAAGGGCACGGAGAGTGTTTTTATTTGGATTAGTTTGTTTTTTATTGTATTGTATGTTAAACAGTTTTTATTTTATTTTATTTTATTTTATTTTATTTTATATTTGATTTGATTTGATTTGAAAAGAAATAGCTGGAAAATGCAGGTCCTGCTTGCTGGTTTCCTGAGCAGGGCTAGCATAGAGCACAACTCTTCATTTTCTTCCATTTTCCCAGATTACCCAATGGCTGCAGTGCAGGACCACAGAAAACAGGGGTTTGTTGGTTGCACCTAGGAGCTGGGCTGGTGGGTCAGTGGCTTTGTGAAAAATCTCCTCTGGCATTTGTCTGCTGCATCATCCTTTTCCTTCTCTTCCCCCCACTGCAGCATCTGTGAGCGAGTGACACCCCGGCTGTCCCACGCTAACTCCGCCGTGGTCCTCTCGGCTGTGAAAGTGCTGATGAAGTTCATGGAGATGCTGTCGAAGGACCTGGATTATTACGGCACTTTGCTGAAGAAGCTGGCTCCGCCGCTCGTCACCCTGCTGTCTGCTGAGCCGGAGCTGCAATACGTGGCTCTCCGAAACATCAACCTCATTGTGCAGAAAAGGTGATGGTGGATGCTCTGTTGGCTACAGGTGGGCAGGGTGGTTGGCAGTAGCACTGCTTCCAGGGATACAGCGAGATGCTCTCAGGCATGTAACTGGGTTTGTTGGGGGTTTTGCTCAAGAGATTTCCTTTTATAACAAATATAAAACAGAGAAGCTGTTGTAGCAACAGGTGAAAAACCAGAAGATGAGAAGGAAAACTATAAAACAGGCATGTGGGTTAAAATACCAAAGTCCATGGGAAATGAATTGAAAAAAGTATTTAAAAGTACTTCCCCAAAAAACCCAGTGTCCTTTCTGTTGGGGATAATTCAGACTGAAATTCCCAGGTGTCAAAAAAGGTTATTTATGTGTGCCACTACTTGCGGCCCGTGTTTTGTTAGCCCAAAAATGGCAACTTAAGTTGACAGAATATGCGCAGCTTGCAGACTTAACATATCGAATAAGAGAACAAGAAGAACATACGTTTAGAGAAGATTGGAAGACTTTTATTGAATATACTGGAAATAACTGTGTACAGCTGAAAACGCTGGCAGCATTAAATTCAACAGTGTAAATAAGTTATGATGGATGTAATAATGGAATACTGAATGGTATAGTTTCTGTAAAATATGCAGGGATTTATGATATGTAAAATGAACCATGGAAAGAGAAGAAGGGAAGTCATTGATATCTTAAGGATGTAAAAATGTCAAGTATAGTTTGAGATTTGCCAGGCTTGTAACAAGGGCTGACTTGAAAATGATGGTTCCATTACAAAACGTAATTAAAGGAATGCCAGATCAAATGAAAAGTGTCTGGAGGTTCTAGACCTTGTCGAAATCTCAAATTATGCATACAGTGGTACCTCGAGTTAAGTACTTAATTCGTTCCGGAGGTCCGTTCTTAACCCGAAACTGTTCTTAACCTGAAGCACCACTTTAGCCAATAGGGCTTCCTGCTGCCGCCGTGCCGCTGGGGCACGATTTCTGTTCTCATCCTGAAGCAAAGTTCTTAACCTGAAGCACTATTTCTGGGTTAGCGGAGTCTGTAACCTGAAGCGTATGTAACCTGAAGCGTATGTAACCTGAGGTACCACTGTAGTTTTCTCCATTATTGCTATATTTCAGAGTGAGTGTATCAAGCACCCGGTGTAAGATTTGGGGGCTGTTTTCCATTGAGTTGCAATTGCTATGCGAGCTGCCAAGATCATATATAAGACCTATGGGCATGTAAATATGTTTGTATAGAGGTAGATCTTTCAACGGTCCAGAACTGACTCCTAACCTGCAACATGGGACCTACTTTTACAGTTTCACTTTTGATTTACAATATAATTACTGTACCAGTGCTAACGAGGCACACGATTCATCCTAAAATGGCACTTCCGAGAGCAATGTTGCCTAATAGCTCAGTCAATAGAACACGAGACTCTTAATCTCAAGGTTGTGGGTTTGAGCCCCACGTTGGACAAAAGATTCCTGCATTGCAGGGGGTTGGGCTAGATGACCACCGCGGTCCCTTCCAACTCTACCATTCTATGATACAGTTGTACCTCGGGTTAAGTACTTCATTCATTCCGGAGGTCCGTTCTTAACCTGAAACTGTTCTTAACCTGAAGCACCACTTTAGCTAATGGGGCCTCCTGCTGCCGCGCCGCCGGAGCACGATTTCTGTTCTCATCCTGAAGCAAAGTTCTTAACCTGAAGCACTATTTCTGGGTTAGTGGAGTCTGTAACCTGAAGCGTATGCAACCTGAAGCGTATGTAACCTGAGATACCACTGTATTACTAAATGAAAGCATCTGATTTATTTATTTTACTTTGCAATCTATAAGTTGCACAGCTGGGTATGTTTCTTCTCCGGATCTCTTGATCGCATCTTTTCCTCTTCTCCCAGACCTGAAATCCTCAAGCACGAGATGAAAGTCTTCTTTGTGAAGTACAACGACCCCATCTACGTCAAACTGGAGAAGCTGGATATCATGATCCGCCTGGCCTCGCAGGCCAACATTGCACAGGTAAATCCTCCTCTTTTCTCTCTTCCTCCCCACCCCCCAAATTTGCTTTGGAGTCTCAACTGCCCTGCAAGGATGAGGACTGAAAGGAATTGCAATGCCGCAAGATCTGGAAGGCACCCACTGTTGGGGAAGGCTGAAGCCAGCTATTGCCTCTAAAGAATGCATTCCACTCTTCTTTTCCTTCCTGCCCCAATTTTTCAGCATGTGCATTTTCTAGCTGCCACTCAGCATTCCAAAGTTACTGAGCATGCTCTGTCCTGGGCTTGCTTTTTGCCCCACGTCTTCTGATAAAACCGCCTCGGTCCTGTATACCTGAAGGAGCGTCTCCACCCCCATCATCTAGCCCGGACACTGAGATTCAGCACCGAGGGCCTTCTGGCGGTTCCCTCCCTGCGAGAAGTGAGGTTACAGGGAACCAGGCAGAGGGCCTTCTCAGTAGTGGTGCCCGCCCTGTGGAATGCCCTCCCAGCAGATGTCAAGGCAATAAACAACTATTTTACTTTTAGAAGACACCTGTTTAGGGAAGTTTTTAATGCCTGATGCTATATTGTTTTTGATATTTGATTGGAAGCCGCCCAGAGTGGCTGGGGAGACCTAATCAGATGGGCGGGGTATAAATAATAAATTATTATTATTATTATTATTATTATTATCATTATTATTATAGGTGCTTGCCGAGTTAAAGGAGTACGCAACGGAAGTCGATGTGGACTTCGTGCGGAAAGCCGTCCGGGCAATTGGCCGGTGTGCCATTAAGGTTGAGGTGAGCTAAGGTGTGGTCCAGAACATCTGGCAGGCACCAGTTTGGGGGAGGCTGGCATCTATCCAGGAGAGTGGCCTGATTCTGCAAAAGGCTTCACTTCAAACATACTTGGCTTTCCAAGCATTTAGAGGCTGCAAGTAGCAGAGCACAAATGAATTTTGCATTATGTGTTGTGAACCTTCCCCCCCCCTTTCTCTTTTTGGGGAGGGTGGGGGCTGAAGACATTAGGGAGTGCTCTTGCACTCAAACCGTGCAGACTTCGCTTTGGGGCACCTGGTAGGCCCCTATGAAAACAGGATGCTGGATTCACTGGCCTGATCCAGCACATTTTTCAGACATCCGGTCGATCTTGGATCTTTGGAAAAGGGGCTTTGACCTTTACAGAGCCTTCCAACATTGACATTCGTTTTTCGAGGCAAGCGGTGTCCGTAGTGCTGGAGATCAACACGTCTTTGCGCAGGGAGCCAGGTTTTTTAAAATACAGTGGATGCTCAGGTTGCTAACATGATCCATGCAGGAGGCACGTTCGCAACCCGCAGTGCTGCATCTGCGCACGCACGGGTTGCAATTTGACGCTTCTGCACATGCGCGACTGCCGAAACCCAGAAGTAACCCATTCCGGTACTTCCAGGTTTCGGCACATCCGTAACCCGAAAAAACGCAACCTGAAGCGCCTGTAACCCAAGGTATGACTGTAACAGCATTGGAGGCATCCCTCATAGCATGGGGATCCTGCCTCCCCCTTCCCATTTGGTCTTCTCTAGTGTGCAGAAGGCTGCATGTGACTCTTGTTTTGTTACAGCCAGGAAATTCCTGGCTTTCCTGCTGCTGACATCCCACCCTTGCTGGGAGATAACCTAGGTGTCCTTTAACTTCCCTGTTTAAAAGCAAGCATCCGTAGTTTCTCCTGGCTAAACCCCAGTTCCTCTCCACGCAGCCCCAACCCCCTTTCTCTTTCTTCCTGCCCAGCAATCGGCGGAGCGTTGTGTAAGCACCTTGCTTGACCTCATCCAGACCAAGGTCAACTATGTGGTCCAGGAAGCCATTGTCGTCATCAAGGACATCTTCCGCAAGTACCCCAACAAGTAAGAAGCCCTCCTCGAAAAGTTACCATCTTGATAACACATGGGAACATTTTATTATTTATTACACTTATTCGTTGCTGTTTTTAAAACTGGTGGTTTGGGATAGCTCAAGTCGGTAGAGCGTGAGACTCTTAATCTCAAGGTCACGGGTTTGAGCCTCATGTTGGGCAAAAGATTCCCGCGGTGCAGGGGGGTTGGACTAGATGTCCCTTGGGTGTGCCTTCCATGATTCTGTGAGAAGGCAGTAATAATAATAATAATAATAATAATAATTTGTATTTATACCCCACCCTCCCCAGCCAAGGCCAGGCTCAGGGCGGCTAACAAGCAATAAAAAAACAAGTTGAATGAATACAACTTAAAAACAAGATTAAAATACATCATTAAAATATTGAAACATTAAAATATTAAAATGTAGCCTCATTGCAGGAGGAGAAAGGGAAAGAAGAAAGAGAGGGAGGGAATCAAATTGGTTCCAAGCCAAAGGCCAGGTGGAACAACTCTGTTTTACAGGCCCTGCGGAAAGAAATCAGATCCCACAGGGCCCTGGTCTCATGAGACAGAGCGTTCCACCAAGCCAGAGCCAGTGTTGAAAAGGCCCTGGCTCTGGTTGAAGCTAATCTAACTTCCTTAGGACCCGGGACCACTAGGGTGTTGCTATTTATGGACCTTAAGGTCCTCCATGGGGCATACCGGGAGAGGCGGTCCCGTAGGTACGAGGGTCCTAAGCCGTGATACATGAGCAATGATAATGCTACAATGAAAGCTATCCAGAAATATAGAGCCTTCGATTTTTCTTTTATTTATTTTTTGCATTAGAACTGGCTCTTGATGACATGGGATGCCCAGCGCATGCAGAGCTAGTTCTTGGCCTTTGAAAGGATCTATCCTGTTGTGCAGAGGATTCCTATCCTACTTTTCCACCAAGGGTCCTTACATGGTTCTTTCTCTCTCTCTCTCTCTCCTTATTTAATCCCCCAGCACAGCCCTGTGAGGTAGGTCAGGCTGAGGAGAGGCAGTCGGCCAAATGGTGGGATTTGAACCCTAGTCCTCTCCCGGGTCGTAATCTGGTGCTCTCTAACCGCTGCGCCGCACTTGGTTCTCCGCTGTCTCTTAACTCCTTCCACCCCTCCTGTCCCCCCGACACGCAGGTACGAGAGCGTGATCGCCACCCTGTGCGAGAACCTGGACTCCCTCGACGAACCCGAGGCTCGAGCAGCCATGATCTGGATCGTGGGCGAATACGCAGAGCGCATAGACAACGCGGACGAGCTTCTGGAGAGCTTCCTCGAAGGCTTCCACGACGAAAGCACCCAGGTGAGATGGGGCAGAGTCTCCCGGGGGGGGGGGGGCTGAGGATTAGGCAGCAAAGGCTGCAACGATTCCCTCCAGATTTCCCCCCACGGTGTCTTGCCTCCCCCAAGCAGCCAACCCGTGAAGATCTTGCACCCCTCCAGGAACCCTAGAGGTTGTGTCTTGGGCAATGCACCTCTCAGGTTGCATGGTAACTTCATTGGCACCTCCTGTAGATGCCCGTCAACAGTTCTGATAATCAAGATGTTTCTCTTCCCTTAATTTATAACTAGTATCATGTAAACTTTGGCTCAACCTTGCATTTGGCACTGCCTAGCCAACCTTGGCTCAGCCTTGCATTTGGCACTTTGATCACCAAAAAATGGATGTTTTTGAATTCTGGTGCTGGAGGAGACTCTTGAGAGTCTCAGGGACTACAAGAAGATCAAACCTATCCATTCTGAAGGAAATCAGCCCTGAGTGCTCACTGGAAGGACAGATCCTGAAGCTGAGGCTACAATACTTTGGCCACCTCATGAGAAGAGAAGACTCCCTGGAAAACACCCTGATGTTGGGAAAGATTGAGGGCACAAGGAGAAGGGGACGACAGAAGACGAGATGGCTGGACAGTGCTCTTGAAGCTACCAGCATGAGCTTGACCAAACTGCGAAAGGCAGTGGAAGACAGGAGTGCCTGGTGTGCTCTGGTCCATGGGGTCACGAAGAGTTGGACACGACTGAACGACTAAACAACAAACAACAACAACAAAGCAAAGTGCTCAGCCCAGCTTCATGCTGCCTCCCAGTTTAGGGGAGTTAGAACAATAAAACAATGAGATAAAACAATAAATGAAAACAACAAAACGAAGTACTAAAAGGAGTTAAGAAATAAAATGGAGGATAAAAACAAATGCTAAGGGTTGGTTATAGAGCAGAAACTTGCCTTAGAGTTAGCCTTAGAGCTCAAAACCCTGCTTCAAGCATTTGGCAGCCATCTTCCTCCTAGATGCCCCCTTTCCCTCCTGCAGCTTCCCGTTCGAACTGCTTGTGCCAATTTCTTCCAGGATGGTAGCAGTAGAACGCCAGCTGTTGCATGCAAAAGATCCCAGGTTCAGTCCACCTTTTTTCCTTTTGTCCGCCGCAGGTGCAGCTGCAGCTGCTGACGGCCATTGTGAAGCTCTTCCTGAAGAAGCCCACCGAGACCCAGGAGCTGGTCCAGCAGGTTCTCAGCCTGGCTACACAGGTAGGGGAAGAAGAGATGGCCTCGCCTTGCCTTTATAAACCTGGAGGCCCCCTTTATGTCCTTGCAGGGGTTCTGCAAGGTAGCCAGGGGTGCGGAAGCTTTGTCAGTCTGGACGACCTCCTGGGGACCACATGCCAGGGGTGGGAGGGACCAGAAACAAAAGTGGGCGGAGCTACGGATGCAGATTTTACCCTCTGTACACAAGAGGCTCTGTACACAAAAGGGACGCGGGTGGCGCTGTGGGTTAAACCACAGAGCCTAGGACTTGCCGATCAGAAGCTCGGCGGTTCGAATCCCCGCGACGGGGTGAGCTCCCGTTGCTCGGTCCCTGCTCCTGCCAACCTAACAGTTTGAAAGCACGTCAAAGTGCAAGTAGATAAATAGGTACCACTCCGGCGGGAAGGTAAACGGCGTTTCTGTGTGCTGCTCTGGTTCACCAGAAGCGGCTTAGTCATGCTGGCCACATGACCCGGAAGCTGTACGCTGGCTCCCTCGGCCAATAAAGCGAGATGAGCGCCGCAACCCCAGAGTCGGCCACGACTGGACCTAATGGTCAGGGGTCCCTTTACATTATACAAGAGGCTACTTTCTACGTAACACTTGCGCGCTCCTTTCCCCCCTTCATCCAGGGCAAGCAAGAGGCACGACTGGAGGTCAGGGACACTTCCAGGCCAGGAGGAAACACTCCAAGGAAGGGGGTGTGACCTGAGGAGAGTCTTAAGATCCAGACTTAGTTATTTATTACATTTATATACCAAGGGTGATTCACAGAATGAATTACAGCCGTACCTCGGAAGTCAAACAGAATCCATTCCGGAAGTCTGTTTGACTTCCAAAACCAAAAGGCGGCTTCCAATTAGCTGCAGGAAGCTCCCGCAGCCAATCGGAAGCCGCGCCGGACGTTCAGCTTCCAAAAACCATTCAAAAATTGGAACAATCACTTCCGGGTTTCGATTGTTCGAGAGCTGATTTGTTTGGGAGCCAAAGCGTTTGAGATCCAAGGTACGACTGCACAAGATAAAACACAAGCAAATGATTAAACCGTTTTTAACTTGCCCTGGATTTATGGTTCATTGCTTTAAATGCTTTCAGGCCCTTTTTTGTTTTGGCAGTCACAAGGACTAGAAACTTTGCTTTCTTTTTAAACGAGAAGTGTCAGCACTCTGCCATCTGGCCTCTGCACAGGACGAGAAAGAGTGAGGCAGAGTGGCCTGCGTCTATTAAGACATCCAGTGTGTTAACTGACCTCTGGGCAGGTTTGGAGAGCCTCTGGTGTGAAAACACACAAACACACTCACAGGCTCCTTTCCTTGTCTCCCTCCCCGCCCCCTGGCTCCCACCACTTAGGATTCGGATAACCCTGATTTGAGGGACCGTGGCTACATCTATTGGCGCCTGCTCTCTACCGATCCTGTGGCAGCCAAGGAGGTGGTTCTGGCAGAGAAGCCACTCATCTCTGAAGAGACGGACCTGATTGAGCCAACTCTGCTGGACGAGCTGATCTGCTACATCGGCACCCTGGCCTCTGTCTACCACAAGCCCCCCACCGCCTTCGTGGAGGGGAGCAGAGGCATCGTCCATAAGAGCCTCCCTCCACGGACAGGATCGTGAGTACCCTTTGGAGGCAGTGGTGGTACTGCAGGGCGAGGTGGTTCTGTTGTTCCTCTCTACAGTCCACTTTGGCTCTCTTTTTTTCATTCTATTTATAAAAATACCACATTTTTCGCTCCATAAGACACACCTAGTTTTTAGAGGAGGAAAACAAGAAAAAAAATATTCTGAACAAAACAGTGGATGCATGATTTTTGTGGTTCATGCTGTGGCCACAGACATGTGATCTGATGGTGAATTTGGGGTGACAAAGTACAAAAATCCTGAGGATCCATGTGGATCCGTGCTTTGTAACCACGTTTTTGTGCCGTTGCGGCCCCATGCAACAGTGGGTGCGTGATTTTTTTGGTACAGGCTGTAGCCATGGACATGCTATGTGATCTGATGGTGAATTTGGGGTGACCCAATGCAAAAATCCTGAGGATCCATGTGGATCCGTGCTTTGTAACCACATTTTTGCACCATTGCAGCCCCAGGAAACTTTTTTTTGGTGTAGGCTATAGCCATGGACATGCTTACATACCGCCATGCATTTTTTAAAAAAAAAATCTAGAGTGGTTTGCAATGATTATGCATAACGCCATACAAGAGAAAGCATATAAAAAAAGAAACCAGCAAACTGTTAGGGAAAGGAGTGTTCGGCATTCCCTGCAGAATAGGAAGGGTTTTCGGCAAGTGTTGGCACAGATGGCGCCTGCTGGATTTCTAGTGGCAGAGAGTTCCACAGGGCCAGGCCAACGACACAGAAAAGGCTCAATTTCCCGCTGTTGTCTTGCCAACTCGAGGAACGGCCAGATGATCCCACTGATCAAGCTTGGGATACAAGGGTTCGGGTGGTCCCTGAGGCACCCTGGACCTAAGTCATTCAGGACTTTGCAAATGAATGCCTTGAGTAGTAGAGGGGCAACTGGTGCAGGTGCTTTAAGAGCCGTGTCTTGTGTTGCTTGCCAGATGCCCCCATCAGCAGCAGTCTGGCCTCCGCATTCTGCATCAGCTGGAGCATCCACACCAGGCCCAAGGGCAGCCCCGCATAGAGCATGTTGCAGTGATTAGCCTCAAGGTTACCAATACATTGACTACCGTGGTTGTAGCCAATGTAGCACAAAGCTGAAATCACTTAGCAGTCCACATGTTCCACTGGCGAAATGTGCTGTGCCAGCAAAACATCACTGTGCCAGATTGCTGGAAACTTCGCTGCACAGTAGATTTCACAATCTGTTGCATAACCGGTTTCCGCTAGCCACAACTTCTGCATTGGATTCCACCCGTCTGCTGGTGCAAGGGGCCCTGGGGTAGGGTGGCTGGGTGGCAGAAATAGATACACACTTTTTCTTGGGGGGGGGGTAAATAATTTTTAATTAATTTTTCAAGCTACATTTTCACAAATGAAAACAGTAATTAACTCACATTTCTACCAAATCTAAATTTATACAAGTATCTTTTCACAGAAGGGACACGGGTGGCACTGTGGGTTAAACCACAGAGCCTAGAGCTTGCCGATCAGAAGGTTGGCGGTTCAAATCCCCGCGATGGGGTGATCTCCCGTTGCTCAGTCCCTGCTCCTGCCAACCTAGAAGTTCGAAAGCACGTCAAAGTGCAAGTAGATAAATAAGTACCGCTCCAGCGGGAAGGTAAACGGCGTTTCTGTGCACTGCTCTGGTTCACCAGAAGCGGCTTAGTCATGCTGGCTACATGACCCGGAAGCTGTACGCCAGCTCCCTCGGCCAATAAAGCGAGATGAGCGCCGCAACCCCAGAGTCGGCCACAACTGGACCTAATGGTCAGGGGTCCCTTTACCTTTACCTTTTCACAAACCTTCTCTTTGAGTCCAGAGATCCAGAGAAAGACACACTCTTGAGTCAGTGATTCCCAAACTCCCCTCCGCCCCCCACCCCAGGCCACTTGGAAATTGCTGATGGTCTCCACAGATTGCAGTTGCTACAGCAGGCAGAATAATCATTAAGCCGTGTGCTGGACGAGATCCTGTATGGTACATAATTGGGTTTTTATTGCTGATTTTTATTTTTATTCCATTGAATTCGGATCGGGATACAATAAAATGCATTATGAGAAATGAAAGAAGCGATAAAAATGCAATTAACCATCACGCAGCATCTCGCCCAGTGTATTATAATCACTACGGCAGACAGAAAATTCACTGATTATATATGAATATTTTATGCAGGTATGCAATGAAACACACACACACACACACACACACACACACACACAGACACACAAATGAAGCATGCAAACCGCTGGTGGAACATGTGCCAGAGTTTGGATACTCCTGATCTATGTCTCTTTTTTGGGGAAGGAAGGAAGCAGGCCATTTTTAAATTGTCTTCTTCGTCTCTTCCTCCCCACCCCACCCTACACTATGAACACAGGAGCGAAAGCGCCGAGAGCCCGGATGTTGCTCCAGCGGGCGCCCCCCAGGCTGAGCAGCCAGCAGTCATCCCAACGCAAGGAGACCTCCTGGGAGACTTGCTGAACCTTGACCTGGGACCCCCCGTGAGCGGCCCTCCAGTTGCCACCTCGTCGGTGCAGATGGGCGCCGTTGACCTTCTCGGCGGTGGCTTGGACAGCCTGGTAAGCCCTAATCCTGCCCTCCCGAGGATTTGCAACACAAGAGGGCAGGGCGTTTTCATTGGAGGACTTTGAATCCTCGAAAACAGCAGCGTTAAGTGTGGCCGCTGACGTTATGCTCTGTTGCTGTTGGTTCCCTGTCTGCACATGTTTCACACTGCCTGTGTGTTTTAAGACTGTGTGTAGATATACAGCCGTGTCCAGCTTAAGTTATACTGAGTAGGCCCACTGAAATTAATGGACCCAAGTTGGGCCCAGTTCATACATTTAAAGCTTTGGGATACCACTCTAAACAGCCATGGCTTCCCCACAAAGGATTCTGGGAATTCTCCTTGAGAGTTGTTAAGAAGTCCTTCTATTCCCCTCCCGTAGCCACGGTTTCCAGGGCGGTTTAGTGGTCCATCTTTCTTCCCTGGAAACTCTGGGAATTGTAGCTCTGTGTGGGGAATGGGGGAGTCTCTCCTAAAAATGCCATTAACGAACAACAGCTCCCAGAGTTCTTTGGGGGAAGCCATGGCTGTTTAAAGTGGCACCAAAGGACTGAAGACATAACCTCTTCGCTCTTGCCATTTTGGCACAATGTGTATGTTTCAGGAGCCGCCTCGTTTTTGTTATTGTCCGTTGTTTCAAATCGTGTTTTAATTCAGTAACCCGCTCTGGGACATGAGGGTGGAGGGCAGGTAATAGATAACAGCAGCAGCAGCCTCAGCAACAACAACAGTCATAGTTAACAGTAAGAATAAAAATAAATAATGTGCAGTGTGAATGTGGGCTTAGCTGTGTCCTTTCATTTTCCTGCTCTGAATATGACTTAAAACAGCTGGACACAATCCATTAATCTTTGGTCCCGTTTTGCACAGAAAGGCAGCTGAGGAATCTGTCTGGGCCTTTCTCACACCCTTTTTGGATCAGGGCAGTCAAAAGGCGCCCGCTAGATGTTGCTGGGGTCTCATCACACCCCCAGGCAACATATCCCAGTGGTCAGGGATGATGGGAACTGTCGTCTTATCAGGAGGGCATCATGTTGGCCACCCTCCACTTTAGGACATCAATGGTTAGGCATGCATGGGCAGTGGAGGATGAGCCCCTTTTCGCAAGGCTGGCAGGGACACGAATTCAAAGCTCCGCTGGGAGTTGGCAGAGGTGAAACTGTTCAGCGTGAACGATTCCCAGTATAGCTGAAGGAGCTTCTCCACCCCATCGTTCAGCCCGGACACTGAGGTCCAGCTCCAAGGGCCTTCTGGCAGTTCCCTCACTGCGAGAAGTGAAGCTACAGGGAACCAGGCAGAGGGCCTTCTCGGTAGTGGCGCCCATCCTGTGGAACGCCTTCCCATCAGATGTCAAGGAAATAAACAACTATCTGAGTTCTAAAAGATCAAACATTAAAAATTTCCTTAACAGGGCTGCCTTCAGGTGTCTTCTAAATCTGAAGGCAGCCCTGTTTAGGGAAATTTTTAATGTTTGATCTTTTATCGTGTTTTTAATACTCTGTTGGGAGCCACCCAGAGTGGCTGGGGAAACCCAACCAGATGGGTGGGGTATAAATAATAAATTATTACTATTATAATTATTATTGAACAGGCAGGGCAGAGGGGGTGCTGCGTTCTTCTTGTGGGGAGCTGTCTTGTAGCGCTGTGGCTGATAGCATCTGTGTGTTGTAGTCTTGAGTGACTAACCTATCTTTCACCCCTTCTTGTTTTGTCTCTTTCCCTCCTCCCACCCCACCCCCAAATCCTGGCTATTCTCTCTCTCTCTCTCTCTTTCTGCATGTGGCTGTCTCTTCCAACTTGCCTGCTGCTTCTTGGAGATGGGGGACGAAGCTGAAGGGGTATGGTCCAGCCCTCTTACTAGCTTTCCCTTCAGTGAGCCACCCCCTTCCTCCCCACCCTTCCCTCCACTCTTTCCTGCTGGGAAACTGGGGCTGGGGGGGGCGGGGCAGGGAGGACAAGGTGGATGCTACTCTTAGCAGTATTAATTGCCTTCTACCTGATCATCTCAAAGTGTGAAGTACACTAAAAATGCAACAAACCAGATCTATCGAAATACATAAATTAGTCTGATCCAACAGGCGTGTCTGTGTGTCTGTGTGTGTCTGTGTGTCTGTGTGTGTGTGTGTTAATGGCATGTTCTTGGGAGAATCCCCCCTCCCATCCCCCCCCCATGTGGGTTTATTCATCCTGTGTGTGTGCATAAATGCAGAGAAGGTCTGAAGCTTATGGCTGCACAAGCTCCCAGATTCAACACCTGGTTCGACTCCAAGTAGGGCTCAGAATTTGTCCTGCCTGAAACCTTGGAGAGCCACTACCTGTCTATATAGACAAGGCTGGAGGTAGATGGACCAATGGTCTGATTCAATATTAGGCAGATTTCTATAAAAGCTTCTGCATTTGGCTCTTCTTGTAAGTCACAAAGTGGCCCTTCCCGAAGGGGTGCCAACCACTGCAGCTCTGTGTAATGTCTCTTGCTCCTCTGCTCCCTACTCTTAAGCCACATCCTGTAGGCACATGTCTCGCCCCCCCCCACTGCCTTTGGAGTTGCCTCTGTGAACTTGTAACATCTTGGTGTCTTTGTCTCCCTGCAGATGGGAGGCCCCAGTTTTGCAGCGCCCAGCGCGGTCATGCCCTCCAACTTGGGAGCGCCCCTGGGCGGGGGCTTGGGAGACCTCTTCGACCTGGCCGGCGGCGTGGGAACATTGTCCGGATCCTACATAGCTCCCAAAACGGTGAGTAGCACTGGCCCCCGAGGAGTGCCGGGGGCCAAGTGGCTCTCGATACCATTGCTTGTAAAGATGCCTAGCACCTCTCTGTGGGTAATGGGCTTCTTTGCTTTGGCCAAACCCAATGGTAGAGCCGGCCCCAACAGGGAATGAGAAGGCCTGAGCTCCCTAGGTGCTCCATGAGTGCATTGGACTAGAGAAGGGATGGGGAATGTCTGTGACCCTCCAGATGTTGTTGAACTCCAGCTCCCATCAGCTCCCCCAAGCAGCATGACCCGTGGTGAAGAATAATGGGAACTGTAGTCCAACAGCTTCTGGAGGCCACAGATATTCCCCATCCCTGACCTGGTCTGATGCTCTCCTGGAGCTCCCAGTGAGTATCAGGTTCTCTCATACGCTGTTGGGGCCGGCCCTACCATTTGGTCATCATCCCTGATTATTGACCATGGTGGTTGGAGCTGATGGGGATTGGAGGACTACATATTCCCCATCCCTAGACTAGTGTGGGGTTATGTAACTTCTGCATCCACTAGTTCCCCCATCAGCAGCAAAATCCACAGATTATTGTTATTATTTATTGCGTCAAAAAGTGCTAAGCACTGTAGATTAGTTTAAAAAACCAGGCCCTCCTAAGTAGACTTACAGTTGAGAGGGATGAGGTGCTATCCAATGTCAGCCATACTCTGAGCAATCAGTGGGGTTGTGTTATTAATCCTCATGTCAAATTATAAAATTGCAAGCTCCTCAATGTTGAGGACCCATCCTGTAGAAGTGTAAGCTATAAAAAGAATGGATTGGGCCCAGGCTAAGTTTGCTGAACTTGGGTGTCCCATTGGAATCGGTGGGAAAAATTAAAGAGTGCTTGTGCAACTTAATTTTACTCACAGTAGACCCATTGCAACTAACACCATCGTGTTCATTAGTTTCAGCGGGTCTTTTCTGTGTAAAACTGAACACTGCCCTTAGTCTTGACATCGTTCCAGTTGAAATTCACATGATATCAAAGTGCAACTGACTTAGTCCGGATCGAACTCCAACATTTGGATAGAGGGGCAGGTTCTTGTTAGGATTTTTTTGCTTTTCATTTTAAAACATACAGTTGTACCTCAGAAGTTGAACGGAATCCGACTGTTCGACTTCCAAAACATTCGGAAACCAAGGCACCATTTCCGATTGGCTTCAGGAAGCTCCTGCAGCCAATTGGAAGCCGCGCCAGACGTTTGGGTTCCAAAGAACATTCGCAAACCGGAACACTCACTTCTGGGTTTGTGGCGTTTGGGAGCCAAAACGTTCGAGTGCCAAGGCGTTCGGCTTCCAAGGTACGACTGTATATAAAAGAGAGCAATTATAACAAGAGATGAAAACGAAAAGAAAAGAAAAACTGTAAAACAAGTTGCATACGGGTTAAATAACAGAGGTAATGAAAGGAAAAAAGTGGGAATAAAAGTTGTATTTTCACAGATAAATAATAATATTACCGTATTTTTCGCTCTATAGGACGCACCCGACCATAGGACACACCTTGTTTTAGAGGGGGAGAACAAGAAAAAAAAATTCTCCCCTTCTCTGCGCAGTGCCCCTTCAGCGAAGCAGGAGGAGAAATGGAAGGGGCTCTGTTTCTCCTGCCGCTTCGCTGAAGGGGCGCTACGCAGCTCTCCCTCTCCCACATTGCCTTCGCCTTCAGTGAAGGCAACCCGAAGCCTCCGGAGTGCAGCGGGGGTTCCTTCAGGCGGCTACCTTGGAAGCCTGGAGAGCGAGAGGGGTTGGTGCTCTCCAGGCTTCAGTGAAGGCAACCTGAAGCCTCCGGAGCGCGGCAGAAGTTCCCGCTGCGCTCCGGAGGCTTCGGGTTCCTTTTGCTGAAGCCAGGACAGCAGGATTCTCCTGGCTTCGGTGAAAGGAGAGGCGAAAGGAAAGGCTTCAGCGAAAGGAGCAGCCTTCCCACTGCTCCCAGAGCTTGTCGGGGCTGGCGGGGGAAGCCCGGGTCGTCCCCCCCCAGCCCCAGGGACCACATGTTTGCTCCATAAGACGCACAGACATTTCCCCTTAGATTTTAAGAGGAAAAAAGTGTGTCTTATGAAACGAAAAATACGGTAAGTGTTCCTTGATTGTCAAGTAGAGTTCCCGATTTTCCAGGCTTGTGACGGTGGTTTCATTGCAAACGATGGCCCTGCTATATGTGCAATGAAGGAATCTACCCCCAATGCATCAACTAATGTCGCCTTGCACCATTTCAGGTCTGGCTCCCGGCCGTGAAGGCCAAGGGTTTGGAGATTTCGGGTACCTTCAGCCGGCAAGTGGGCTCCATCTCCATGGACCTCGTGCTCTCCAACAAGGCCCTGCAAGTCATGTCTGACTTCGCCATCCAGTTCAACCGGAACAGGTAAAAGCCGCCACCTCTTCCCTTCCTGTGCTGTGTTTCAGTGTGGCCTTCTCTCCCCACCTCCACAAGGAGTCCTCCCATACAGAGGGGGCGCCATAGCCAGGGAGCCTCTTGTGATGATCCTTGTGTCACTGAATGGCTGGTTTGATGAACCAACCTCGCCCTCTAAGAAGTTGACTGAAGAGGCTTAACCAGCTAGGACGGGGCGGGGAATATTCTTTCCAGCCCGAGAGCCGCATACCCTCATATACTACCTTCCGGGGGCCACTGGCAGTGGTGGGTGGGGCCAGAGTCAAAACTGGGCAGGGCCACAGATTGAACTGCGCCCGCCAGTAGCATGGCCAGGGATAGCAGTCCCTGACGGAACATTTGAAAATTGCTGAAGTTCTTGGCAGACCGCTTAAGGCAGCAATTCCCAAACTTGGGTCTCCAGCTATTTATTTTTTTTGACTACAACTCCCATCATCCCTAGCTACCAGGACCCAGTGGTCAGGAATGATGGGAACTGTAGTCCAAAAAAAAAAACCCAGTTTGGGAAACACTGACTTAAGGGGGAATTTATTTATTATTTTTGCCTTTTGTAATGCACTGTGCTAGAGGCAGTAGGATATTGAATTGGATCCTTTTTGTTTCTTGCATTTTGCGTTCGGTTGTATGATTTGTCCGTGCCATTTACTAATTCCTGTGCCGGCCGATTTGGAAGAGACGCAACTTGGTTGCAGGGCATGTGCTTGGCGAGCGGACGTTCCCAGGTTCAGACCCCAGCAACTCCAGGCAGGGCTGGAAGTGTCCCTTGCCTGGAGCCCTGGAGAGCTGCTACCTGTCAGTGTAGGCAGTACTTAGTGATATGGACCAATGCATCTGATCCAGTCTATAAGGCAGCTTCTTATGTACCCCTCACACTCTTGTCAGTTTCCTGCCTCCCTGACAGAGAGTGACCCGGCATCTAAACTCCTTTGCCAAAGAAAGCCTGTTGCTAGTTTCTTTCCAGTGTCTCTTAAACAGGAGGGTTTTGTAGCAGCCCTTTAAATATTTCCTTGTGTTTACACTAACTTGTATCCTTTCTTTACGATATGATAGAGATTTATATACAATAATTTTATTAGGAAATGCACTGAGTACTGTATTCAACAATGGATTATAGGAAGGGAGAATGCAAGAAGCAAGATGTATTTTTGCTATTAGCCTATCTTCTGAGATTAAACAAAGCACAACTGTTAAAATGGTTCCAGCTAATCCAGTGAGACTTCTAGGGTTAGTATTTTAAGACGTGTGTATGGGAATATAATGTTTAACCTTCTCTGAATCGTGTGTTGCTAGAGAGGTTTGTCACTGGCTAATGGGAATTTAATGAAGTTCAGACTTCATAATCTAGTATTAATTGTCATTAACATCTGTATGTTTGTAAAGTCAAATGTCTGAAGCAGAAGTCTTTTTACCGTTTTTATAGCTGGCAGCATTAAACCTTAAACGTTCATACTATCAATAAAGGTTTTTATTTTTATGATGTGAAAAAATGAAAAGAAAAGAAAGCCTGTTGCTGCTGCCGCCGCCGCTGGTTGCATCTTACTGTCTTTCCTCGTCCGTATCCCTTGCAACCCCCGGTGTTGCAAGTAAATAAGGGATACCTGTTGCCCACTCAAAATGTGTCCAGGAATCGACAGATGCAGCAGTGGAGAAAAAGAAGGCAAAGTTTATTGCTGAGGAATAAAGACCCAGTGGAATAGTTTCCAGAGCCCGGGCGCCAAAGCCCCTGTGCATTGGGTTGTTATACCTGAGTACAAACAGCATAAAACATGACATATTCGTATGTTGCAGCAAAAATCAAACCAATGAGCACGCACAAGCTCTTCCTCTGCCCATGTAAAGAATATTTCTGCTTTTCTCAGATGGTGCATCAGTTTGCCCTTTACCCTAATTTTCAGCAATAAAGAGGAAAAGAAACCTATTTGGCCGTTGAAACCTGAATAACCCCCACCATCTTAGACTTAGAACATTGCATTGTGGCTGACTGCTTTTTCCTGTTCCCTAACTCAGCCCCATCTTGAGAGCCTGAGAAGCTGTCTGGAGAAGGTTCCCTATAGAAAATGCCAACACATCAGATTTATTGTTTCCTTCAAGCACAATAGCAGGGCAGAGAGAGAAATAGGGCAGAGGGCAACTTTTGGATTTTTAAGATTTAAGCACTTTTAGCTCTGCTGAAGCCTTAGTGATTTGAACATCACTAGGATACAGGGATATATAAAAATCATCATTAGGATATATGGTTATATATGGATATATGGTTATATAGAAATCATAAAGGTAAAATTCTTCCAGGTGGTCTTGCCACACCGGGGGCCCTCCCCTTCTAACTGGCTGTTCCCTTTCAGCTTCGGCCTGGCCCCCGCCGCACCCCTCCAGGTCCACGCCCCTCTTGCCCCGAACCAGAGCGTGGAGATCTCCCTTCCCCTCAACACGGTCGGCTCGGTCATGAAGATGGATCCCCTGAACAACCTCCAGGTGAGCCAAGGTGGCAAGGGGCCAGCAGCAGGTCATGTGGTGCAGAGGCCGTAGTTCAGCGGCAGAACCCCTGCTCTGCATGCAGAAGGAAGTCCCAGGTTGTGTGCCAGCTTCAGTCCCTGGCATATGCAGCCTGGGCTGGGAGAGAGACCTCCCTGTGTAAAACCCAGGAGAGAGCTGCTGGCAGTCAGTGCAAACAATACTGAACTGGACGGACCCATGGTCCGATTCGATATTGGGTAGCTGTTTAACTTGGCTCTGGGTTCTTTTTAAACCACATGGACTAGAATCTGTAGCTTAGTGGAAGAGCATCTGCTATGCCTATAGAAAATGCCGACCCCCAATGGCATTTCCAGGTAGGACTGTGAGAGAGACCCCTGCCTGAACTCCCTGGCTGTTGGTGTAGACAATGCTGAACTGGACATCTATTTATCATTGGGTATCTATTTATCATTTCTATTCTATTCTATTCTGTTTATTTATATCCCGCCTTTTCCCGTCACAGGGATTCAAGGCAGTTTACAACTAAAATAGAAACAGCAAAAAACATTTGGGGGAAAGCAATCATTTTTAAAAACACACAATTAAACGTCAGTAGAATTAAACTTTAAAAAATTCATCTCTATATCCTCATTTTAATCCCAAGGGGAAATAATAAAATAAAAATTCCTGCCTGTTGCACAAAAGGTCATTCAAGGCAGTTAACAATGTTAAAAAGAAAAACTTATTAAGAGCGGCAAACTTGGAGCAGTCTAACATCTAAGGATCGTCAGGGACTCCAGAAGCAACAACACAGCTATTGTTTGTCACTTCAGGGGCACTTTCCAGAGCTTCTATCCGTAAGAAATCAGAAACAATCTCAGGAGAAAACGGGGCAAGGAAATAATTAAGACAGAGCTCCAGCGGTTCAGGACAATTTGTTCTCCTATTCCAGGGAATCCTAATATTTGTGCAGGCAAAAACAAAAGAGGAAGAAATCTGGTAGAGAAATAATACATTTCTTCTAGTATTTTTAGATCTGGCCATTTGTATCACACCTTTCCCTCCAGCGAGCTCAAGGAGGCATGTGTGCTTCTCTTTCTCTCCATTTTATACTCACAACAACCCTGTCAGGTAGGTCAGGCTGAGACATTGTGAGTGGCCCGAGGGAAACGCTCTTGTCTGGAGCTCTGGAGAGCCACGCATCAGTCACATTGATAAATAAAAGGAACCCCACCCCCACCCCTGTTTTGCCCATCATCAACCCACACAGCAATGTGGCAGGGTGATCCACACGTGACTTACTTATGGCAAGAACGTAAGAAAAGCCGGCTGGATCTTTCAGGGGCCTGTCTAGCCCAGCATCATCTCCTCACAGTGGCCAATCAGATGCCCGGAATTGTAGGTGATATACTTGCAATTCGGCAAGTATTTAGGTTTGTGGTTCTGTACAGTTCTATGGAAAATCAGTGGAAGCTTTTACACATGCACGTGCGTGCACGTTTACGCAAGCCTTTGCAAGGCACCGGCTTCTGTTTCGGCAGGCTTTGTCCGTCACACTTTGGAACACATCTTAAGGGCTAGAAACTTGAGTAGTATTCTGAAACAAAGTTCTGTTCTGTGCTCCTGCAGAATTGCGGCTTGCGTTCCTAGCCCAGTTCTGGAATGTATGTCGGTGGGTCCCAGCCTAGCCAGAGTATATTATCTTATTCTCCCCCCACCCCCCTTCTTCTCTGTTTGGTTCCAGGTGGCCGTGAAGAACAACATAGATGTGTTCTACTTCAGCACCCTCTACCCTCTGCACATCCTCTTTGTGGAAGACGGGAAAATGGGTAGGTTGGCGACAGTCTGGGATGCAGAAGACCCTGAAGCTGGAAGGATGGAAAAGACTTGGGTGCCTCCTCCAGGATTTTTGGTCACATCCACACCATGTATTTTAAGCACTGCAATACCACTTTATACCCTCATGGGATTGCCCCAGAGAATTCTGGGAGCTGTAGTTTGGTGTTGTTTGGAGAGACTCCCTATTCCCCTCCCAGAACTACACTGCCCAGAGTTCCTCAGGTATAATAATAATAATAATAATAATAATAATAATAATAATAAAATTTATTTATACCCTACCCTCCCTGGCCAGAGTCGGGCTCAGGGCGGCTAACACCAATAAAATCACAGTAAAAACATAATAGGGGGAGGGGGGAGAGGAAAAAAACCCAATTTAAAATACAGGTTAAAATGCAATTTAAAATGCAGCCTCATTTTAAAGTAGCTGATAAATCAAGACCATAAGGGGAGAGAAACATAAGGGTCAGACCGAGTCCAAACCAAAGGCCAGGCGGAACAGCTCTGTCTTGCAGGCCCTGTGGAAAGATGTCCAGTCTCGCAGGGCCCTAAGTCTCTCATGACAGGGATTAGTTGAAACCAATCTGTTGATGGTTAAATCTCTCTGAGAATCGTAGCTCTGGGAGGGGAACAGGGGCCTCCTAGCAACTCTCTCAGCACCCTTAACAAACTACAACTCCCAGGTTTCTCGGGGGCAGGGGGGGCCATGACTGTTCAGAGTGGGCTTTAAATGTTGTGGTGTGAAGGTGGCCCGCGTCTTCATGTGCTACAGAGAGTGGGGTTGACTCCCCTAGATCTGTATAGCAAGCTTCAGATCAGAGTGACAATCTGAGCCTGGGGTTCCATAAGAACCTAGTGGCTGGATCTGACCAAAGGGGGCCTATCCAGTCCAGCATCCTGTTCTCACAGTGACCCAACTGGATGCCTCAATGAGAAGCCCACAAGCAGGACCTGAGTGCAACATCCACACACCCTCCTCTTTACAGCAGAGGCATGAACATAACCATGGACAGCTCCTACCCTCCATGAATTTGACTAATCCCCCTTTAAAGCCGTTGGAGAGTTGGTAGCACCACTTCTGGGGGAAAATTCCATAGTTTTAACTTGGTGCTGGGTGGAGGAAGTGCTTCCGTTCATCTACCCCAAGTCTTCCAACACCTTCCTTATGCTGAACCCCAAGTGAGACTTGAAGACCACCATAAAGATAGAAGCACCTGCCATTCTACACTCTTTGGAGTACTAGACCTGGGGAAGAGGCTGGTAGCTCAGTGATAAAAGCAGTTGCGGACCCAGGTTTCTTAGGAGAGGTGGCTCCTGCGTCGCTTTAAAGGAGGGACCCTTTTCTGGAAAAGCTTCCCCCTCTTCCCCCCACATCCAACCCACACTGGAGAGCCAGTGTGGTGTAGTGGTTAAGAGCGGTAGACTTGTAATCTGGTGAACCGGGTTCGCGTCTCTGCTCCTCCACATGCAGCTGCTGGGTGACCTTGGGCCAGTCACACTTCTCTGAAGTCTCTCAGCCCCACTCACCTCAAAGAGTGTTTGTTGCGGGGGAGGAAGGGAAAGGAGATTGTTAGCTGCTTTGAGACTCCTTTGGGTAGTGATAAAGCGGGATATCAAACCCAAACTCTTCTTCTTCTGCTGCTTCTTCCTCCTCCAGAGCGACAGATGTTCCTGGCTACCTGGAAGGACATCCCCAACGAGAATGAAGCACAGTTCCAGATCAAAGACTGCCCTCTTGGCGCAGGTGAGAAGAGAGCTGTCTAATCTAGAATAGCTGCTGACCGTTTGCTTATATGCCCTCCTGTTCTCTAGAGAGCTCAGACCAGCTTCGCTGTGGTTCCTAGACACATAACGGCGACGGCAAGCTGGAATTCGTAAACTGGTGTGCTGTTGTACTAAGGAGCTAGGCCAGGTTGCCACTTCCACTCGTATGGACCCAACAGTAGAGACCCTCCAGTAGAGAGCCTTTTGACCTGTGACAGCCGGTGCCCTTTGGGACCGGTAGGGCAGAAGGCAGGGAGCCCAACAGTAAAAGGTAAAGGGACCCCTGACCGTTAGGTCCGGTTGTGGACGACTCTGGGGTTGTGGTGCTCATCTTGCTTTACTGGCCGAGGGAGCCGGCGTACAGCTTCCGGGTCGTTTGGACAGCATGACTAAGCCGCTTCTAGCGAACCAAAGCAGCGCACGGAAACGCCATTTACCTTCCCGCTGGAGCAGTACCTGTTTATCTACTTGCACTTTGACTTGCTTTCAAACTGCTAGGTTGGCAGGACCTGGGACTGAGCAACGGGAGCTCACCCCGTCGCGGGGATTCGAACCGCCAACCTTCTGATCAGCAAGCCCTAGGCTCTGCGGTTTAGACCACAGCGCCACCCGCATAGTAGGTGGCGCCAAAGCCAGTAACATGCAGAGCCAACTCATTCTTAGTTTCTCCTCTGTCCTCCTCCCTTCTGAGTTCTATAGGGACAGCATTGAGACTTAGGAGGAGTAAGAAGCTGATTGGACACTGCCATGCCCTTGACTGGTGGTTAAGTAGGAAGGCTTGCAGGTGGGGGCTGACTGAGTTTGGTGGGGCAGGGCCCGTTACATTACCCATTGCGGTGTAGCGGTTAGAGTGCCAGACTAGGACCTGGGAGACCAGGGTTCAAATCCCCACTTGGCCATGGATCTCACTTGGGTGAGCTTGGGCCAGTCACTACCTCTTAGCCTAACCTCCCTCGCAGGGTCGTTGTGTGGATTAAAGAAGGGGAGGAGAAGAATGTTCATCACCTTGAGCTCCTTAAGAGGGGCAAAAGCAGGATGGAAATGCACTGAATAAATTTAATTTTCCTAGGAAGCTCCTTATACTGAGTCAGACTCATTGGTCCATATCTCCCAGTATTATCTACACCGACAGCCAGCAGCAGTGTTCTTCTGCAAACATAAGAACTAGGAACTTGATTCTTTCTTTTCATCTGAGAGCTGGAAGCCTCAGGCAAACTGAAGCTGGTGCCCATTCAGTTTTGTGTGCATGTGCAATAGCGCCACGATTTATTTGCATGTGTGTGTGTGTGTGTGTGTGTGTGTGTGTGTGTGTGTATCTGGGCCCGCAGATGCAGTTAGCAGCAAGCTTCAAGGAAGCAACATCTTCACCATTGCAAAGAGGAATGTTGAAGGCCAAGACATGCTGTACCAGTCCCTCAAGCTGACCAATGGCATCTGGGTCCTGGCAGAGCTGCGGATCCAACCTGGGAGCAGTAACTTCACGGTATGGCCCTTCTTGTGCACCTCCCTGCTCTTTGCAGAGGTTCTCTGTATAGCTCTATCATTGTTTTAGGCATAGATGAATCTGTGATATTAACAGGTGCTTTTAAAATTTGCTGGGTGTGGTGCGAAAATCATTGCCCACCTGCTCACCCCACAGACAGCACCTTAGATCTTCCCTTCCCACCTTATGAAACTCCGTTTTCACAGAGTGACCTTTCCGCCCCCCTTTAGAACATTGGAAAACAGCCAACAAGAACAAAGTGATGAAAACCTTGCAGTCTTATTCTATAGTAAGATAAGTCATACCCCAGTCCTGGTGCAAGTAGTCAGCTGGGTTGGGCACTGGCCAAGTGTCCCTCTCCATCCTGACCCGGCCACACCACCCCTTATCAAACACACGCCTTCAGGGCCCACAAGCGCCTGATCTGGCTGACTGCTGGCATCAGGCCTGTGGAATTTCTAATTTTTGCACGGTGCCTAAGAAAGCAGCCTCAAAAAAATAATTAGATGAGGGAGGAGGAATTGGACAGGTTAAAAAGCTTGTGAATTTCTTAAAACACAAACCTCATTGGGGAGAGCATTCCATAGTCAGGGTGCCGCCACCAAGAAGTCTCTGGTCCCCCCTATTATTTGGGGTCTCTGGAAAAGGGCCTGTTGTTGAAGCCCCACCCTTTCCATACATCTGAAATGAGACATGATTACCAAAAACATAACCACCTGCTTCCCTGCCCCATCCTGCCCCATTGGATAGAACTGGTGGCGTGCTCTTGTTTTTCCTTCCTGTTTTGGTTATGAAACATTCTTCCCCCCCACATTTGGGGTGACAATTTAATCTATTTGTATGTGTATGTTTTTGTTTTTCCATGTCCATCCGCCCTCCCCATGGGCCCGCCCCTCCCTGATCTTTCAGGATTTGGAGGTTAGCAGAATATTTGTGTGCTTTTCATTTTCATTTTATTTTTTTTTAAAAAAGAAATCTTCTGAATCCAGCTGCTTACTCTCCACTTCACCCCCTGCCATTTTATTCCAGCCCCTCCCCCTGCCAGCTTGCGCCTGATGTTCTTTTTGGCAGTGCTGCACCACCAAGCAAGCACCATCCTAACAAATAACAGATCGTGCCAGCGGTGGGAGGGGGGAAGACTTCAGAAGAGCAACGACACCGGTGATGGGGGGGCGGGAATGGGTGTTAATCCAGATGATGTGGGACTCCCATCAGCATCAGCAACCATGTCCACAATGGTCAGGGATGATGGGAGTTGTAGTTCAGCAGATGGCTGCAGGTTTCACCGTCACTGAAATAATACCTTGCTCAGAACCATAGTTTCTCCTTTCACCTTGTGTGGCAAGGCTAACCTGCCCTTTCAGTGGGTACTAGGGCGGTTCATAAAAAACGTGTGTTGTTTTTTTAAATGCCTGCTCCAAAGGTCTTATCTTACTACACTAGGGATTATATAGCTATATCTGAAATTTCATGCACATCAGTTAATATCTTGACCCTCCTCCACGAAAACACCTGTTTACTTGGCTGTTTTCCTATGTCGTGAAGGCTGAAATTTCAATTCAGCGGAGCAGGGTCAAGATATTAACTGATATAGCTATATAATCCCTAGTGTAGTAAGATAAGACCTTTGGAGCTGGCATTTAAAAAAAAAAAAAAAGTTTTAAATGAACCGCCCTAATGGGTACCCCTCCCTTTCCCAAGTTATTAACATAAGCTGGACCAGTGCTGTCTCTAAAAACCCCAGAGAGACAAGCTGGTGTAGTGGTTAGAGCAGTTCCACCGACCTGGCAGCTTCCCGATGACGCTGGACTTGCAAGTCCCATCATCCCTGACTGAGTCCCTTGCTGACATCAGCGCCTTTGATAGAGGGAGGCATTGGCTGTGTCCACAATATTCATTTAAAGCACTGCGGTACCACTTTTAACAGCAATGGCTCCCCCCCGCCGCCCCAAAGAATCCTGGGAGTTGTAGTTGGTTAAGGGCACCAAGAGTTGTTAGGAGAGAGCCCTTTAGTTCTGCTCACGGAGCTACAATTTGCAGAGATGTCTGGAAAGAGGGGTTGACCACTCTGGGAATTGTAGCACTGCGAGGGGAACGGTAAAGCTCTCGCCTAACATCTCTTAATGAACTACAACTCCCAGGATCCTCGGGTGGGTGGAGCCATGACTGTTTAAAGCGGTAAAGCGGTGCTTTGATTATACGGTGCAGTTGTGACATTTGTTTCAGGGGAAGGACGGGAGGGGAAACTTCCAATCTGGAAAAGGCCGCCTTGAGCTAAAACTGCAGCTGCCGCTCTCTTTTCCACCCACTGATAACTTGGCATAAACAGTCCTCCTTTTAATCTCTGAGCATGTCGTCTTTTATTTTTTTCCTCTCCCCCCGTCTCCTGGATTAAATATGCTCCAGTTTACTAACACTGCTGGCCTAGTAAGAAACTCTGCACTTCTGCGTTCAGAGGGAGAGAAAGAGAGGGATACATAAATAAATACATATATTTCCCTCTTCCTCCTTTTCTCCTGCAGCTGTCTCTGAAGTGTCGGGCTCCTGAAGTGGCCCAGCACGTTTTCCAGGCCTATGAAACCATCCTGAAGAACTGAAGTCTCCTCCATGCGCTGCTGCTGCTGCCCTCCCGTCTCTTTTCTGCCCCTTCCCTCCCGAACCCACCTCCTCCTCCCCGCCCCCCATCCCAGAAGCGGTGGTGAGATTTCATTGGGACCAACAAAGAAACAAAAAACACCCCAAACCCCTCCAGGCCTGCCCCTCTCTTTGTGGAATCGAATCCCTCCCGACCCAAGTTGTGTTTTCAACGCTTCTGAAACGACGGCATTAATCGCCTAGAAATTGGGAACCGGCAAGGAGGGCAGGGTTGGGGTGAGGTGGGGGCATGTTGGAGAGCAACCGGGACCCAGTCTTCAGCTTTGGGGGAAACGTAGAGGTGCTGGGAAGAAGATCTGTGCAGAGGGGATGGGAGATTTTTCTGTGTGCGTGTGTGTTGCATGTCAACTTCAGAATTCCTGCCTTCCTGTTCCCCTCGGCTGACGTTCTGCCTCTTCTTGGGAGCCCTGCACTCAGCTCTCTCTTTTTGCCCTCTGTACATGTGCAGAGGTTCGACGATCAGCGTGAGATCACGCGCACCGTGCTGTGGCTATGCGAGTCAGGGAGGTGATGATGATGCCCATGCACCTTTTTAGCGTCTCCCCACCCCCACCCCACCCTTTGCCGTCTTGCTAGTCTCTCATCTGAATAAACAATCAAACGCTCCTAGTGCTGAAAACAAAAGCGAAGTGGTTTGTGCTTTCCTTGCCCAGCCTTAAAAAAACAAACCCAAAAGATCTCTGTGCATGTTGGGGGTGGGGAAATTAATAACAATAATAATAATTTTTATTTATTCCCCGCCCTCCCCAGCCATGGCCAGGCTCAGGGCGGCTAACAAGCAGTAATAAAAACAAGTTGAATGAATACAACTTAAAAACAAAATTAAAATACAACATTAAAATATTAAAATGTAGCCTCATCACAGGAGGAGAAAGGGAAAAAAGAAAGAGAGGGAGGGAATCAAATTGGCTCCAAGCCAAAGGCCAGGCGGAACAACTCTGTCTTACAGGCCCTGCGGGAAGAAATCAGATCCTGCAGGGCCCTGGTCTCATGTGGCAGAGCGTTCCACCAGGCCGGAGCCAGAGTTGAAAAGGCCCTGGCTCTGGTTGAAGCCAATCTAACTTCCTTAGGGCCTGGGACCACTAGGGTGTTGCTATTTATGGACCTTGAGGCTCTTCGTGGGGCATACCGGGAGAGGCGGTCCCGTAGGTACAAGGGTCCTCGGTTAAAATGATGGGTGATCACTTGCTTATAAAGCAAGGGAGGGGGGATCAGTGACCCTGCAGATGTTGCTGCCTGTCATTTATGCCAACAGGTTTGTAGGAACAGAGGATGCTGCCTTATACTGAGTCAAACCGTTGGCTCGGTATTGTCTTCAGCGATTGGTTAATCTGCAGAACTCACTCCTGCAGGAGCCACTGACTCGTGCGTGGCTTTAAAAAGAGGGCAGGGCAAATTCATGGAGGAGGAGACGACAAATCCACGGTTACCAGCCTCAATGGCTATGCTCCTGTCTCCACAGTCTGAGGCAGCAATGCTTCTGAGTACCAGATTCTGGGAATGGCAAGAGGGGAGTGATGTGTTCAAGTCCTGTTTGTGGACTTCCTATTGGGGCATCTGGTTGGCTACTGTGAGAGCGGGATATGCTGGACTAGATGGGCCACAGGCCTGATCCTGCACGGCTCTTCTTGTGTTCAGGCCAGTGCCCCATCTATTCAGCATCCAGTTCTCACAGTGGCCAACCAGATGCCCGAATGGGAAGCTTGCAAACGGAATCTGAGCCCAAGAGCATTCTCTCTTCATGTGGTTTTCAGCAGCTGGAATTCAGAAGTTTTGTTGCCTCTGACAGTGGAAATAGAATGCAGCCATTAAGGTTAATAAGTTCAATAGCTGACATTTCAGTTTTTCTTTAAAAGATCTGATTGCAGATTCTGGGCATCTAGGTAAATTTAGACTCTGGGTTTAATGGTCCTATGGGAGGACTCAGACAGCTGTCAGTATTGCATCAGTGGTGAAGCATACGATGCCTGAACCAGATTGGCCTGGGATTAGGCAATTTTCTATATTTGGGGTTGGAGTGGGGAGTGAGATTTCTCTCCTGCTGGTGTTGGCCTCCATGAAAAAATGGGAACAGTTGAGTCTGTCCCAAATGTTCAGCAGCTGCCTCAAAGGAGGAAAACGTCTGTTTTCCCTATGTGTTGTGTAGGCAAAGGCTTGGCTGTCTGTCGCAACGAATGTGTGAGGATGTTGTGTGAATGTGCCCACAGGCAGCTGGTGCCAACCATCACGGCTGCCTCCTAGCAGGCAGGTGTTCACACCCACGGAATTCATAAAGAATGCTCAGCAATCCAAGAAATGTGAACTCTAACTTAGGAAGAGAACGCCTGAGTTCCAGTGAATCCCCATAGATGTTCGTGTTGACCTTTAATTTGCTCCAAACTCCATAGAGCGGCAATGGGGTCCTTCTGGGTGATGTCGGGCTCCAGTACCCCATAAGTATCAGCCACTGACAATCACGGATGGTGGGAGTTTTAGCACAGCAACAGCTTGAAGCTGCGACCTCTGGACTGTCTTCAAGGGTTGTCCCATGTTCAGTGCAATACAGTAGTCTAGGCAGGAGGCCAGCAGAGTGAAAAGGGAAATGCTCGTAATAGGTGACATGATAGACGTTTATAAAACGCAAGCATGACATGGAGAAAGGATTCGGACTCATGGGCATCCCATGAAGCTGAGTGTTGGAAGATTCAGGACAGGATTTCACCACACAGCAGATAGTTAAAACTATGGACCTCACTCAGGAGACGGTGACGTCTACCAACATAGATGGCTTTAAAAGTGGATTCGACAAATTTGTGAAGGGGAGGACAATTGATGGATGCTAGCCATGATGGCTATTGTCTGTCTCCACGATCAGAGGCAGCCCTGCTTCTGAATACCAGTTGCTGGAAATTGCAGGAGGGGATAAGGTTCTTGTGTTCAAGTCCTGTTTGTGGGTTTGGCTACTGTGAGACCAGGATTCCGGTCTAGATGGGCCGTTGCCCTGATCCAGCAGGCTGTTATATTCTCATTCCTGCTCTGGGTGCCCTCCAAGTTCTAGACATTCAGGCTGGGGAGATGATAGGAACCTGAAAGACCTGGAGCATACCAGGTTTGGGGAGGCTGGCCTAAAACAAGGGAGAGGAACTCATGACCCACCCACCCCAAACTACAACTCCCATCATCCCTGATTATTGGCTATGGCGGCTGTGGGGCCTGATTGGAGTCCTATTCCAGCAGACTACACATTTATCAAACTGCACTACTGCTCAAGTACAACAATCAGCTGGTTCGATATATATATATCTTTTGCATCACTTTCCAGAGTGCTTATTTGCAGGCTTGGTGAAGAATACTTAAAATCTGGCCTTTTCTGTTGGCTCCTTCCGCAAGGGCATCTCTCCCCTGCCTCTCTCTGCATAGTGCTAAAAAGCCATTGCTGTTTATCCTCCTCTCCCACCGCCACTCCTCCTGGCTCCTTGGTATTGTCCCCATCCTATTAAACCTCTCAAACACCTCCTGCCTCTCAGCCTGGCATCAAAGCTCTCAATGTGCTGGGATGCTTGTCCACTGGCCCATTTTTTTAAAAAGTTTGCTGAGTGAGCTGCACAGATTTGTGGGCGAGAGCTCTCTGTGTGCTGTTCTATTGCAGCAGTTTGGTCAAGGAGAAGCAGGCCCTGTGGCAGAGCCTTGGGAGTCCACCAGAGGTCCAGTTGCAAGCCCGAGGATGTAAACAAAGCCCTGCCAAACTGCACTTCCTGATTCTAGGATTCTGCTTCCAGCCACATCCAGTAGGGAAGGACTGATCTGCCAGTTTGGGGGCACTCTCTTGTTTTTCCACATTTGCACCTCGACTTGCAAACTTTTCTTTTTTAAAAAAATGGCACAAAAAAGAAGACAGTGACTCACCCATGGCTGGGTCAGTATTTGAAGTTGGGGTCTCTGGCCCCACCACCACTGACATGTGGCCCCCAGCAGGCCCCCCAGTAAGGAATGCGGCCCTTGGAGCAGAAAAAGAAAATGTTCCTCAGTCCTGATAGTAGTCTTGGGTTTTTGTTTTCCTTTTTGCCAAACCTGACGTCTCACTCTCCCTGTTCCTCAAACCCTTGTTCCTAAAATACTCTTTCCCCATGCCTCTGCTTTATATTGCCAGGCCGCCTCCACTCTGAACAGTCACATGGTCTGCTTATTCCTCTCCGCAAGTTTTGCCCATCTGCTCCTTAAATGTGCTAATTCCTTCCAGCTACACGTTCAGCTTTTCCATCTGAAACAGCTGCTCTCTTGGCGCAAGAGGTGTGCCTCGTGCCTCCCCAAACCCCAAAGGAGCCCTGTCCGTTTCCTGCTCCTCTAGGAAGCTCCTTGCAGCCTCAACCCAGTTTGTCTGGCCTCTATAAACCGGGATGAAAGCTGAAAGTGCCGTATTGTTTACACACGCCATTTCTACACTGCTTCGGATATAAACCTTATCTCTATGCGGTGTGTGGAAAGCGAACACAACGCCAACGATGTGTGGGGCTTCCCTTGTGCTTGATCCAGAAGCTGCGGCTGCTGCAAAATGCTGCGACATGATTGCTGGCGCGAGCTTGGCTTGTCAGCATCTAAAACCTGTGAAACCAAAGGGTGTGACGGAAGCAGGAAAGCTACCTTTGCTGCCTTCACAGCTACACAGTGATGGTATACTCTTAACACAGTGCTTCTTGCACTTATTCAGGCTAAAAATTATTCAGGCTAAAAATTTGGGAGATCCTTCTGGATCAGGCATAGGCAAACTTAGCCGTCCAGATGTTTTGAGACTACAACTCCCATCATCCCTAGCTAACAGGACCAGTGGTCAGGGATGATGGGAACTGTAGTCCCAAAACATCTGGAGGGCCAAGTTTGCCTATGCTTGTTCTTGATGATCCCCTAAGTCAGGGGTCAGCAAACTTTTTCAGCAGGGGGCCTGTCCACTGTCCCTCAGACCTTCTGGGGGCCGGACTATATTTGGGGGGGGGGGGAATGAATGAATTTTTATGCCCCACAAATAACCCAGAGATACATTTTAAATAAAAGCACACATTCTACTCATGTAAAAACACCAGGCAGGCCCCACAAATAACCCAGAGGTGCATTTTAAATAAAAGGGCACATTCTACTCATGTAAAAACACGCTGATTCCTGGACTCTCTGCAGGCCAGATTTAGAAGGTGATTGGGCTGGATCTGGCCCCCGGGCCTTAGTTTGCCTACCCATGTCCTAAGTCCCTTCTAACTGCTGAGGTCCTGTGCCCAGTGGGGTTAAACTAGGACAAGAAGATGTTGCTGAACTAGTCAGATGAGTTTTGTGGGACAGTGACCTTAGCTGGGAACGAGTGTCCTCATCAGTATCCCAAAAGAATGAGCTAGGTTGCAAGAGCTACCAATAAAAAGGTTAAAAAAAAAAAAAAAGGTAAAGGAACCCTGGATGGTTAAGTCCAGTCAAAGGCCGAGGGAGCCAGCGTTTGTCCACAGACAGCTTTCCAGGTCATGTGGCCAGCATGACTAAACCGCTTCTGGCACAACATAACACCATGATGGAAACCAGAGCGCACGGAAATGCCGTTTACCTTCCCGCCACAGCGGTACCTATTTATCTACTTGCACTGGTGTGCTTTCGAACTGCTAGGTTGGCAGGAGCTGGGACAGAGCAACAGGAGCTCACCCCCGTCATGGGGATTCGAACCGCTGACCTTCTGATCGGCAAGCCCAAGAGGCTCAGTGGTTTAGACCACAGTGCCATTCGCGTCCCAATAAGTGACTACCAATAAGTGATGGTGAGCTCCAGGCCAATGGATGGGCCTTTTCTTCACACCCCCTTACCTAGCTGCTTGGTAGAAGAACAGCCACTGTTATGGGGGAACTGGAATCAGGCTGGAAGCTGGAGACACAGAGACGTGTTTGCACTGTGCTGGATCCAAAGCTGTGGCTAAGCGAGAAGCAAGATCTGTTGGGGTGTTAATGATGTGAGCCGCTCCATCCTGTGCTCAGGTTGCATATATGCGTATATATATCTTAAAGGAACCACAATCTTTGCTGACCCTCATTCCAAGGAAACAGAACCCTGAGCCTGAGGTGCCTGGAATCTCTTGACTGCTCTGCGATTGGGGTGGCATGTAATATGCTTAATAATAATAATAATAATAATAATTTTTTATTTATATCACGCCCTCCCCAGCCGAAGCCGGGCTCAGGGCGGCTAACAACAATAAAATAATACAATATTCTAAAATCATTTCATTATAAAATTAATTCAAATCAAATTAATGGCAACCATTGGGCTAGAGTTCTGTGAAGATTGCCAAAGGAGGGAGTCAGGCTGTGCCTTGGCCAAAGGCCTGGTGGAACAGCTCTGTCTTGCAGGCCCTGCGGAAAGATGTCAAGTCGTGCAGGGCCCTAGTCTCTTGTGACAGAGCGTTCCACCAGATTGGAGCCACAGCCGAAAAAGCCCTGGCTCTGGTTGAGGCCAGCCTAACCTCTCTGTGGCCTGGGACCTCCAAGGTGTTTTTGTTTGAAGACCGTAAGTTCCTCTGTGGGACATACCAGGAGAGGCAGTCCCGTAGGTACGAGGGTCCTAGGCCGTATAGGGCTTTGAAGGTTAAAACCAGCACCTTAAACCTGATCCTGTACTCCACCGGGAGCCAGTGCAGCTGGTATAGCACTGGGTGAATGTGATCTCGCAGCGAGGACCCCGTGAGGAGTCTTGCCGCAGCATTCTGCACCCACTGGAGTTTCTGGGTCAGTCTCAAGGGCAGCCCCACGTAGAGCGAGTTACAATAATCTAGTCTGGAGGTGACCGTCGCGTGGATCACAGTGGCTAGGTCAGAGTGAGAGAGGTAAGGAGCCAACTGCTTAGCTTGGCGGACATGAAAAAATGAGTGGAGTGGGTATTTAAAGCTATTGTACCATGCCGGCTGGGGATGATGGGAGCTGTAGTCCAAAGCACTTGGAGGGCACCAGCTTGGGGAAGCCTGATGATGCGATTATCTTTCTCACGTGACATTCCCCCCACAGAGGGTGTTTTTGACTGGCATCCCATGAGGGTCTGCTAAGCCCCTCTTTGTCTGCTCTCTTAATCGCATTCCCACATCAATTTGCCACAGTGCAGACAATGATGAGAGCCTGTCCTCTGGCGAGAGCAGGCTACGCTTTTTGCCGCAATCAGAAATTCCTCCTCCTGATGAGCTTTTGTGCCAAGTGGAAGCTGACAGCCTCCTTGCAGCGAGCAGCCCCCTCTCTGCTCCTTTCAGCTCAGGACAATCAAGTGATTTCAACATTCTGGAAGGAACAGCATTCTCCAGGAACGCGGGCGGACGGGCTTTCTTCCCCTCGCACAAGCCAACGGATGGAGTTCGTTGAACAAAAGGGGCCTGACTTAAGGCTTGCAATCATGGAAACACCAGGCAGAGACTGGCCGTCAACCTTAAACATTGTCTTGTGGTCTACATTCTAGGCAGGAAGATGTACAGACTGTGAGCAACTTCATCTTGTTGCAGAAACAAAGGGATTCAAGGTTGTTTCAGCTGCACAGGCACCTGGGGGTGTTCTTGGGTCATTCAGAGGTCACTGTGTTTCTCTGTAGAACTTGGAGTTCTGCCTGTCCAAGACAATCAAGATCCTTCCCTCCCTCTCCCCGCTCCCTCTCACACACACAAGAGAGGGGGAAATGAGAATTGCTTATATACCAGTAAATCACTGTGGCTTGCAGGAGAGCTTGTTTTGCGAATTCCAGTGTAACCCGGAGCAGAGATTTCAGACTGACAGCCTTGTGCTATGGAACAGCATGCCTGTTGAGATATAACAGGTGTCTCCTCTCTGCACTTTCTGGGAACATCTGAAGACATTTCTGCAAGCATTCCCAGCTGGATGAATGCCTCCCTGGGTATCTGTTTTGAATTTTCTTAATTATTTATCTGATGTCATTTTCTGTAGCTTTTAACTGTCCATTAGCTGTTTTACTGAGGTTTCTGCATCACCTCGAGGCATATGTGTGGAAGGCAATAAATATATTAAGCACACACATTGCTATGTGTCTGCCTGAAGACCAGGAGATTAAGATCATGGGCAAAAAAAAAGAGCTTTAAGCTGAGTTTGTGAATTGGCTATGCCCTGACTGCAAGGACTATTCAGGATCTACAGCAGAGGGTCTTTCCCAATTGGGAGATATTGTATCCCACTTGGGGTTGCTAAGTTGGATGAGGCTGTTTGTTCCCTTGCCTCCAGGTAACATTCAGAGGCTGGCTAATTTGGCAGCGTCTGCTGGTGCTGGGCAGTAGCTTGCTGGGAGTCCGTGAGTATGTACAGTTCTGGCCCACCCTAAAAAGTGACTTGGACGGAACTCGATCTGCAACTTTTGAACACCTTTGCCTTGCCTTCTGTAAGCCCAGTGTCCAGTTCCAATTTATAGAGGCTCTCAAAGGCTACTAGCCACAACAGCTAAGTTCTACCTCCACCAACAGAGGCAGTATGTCTCTGAATGCCCCTGGCTGGGAGGAATCAAAAGCAGAAGGAGGGCTGTTGAGTTCATGTCCTGCATTTGCTTGGCCGCTGTGAGAACAGGATGCTGTACCAGATGGCTAAACCTGATCCAACAGCCAGATTTTTCTTATGTTCTTCTGAGTAACAGTAAAGGAGCACTTTTGCCTTCATGCCCCACCTGTAAGTTTCCTGGGGCCGTCGGAAGGGCCACTGTGGGATACAGGATACTGATCCAGCAGAGCTGCTCTAATCTTCTCTTTCATGCACCCTCACCTGGAAAACAGGGGTCAGTGAGAGTCTCTAAACCCCCTACCCTGCAGGAACAGGAGTAGAACAGTCTCCCATTCATCCAGTTCTCTTCAGTATTGTCTGCACTGACTGGCAGCAGCTCTCCAGGGTTTCAGGCATGGGACCTTCCCAGCCCCACCAGGAGATGTGGCAGATCAAACCTGTGACCTTCTGTATGTTCTACCAATGAGCTACTGCCCTTCTCCCACTTGCATGTTGGAAAGATTCAGAACAGGTAAAAGGGAGGATTTCCTCCCACCGTGCCTAATTAAACTATGGAACTCCCTCCCACAGTAGGCAGGGATGGCCACCAGCTTGGACAGCTTTGAAAGAGGATCAGACAGATTCACAGAAGAGAGGGCTATTGATGGCTACTAGCTATGATGGTTATGATCTGCCTCCACAGCAATGCTTCTGAATACCAGTTGCTGGAAACTGTAAGCATGGGGAGTGCTCTTGTGTTCAGGTCTTTCTCGAGGGTTTCCTATTGGGGGCATCTAGTTGGCTACTTTGAGAACACGATTCTGGACGGGATGGGCCACTGGGCTGATCCATCAGGCTCTCCTCATGTTCTGACATTTGCAAATATTAAACAGTAAGTCTGGGGAGAGTTGTGATGTTCTTGATGGTTCATTAAGACCTTCACCTTCCTGCCAGACTCCTCATTTCTCAATCAGGCTGAGTCGGGTGTTTTGAGTGCAAGGCTGATATTTCTTTTTATAGCTGCGGTAATTAAATCATTTCGTTAGCAGCAGGCTTAAGGCAGGGAGCTGTTCTCCTACACATTCCACTGCGCTGGGTCTCCAGAGCAGACTTGGGAATGCTGGAAAGTTGTCGTGATTTCCTGTTAGAAACAGCTGGTTGGCGGTGGGGATGTGGGTACTCTATTATTTTTCTCACAACGATTTTCACAGGCGGTGGGAACGCCAAATATACGTTGGTTTCTATAGTCCTATGAACACGTAGCTGGGAAATTAAAGACTTATCTCAGAGTGAACTGTGCTGTTAAATCAACTCAAGGCCAAGCTGTCATGCACGTTCCTCGTTAAAATAATTATCTTGGGGACTTTTTCTTGTTGAACTATTTTTCTTAGCTCAGTGATAGAGCATCTGCCTTGTATGTAGAAGATCCCAGGTTTGAACTCCAATGGCATCTCCAGAAAGGGCTGGGAAAGACTGCTTGCCTGAAACCTTGGAGACTCACTGCCAGTCAGTGTCAACAATACTGAGCTGATATAAAGCAGCCCCTTGTGTTTCCACTTACCCTTAATTAGAATCATGTGGACTAGTACCTTCATTTTCTTTTAAAGCAGTAGGATCATAGCTCACAGGCAGAGAACATGATTTGCATGCAGATAGTCCCAGGTTCAAGACTCAACATCTCCAGATAAAACTGGGAATGTCTCCTGCCTGTAACCCTGGAGAACCGCTGTCAATCATTGCAGACAATCCTGAGCTGACTGGATCAGTGGTCCGACTCTGTATAAGGCAGGGTTCCTAGGTTCCTGTGCTCTCCTTTAACCAAGGGCACCTTGAGACAACCTATTTACTGAGCATTCTATGAAGGGTGAGTAGATGACGCTGGCTTGTATAACAAGCATTCACTCTGATTTGCTTCACTAGAACTAATGCACATCCAATGAAAGCTGAATGCTGGAAGATTCTGGGCAGATAAAAGGAAGGACTTGTTCATGCAGTGCATAGTTAAACTGTGGAACTCACCTCCACAAGAAATAGCCACCAACCTTTAAAAGAGGATTAGACAAATTCATGGAGGAGAGGTCCATCAATGGCTACTAGCCATGATAGTTATGCTCTGCATACACTCTTTGAGTTGGGGTGGGTTTCCCTAAGAGCTCCAAATCTATTTCCATGGCTCAACCTGGATTCACAAGTATGTGACTTAATCTCACCCCCCAAATAGTGACCGTCTGGAAGCTTCCTCCATCAGAGGTGCAAAGGAGCCCAATTCTCATAATGAAGACTGCAGAACTGTGAGGTTTATATCTTCACTGCCCCCCTGAGGTTAGAATGGAGACATACACACCTGCCTCCAGCATAGCTGGAAGTCTTTTTTAATTCTTAATGTCCCAGTTGGCACTTGCTAATTACTTAATAACTTAAAAACGTGCGAGCTGCTGCCAGTCAGTGTAGACAATACTGAGCTAAATGGCTCAATGGTATGACTTGGGATTAAGGCATCTTCTCTTGTGTACTAAGGGAAGTGCTAAGGCTCATAGTCCCTCTATGGATCTAACCATCAGGAAACTGAAGTTTAATAGTAGAAAAGTAAGATCAGTAGAAATTCACTCAGGCCCAAATAATGACAACATAAACAAACTTAAAATTCCCAATTTCCCTGGCAGATCACAATGCTCCTCTTTAAAATGGGGGAGGGGTGGCGTTCCTCTTTTAGTAAAAAGAAATGTTAAAATAAATTAAAGTACAGTGCTTGCATTGGCTGGTACACTTCAGGTGAAAATGAATCATGATCAGTTGCCCCCTCGTATTTACAACCTTCACTAAGGGATGCATTTTAGACAATTTGACATTTCTGATGTACATTTATTTCATTCACAGTATAGCACAACTTTTCTCCAAGGAGCTCAATGTAATGTACATAGTTCTCCCTCTCCTCATTTAATCCCCACCACAACCCTACGAGGCAGCAGGTTAGGCTGAGAGGCAGTGACTGGCCCGCAAGGTCGCCCAGTGAGCTTCATGGTTGAGTGGAATTTCGAACCCTGATCTCCCAGGTCCTAGTCCGACGTTCTAACCACTACACCACCCTGGCTTTCTTCGAGACACAGCTTATTCCTGTGATTCTAAGCTGTTTTCACTACAGTGGTATCTCGGGTTACATACACTTCAGGCTACATATGATTCAGGTTACAGATTCCGCTAACCCAGAAATATTACCTCGGGTTAAGAACTTTGCTTCAGGATGAGAACAAAAACCGGGCTCCGGCGGCGCAGCAGCAGCAGGAGGCCCCATTAGTTAAAGTGGTGCTTCAGGTTAAGAACAGTTTCAGGTTAAGAACAGACCTCCGGAACGAATTAAGTACTTAACCCGAGGTACCACTGTATTGTGTTTTGATTGTTGCAACCTGCCCCGGAACCTTGAGGTGAAGGGCGGGTCATTAACAACAGCAAACAAACAAACAAATGTTTATCGTTCATTATAATCATAATACTCCTTGCTTGTGAAAGCACCCCATCCCCATCTGGAATGTGAATGAGGCCCGTCAATCAATTACCCATCTTTCCCTCTTCAAATCACCTGCCTCGTAGTCACATTAAGTGTAAATACATTTGCAGCTCGTCAAGACCTCGAGCCTTTTCCGGGAAGCGCCGGATGACTCACCATTTCGTACACTTAAGTTCGGAAGACAAAGCCAACTTTTTATACGTTCCCTTCCGTTCCTTACTAGAAGGGACGCCCCAGGACCCGGGCAGCTCCACAAAAGAGACTCGGATGCCTTGAGATTGCTCCTCAGTTGAACTCTGCTGCGCGTCTGGATAAGGAAAGGCTGCATTGTAGCGGCGAACTATGAAGTCACATTTTCTGCATCCCTGGGAAGTGAGGAGGGGGGCGGGATGGAGAGAGAGAGAAGATGCAACGCAAACCCCCGCTCCTTCTCGCTCTTCCCACATAGCTCGTCGTCCTACCCTTCCCTCTCCCGCGCTGGATTGCTTAACCGACAGATTTCCAGCCTCCACCAGGCAGAGGCGCCTCCCCTGCTCGCTCTCTCCCCTACACACACGCAACCCGCGCGTTTCCTTCCCCGCCTCGCCCTTCTCACGTGCTTGACCTCTCTCCGAGTAGGCATAGAGCGGGTTTCTGCTTCTGCCGCAGCTTGGAACTCCGGGCAGCGGCGGGGAAAGGCGGGCGCGCAGCACCGCAGTGCTCTGTCCAGGGTGCTGAAAGAGGAGCGATGCGCTCCGCTCCATCTTCGGCGCCCGGGAAAGGAGAGGTAGCAGCCGCGGACGGGATCCGCAGGCGAGGCGAGGGTCCAGCATGAGGACAGGGCCGGGAGGGCGCCGCTGGAGCCGGGCAGGCAGCAGCAGCAGCGATGCCCGGCCGGCTGCGCGCCAGCGGGGCAGAGGCTGGCTTGGCGTCCCGTTCCTCAAGGTTGAGCGCCGTTTCGGAGCGAGGATCTTGAGCCGGGCGGGTCTAGATCTGGAGTGACAGCTGTCCGTCTCAGTCTCCCAGCCTCCTCCAATATTTGGGGGAACTTCTCGCCTTCCTTTTCAATTGGATTAGAAGAGCAGAAAAAGTGGGGAGGACCAGCTCGCTGCTGGCACACGCGCTGCCCTTCAAAGCAGCTCGATTCGGATGGAGTTGGGGGACCAGGCTGGCCAACCAGGCATCCCGGAGCGGCTGTCCTTCAAGCTCCGGTCGCCTCTTTCTCCCTTTCTCGACTCGGTGAGTTCATCTCTCCAGTGAATCGTGAAATCTCTTTACTTGAGGGCGGCTCAGCCGGCAGCCTGCGTTCCCGGGACAGCAGCTCGATTGACGCAAACTTGAGAAGAGCTTGGAAGGGTTGGCGGGGGGAGGACTTTTTGATCTTGGGTGGGGGAGAGACTAGATGAGGCGGGCTGAGGAGGAGCCACCCTCAACGAGGTGAGCTTAGGAGAACCCAGCTGAGCGACTGTAGACCCGGGGGACTTTCGGAGTAGCAAAACAACAGTCATAATGAATTAATAGTAATCGGTCCGTTAAGGAAGTGAGCGGGGTTGCGGCTCAAAGCAACGGCACGGATCTGATGTCTTACTGTGAGGAGCGACTGAAGTCAACATCAAGTCAACCCAGTGGTGCAGAGAACTAATTTTAGACTCTGGACTTCATGGTGTCACCGCCTCCCCCCTACTTTAATGGGCCATTGGTATTACTTCACTTACTTTAAAGCGCTGCGTGGAGGGGTGGAGGGCTTCTACTAGTGCTGCTGAGTGGGGCCCCGGGCCTCTGCCCTAAAGTCTTACCCTGTGGGCGCCTTCCGAGACAGCCCCCACGCCCTCAGAGGTCTCCGTGGACTAATACACTTCTCTCCTCCGATCGCTTGCGGAGGACGGGAGTTTGGGAACTATCCAAGGTCCTGAAAGAAGACGATGGTGGAGACTCTGTCGGTGGCTGTCCTGGGAGCCCCGAAGGTGGGCAAAACGGCCATTATCCGTCAGTTCTTGTACCACGACTTTACAGAGACTTACAGCCCGACGGAGCGCCGCCGTACCTACCGGCCTTCAGTCATTTTCAACGGGAACATGTACGACATGAAGATTATGGATGTTCCTTACCTGACGGCGTTCCCAGCAAACAGCTCTCAGGTGGGCTTTTATTAAAACCCTCCCACAACTCAACCCAAATTCATCCCCCCGAATATATATGGCTATGCTTGTGAATTCTACAAGTGAACAACAGATCACTTGTGGGATACAGTGTGGCTGTGCTGAGGCCAGATTGGTTCGTTTTCTAATTGGATTGGGGCCCTCCTGTTAGGTAGGATGGAAATATGGTGTGGGTTGTTCAACTAGGGGATTCACTCTACGTATTATTATTATTTACTAAAATATTATATATCCCACCCTTCTCCCAAGCTAGGGTTCAAGGTGGCTTACACATTTTAAAACACCATTATAAAATACTAAGTAATAAAACCAGACTAGTGAAAAACAATAATCAAAGTGCGTCAGAGCACATTTAGAATGCAGTTTGCCTTGACAGCAGCCCAGTGATCTGCACCATATGATTATTAATTAATTACCTGCCCTTCACCCTAATAACCAAAGCTCAATATTGAAAACCATTTGAAACCACTTGCAGAAATAAGGCAGACTATAGAAAGATACACCTCAAGTACCCAAAGCCAGGGCGAAGAGGTGTGTCTTCAGCATTCACCAAAAAGTGTCTAATGAAGGTGCCAGTTGCACCCCTGTGGGGAGGGAGGGAATTTCACAGTTTAGAGGCCCCCACAGAATTCCCTCTCCTGGGCCCCCCATCACAGCTCCATAGGGCAGTTCAACAACCAAGAGAGCTCCCGCTGCCAGTCTTAGCACCTAAGAGGGTCTGCAGGGAAGAAGGCAGTCTTTCAGGTAGTGATGACCACCAACCTGGATGGCTTTAAAAGGGGATTAGAGAAATTCATGGGGGCATAAGGCAATTAATGGCCACCAGCTACCACAACTATATTCTACCTCTACCATTGGGACAGCATACCCAAGCTTGCTTCGTTTTGTTACTTAACACTGTGGTTTTTCCCCAGGAGTGGCAAACTCAAGCCCACCAGATGTTGTTAGGCAACACGTTCCTTCATGTCTGGCCAGGGTTGATTGGAACTGTAGTCCGCAACACCTGGATTGCACTAGGTCAGGAAAGGTTTGCTGTAAGCATTTTCCTAAACTCTCCTGCGAGGCAGCACAGGGCAGGAATAAAATGTGCTTGCTTAGCTGGCTGGGTGAGTTGGCAGGCAAGCCTGGAGAACTCCACTCTCCTTGCAAGGCATTAGGTCTGATTTAACACCAAGGCCCTGTGCTCTGCTGTATGTAAGTCAGGTCCATATTTAGGACAGTGCATATCCAGCAGTTCCACTGGAGTGAAGCGGGAAATGGCAGGATGCCATTGGTCACCATCTTCTGGAACCCAACTCACATTGCCTCCGAACATGGATATTCCACTCCAGGGACCCAGGCTAATGAAGATTGTTGATAGACTTGTCCATTATGATTTTTGACTATCTCACATTTCACATTTTCAAACAACAATGAATGCCTCTAGTCCTTATGCATTTTCTGTGGGAGCTCCTAAGAGGTGGAATTCCCTCTCCGCTGAAGGTGTCTTGGCACCTGCACAGTACAGTTTTCTCCATATGCTGAAAATGCATCTCTTTTACCCAGGCCTTTGACACTTGAAGTGCAGGACCCACTTTATTCTTCTGATTGCAATTGGTTTTATTATTTTAATTTGTTGCAACCAGTGGTGTGCTGTCAGTGGACCAGGAGGACTAGGCTAGTCCCTTAAATGCTCCTGGAAAATTAGAGTATTAAAGAATTAAAGCCTGGTGCCTCCTTCCTAAAGCCCACAGGGGAAAAAGTAAAGGTAAAGGACCCCTGGATGGTTAAATCCAGTCAAAGGTGACTATGGGGTTGCGGCACTCATCTCTACTTTCAGGCAAAGGGAGCCGGTGTTTGTCCACAGACAGCTTTCTGGGTCATGTGGCCAGCATGACCAAACTGCTTCTGGTGCAACGGAACACCGTGACAGAAACCAGAGAGCATGGAAATGCCGTTTGCCTTCCCACCACAGTGGTACCTATTTATCTACTTGCACTGGTGTGCTTTTGAACTTCTAGATTGGCAGGAGCTGGGACAGAGCAACAGGAGCTCACTCTGTTGCGGGGATTCGAACCACCGACCTTCTGATTGGCAAGCCCAAGAAGCTCAGTGGTTTAGACCACAGCGCCACCCTTCTGCCTGGCTTAGGCAGGGAGGCATGATGCTCACAGGCACAACATCTCCCCAGTCCCCACTGCCCTTGCAATCTGGCGCCTCTGATCCTGTTTCCCTGTGAAAAACTTCACTGCATGCCACTGGTTGTGATCTATCCTGAGACCTTAGGGTGTAAAGGGACCCCTGACCATTAGGGCAGGTAATAAATCAAAGTATGGTAATTATAATAACAGTAGAGAGATACATATGTAGGAAGCAGCCTTATACCAAGTCAGACCATTGGTTCATGTAGCTCAGTGTTGTCTACACTGACTGGCAGCAGCTCTCTAGGGTTTCAGGCAGGGTGCTTTTTCAACCCTGCCTGGAGATGCCATCAGGGATCGAACCTGGCACCTTCTACACTCAAACCAAATGCTCTGCCTCTGAGTTGCAGCCCTTTCCTGCTTGAAAGTCTGCCAGTTTGGTCTGGTGAAATCTTGGAACCCAGATGTGCAGCTGATGGAGACAGTCAGAGTTGCTTCCAAGTGGGACTTACAATGCCCACATTGCATCTCCCCCATAGCTAGCAGAATGAGGCAAAATTGAGCAGAAATAGTAACGACGATTCTGTTCATGTCTGTGGGATTTGACTGCTGGTCCAAAAATAAAGTAATAGAAAGGGGGGTGGGGGTGGAGTTAACGTGGTTCTTCAATTTTTGGCACTCTCCTCCAACACTCAAGCTGTTTCCCAAAGCTTCCCCGCTCTGGCTTTTAAGAATCCTTAAATAGTAAGCCAAAGGGAAGAGTTTGTGTTTGCTGCTGATGAAAATGTAGGCTAACCCCCTCGGCCACACCCACCCTGCAGATGACCCATCTTCACTTAGGGGCGAGATGCGAGTTCTGTTGGATGGCAGGAAGGCAGAGGGTGGGTGGAATCGAAAGAAGACAGAAAAATAAGGGAGATGAGAACAAAAACTGGAAAGCTTTCTTTAGGGTCAGCCACATTTAAAGCATCGCAGATGAGATGCAGGCGAAAGATGGAACTAGTCCTCATGCCTATTTTCCCTCTCCCCGTCAGAGGCAAGTTGGCCTAAAGAAAGTGGATATTGGGGAAGTCCCCCCCCCCTCTTGTAATGCTAGAACTGGTGGACATCCAATGAAGCTGAATTTTGAAAGATGCTAGACAGATAAAAAAAACTCCTTAGAATGGTAGAGTTGGAAGGGACCCCAAGAGTCATCTAGTCCAACCCCTGCCTAGTTAAACTATGGAACTCACTGCCACAGGAGCAGTGGTGGCCACATGTCACAATGGCTTTAAAAGATGATAGGCAAGATGGTTGGAGACAGTGATGCTTCTGAATACCAGCTGCTGGAAGCCACAGGAGAGGAGAGTTGCTCTTGGGCTCAGGTCCTGCTTGAAAGTTTTCCATTTGGGGCATCTGGCTAAGTACTGTGAGAACAGGATGCTGGACTAGATGGGCCATTGGCCTGATCCAGCAAGGCTCTTATTGTGTTCTTATGAGGCATGTGCAACACCCTATTGCAAGCAAGCTTCTTTTGTGACGTGCTCTACAGATGTTTTGGCCACAGTGTGACAAAGGTCGGTCATTGGTTCCAGAGGAGCAGGTGGCTGTTTCAGTGAGAGAGAAGGGAGAGGGGTTTTGGAAGTGGGAATTAAATTCTAAGTGGACAAAAGGAGGTGGAACTGTAGGGAGATTGTACCTTCGGATCAGGCCTGGCAGAAGCAAGGTTCAGGAACCCCTAGATCAAAGACACAGAGGGGGGCTTCTTGCTGTCCTTTGAATCCATTGCTGCCCTTATGGGGGAAGCCAGACCCTCATAGGATGTGAATGCTCTGCAAATCCCCTCATCTAGGTGCAGGTTGTATATGTGCAGAGCTCCCCCCCCCCCCCGCCCACCAGCTGGAGCTCAGCTCCAGCTCCTTTCAGGTGGGGAACAAGGGAGAAGTTTGTGGTGAGCTCCAGCACCTCTTTTTCTAGAAAAATAGCACTTTGTGTGTGCGTGTGTACGCAGGTGGCACTGTGGTCTAAACCACTGAGCCTCTTGGGCCTGGCAATTAGAAGGTTGGCGGTTCGAATCCCTGCGACGGAGTGAGCTCCCATTGCTCTGTCCCAGCTTCTGCCAACCTAGCAGTTCGAAAGCACACCAGTGCAAGTAGATAAATAGGTACCACTGCGGCAGGAAGGTAAATGGCATTTCCGTTCGCTCTTGCACTTGTCACAGTCCTCTGTGCACCAGAAGCGGTTTAGTCATGCTGGCCACATGATCCGGAAAGCTGTCTGTGGACAAACGCCAGCTCCCTTGGCCTGAAAGCGAGATGAGCGTTACAACCCCATAGTTGCCTTTGACTGTCCAGGGGTCCACCCCCCCTTTTTTACCTTCATGTATATGTATGCACATATAAAACCATATATCTTAAAGACACCACAGCCTTTGTTGTGCCTCATTGTCCCAAAAGGGAAGACAGACCCTGTTAAGTGTGTCTGCAGCCCCTGGGATTTCACACTGCTCATGGAGATGGGTGTGGTGTGTAACACTATGATACTGATCTAATGCAGGCATGGGGGCTTTAGGTGCAGAGGCCAAATGCGGACCTTCAGACCTCTGCATCGGGACCTTGGGACTCTTACCAGGCCACACCTGCTCTCTCCAGGCCACGCCCCTTCACCAGCCCTGCTTTGCACCCTCCTTGAGAGTTTCTGCAAGGCTGGAATGTGCCCTTGAGTTCTAATGATGCCTTTTGCTTGCCTAGATGGAGGGCAGAGAGGCGGGTGGGCGAGTGTTCGTAGAAACTAGCCTTCTGTATGAAGGTAAAATTCACCCCCGTTGCTCTGCCCACCCACTGGGTGGCCGCTGGAAAGTTTCCTGGAGGGGACTGATCACCCACCCACACACCCAGGTCTGAAAAATATATAGTCCTGAACAAGAGCCTGTGTGATGTTGAACTAGGACCTGGGAGATTGGGGTTCAAATCTCCACTTAGCCATAAAGCTCACTGGGTGACCTTGGGCCAATCACTGCCTTTCAGTCAAACCTACCTCACAGGCTTGTTGTGGGGATTAAAGGAGGCGGATGACCATGTATAGCACCTTGAGCTCCTTGGAGGAAAAGGTGGGATGTAGATGAAATAAAGAAATAAAATAAACCCTTCTTCCAAAAGCAGGGGCTCCACGTTCCCTGACATCCGTTCTGACAGTTTGCATTTCTTAGTGCAGAAAGCACTGATCTGACGTGATCTTTCCTATTCTAATTAGTTCAAGAGGGTTCTGGAGGCTTCTTTGTGTGAAAGAAGCAAACAGAAGGTTCATGACGTTTGGGTTATACCTTCAGAGAAGCTGAGTACAGCTGGCTGAAACTGGTTCTCTCATCCTTTCTGTCAAAGTCACACTGACTATAAAAGTAGGGCCAGAAGGAGCCTAGGTTTCTCTTTCTTTCTATCTCTTTTCCTTCTGGTGTGGTGGTCTGTACGTAGTATGCTTAGTGTTAAGGTTTAGACTTATTATAAGTTATTGTAAGTTTAAGTTAAGTCTGCTGCAACTGGATTTCTTATGGAGAGTGCCAATCCTAAAACCCAGCCAGATGGGTGGGGTACAAATATAATAATAAATAATAATAATTGTGACCATTATGCTCATTTCCATCATTAGCATTAAAGCGCTGCTGGATGAAATACAATTCCCTCTGGGCTATTTTTTGGGAATCCTGCAACATGTTTAACTTTTTACTCTGCTAACTACACATTGGAATCTGCTCTGGATCACTACTGAGTAGAATTCCACGACACATTCATCTGAGGATTGCAGGGCAGGGACGCTTCAGGAGATGATCTCCTTGACTGGAAATAAATGTTTAGGTTCCAGAAATGAGTGGCAGCCTCAGGAAAAGATGACATGATTGTGATCGGCCCCCAGCGCTCCTGCTCCCCAGTTTCATGGTGTTTCATTATTACTATCTGGGTTAAAAATAAACGCTTTCGTTTTCATCCCATCCTCTGAGCTTCAGCGAGCCGCTAATTGCATTTCACAGTTGACTTCAGTTGATGTGGAGGCTCTGCCTGTGTTTTCCAGGAGGTGAGACCAAAGGGAGATCTAAAGATGGAGATGGACTTAAGTTGGGGGGAGGCAGTGTGCTGCTGCTGCAAGATACTGCCCCGCCCACTTTTGCTTCTGGCTCCGCCTACCACTGACACATGCAGGTGGAAATGGGGAGGGTGGTGGCCCCCTGGCTGCAGAACACTCTCCCCAGAGAAATGTGCCTGCCTGGCATTGCCATCATCAAATTTTAGGCACTGGGCAGTTGGTTCTTAATTGGGATGATACAATGCAATAACACCGTAGCCTGTTGTTGAAACAAAATTTAAAAAATTCTTCCAGTAGCACCTTAGGAACGCGGGTGGCGCTGTGGGTTAAAACCACAGAGCCTAGGGCTTGCCGATCAGAAGGTCGGCGGTTTGAATCCCCGTGACGGGGTGAGATCCCGTTGCTCAGTCCCTGCTCCTGCCAACCTAGCAGTTCGAAAGCACGTCAAAGTGCAAGTAGATAATAGGTACCACTCCGGTGGGAAGTTAAACGCCGTTTCCGTGCACTGCTCTGGTTCTCCAGAAGCGACTTAGTCATGCTAGCCACATGCTGTACGCCGGCTCCCTCAGCCAATAAAGCGAGATGAGCGCTGCAACTCCAGAGTCGTCCGCAACTGGACCTAACAGTCAGGGGTCCCTGTACCTTTAAGGTGCTACTGGAAGGAATTTTTAAATTTTGTTTCGACTACGGCAGACCAACACGGCTACCTACCTGTAGCCTGTTGTGTTCATCTTTAGCAGGGTGGGGCAGTATTTGTCCTTTTCTATCATATTGCAGGATGAGCACTTAACGTAAATAATGTGGTTTTATTCTTTCGATGTTGTTTGAAACTTTCCCAGTATGCTTTCAGGATCGTAAGTTGCTTTAAGACATTTTATGTCTAGACCCAATGGCTGGGAAGTTGCCTGCTCTTGATGGGGTTACATTTCCTCTGAAGAAACAGGCTTGTAGCTTGGGGCTACTCCTAGATCCTTTGCTATCGCTTGAGGCTCAGGTGGCCTCAGTGTCCTGAAGTGCCTTCCATCAGCTTTGGCTACTGGCCCCACTACGCCCCTATCTGGACAGGGATAGCCTAATCACTGTTGCCTATGCTCTGGTAACTTCAAGGTTAGATTACTAAAATGCATTATATGTATGGCTGCCTCTGAAGATGGTTTGGAAACTTCAGCTAGTGCAGAATTCAGCAGCCAGGTTGCTCAACAGAGCAAGACAATTTGAGCATATTACACCGATCCTTGTCTGACTGCACTGGCTACCAACTAAGTTCTGGGCCCAATTCAAAGTGCTGGTTTTGACCTATAGAGCCTTAAATGGCTCAGGACCAATTATCTCAAGGACCGCCTCTTTCCATATGAACCAACCTGGACCCTGAGATCATCTTCTGAGGTCCTCCTTCATGTGCCTCCTTCTTGAGAGGTCTAGAGGGTGGCAGCATGAGAACGGGGCCTTCTCTGCAGTGGCTCCCCGTCTGTGGAATGCTCTCCCCAGGGAAGTTCGCCTGGCGCCTTCATTATATTTAGGCGCCAGGCAAAAATGTTCCTTTTTAAGCAGGCCTTTGGTTGATCTGTTTGACACCCTATACCCTTTTAAAATGCAGCTCTTTGGGGGTTGGTGTTATTGGGTTGTTGTTTTTATTTTGATTATGTATATACATACATATTGTAGTTTTATGTTGATCTTTTCTGTGAACCGCCCTGAGACCTCTGGGTATAGGGCGGTATATAAATTCAATTAATAACAACAACAACAAAATTTATGAACTTGCTCCATAGAAGACAAAATAAAGTGGGGCAAGTAATGAATAAATGTAATTAATAGTGGTAGTAATATAAGTAGTTATTATAGTTATTTTTGTTATCATTAACTTTGAGAAGGTTGGCATCAGGATGAAAATGGTTCCCTACCTGTTCTATATCTGGATACAAATTTGACAGGGATGTACCTCGGTGACAGAGCTTCTTCTTTGCAGGCAAGTTCAATCCCCACATCTCCAAATAGGGCTGGGAAAAGGTCCTTGCCTGAAACCCTGGAGAGCTACTGCCAGTCAGTGTTGACAGTACTGAGCTGGATGGACCCATGGGCCTGGCTCCGCACAATGCAGCTGAGTGACAATGTCCCTTTTTCGTTGCACCAGCTTTCCCCATGTTTTCCTCTCGCCCACCAGGAGTGGTCAGACCTGAAATCCCGAGGGCTGAGGAACACTGATGCCTACGTGCTGGTGTATGATATCTGCAGCCCAGAAAGCTTCGAGTATGTGAAAATGATCCGTCAGCAGATCCAGGAGAACAGGTGAGCAGAAGGGATGGGAGAGGAGGGGGTGGATTGGGTGGGGGAGACAGAATCAGGAAAACTGCTTTTCCCTCCAGAGTGAGGCTGCAGTCCTCAACCCACCTCTCATATGGATCAGTCTCGGGGAATTCAGTGGGATTTACTTCTGAGTAAACACACCACCACCCATCTGGTGGCGCAACATGACTACTCAGAAGTCCTACTATTGAACTCAACGTGGGTTTTATTCACAGGTAAATGGGGTTAGGATTGCAGCCTTAAAGAAGCCCAGTCCCACTTTCAAATATCCAATGAAACACAGCTATTTGCATGGGGAGAAATAAGCCCCAGCTAACATGGCCATTTTGAACCACAACTCCCATCATCCCTAGGCAGAATGGCCACTTTGGACTACAATTCCCATCATCCCTAGGCAGAAAGGCCACTATGGACTACAATTCCCATCATCCCTAGGCAGCATGGCCACTTTGGACTACAATTCTCATCATCCCTAGACAGAAGGGCCACTTTGGACTACAATTCCCATCATCCCTAGGCAGCATGGCCACTATGGACTACAATTCCCATCATCCCTAGGCAGCATGGCCACTTTGGACTACAATTCCCATCATCCCTAGGCAGAATGGCCACTTTGGACTACAATTCCCATCATCCCTAGGCAGAATGGCCACTTTGGACTACAATTCCCATCATCTCTAGGCAGAAGGGCCACTTTGGACTACAATTCCCATCATCCCTAGCCAGCATGGCTACTTTAGACTACCATTCCCAACAGCCCCAGCCAGCAGGGCCATTTTGTACTACCACTTGGCAGGGGCTGATGGGAGTTAAGGTCCAAAATTTCTGGAGGGCCCCAGGCTGGGGAGAGCCTGTAGGTTCGGGGTCTGTGCATCACTCTGACCTTCTTTCTCTACTCTATGAACTTGGAGTTCCTCTTCCTCTCCTAGGGCGAGCAGCAGTGGCGAAGCCCCCATCATTGTGGTGGGGAACAAGCGGGACCTGCAGCGCCAGCGCTTCTCCCCCCGCCGGGCCCTCTCGCTGCTGGTCAAGAAGAGCTGGAAGTGCGGCTACATGGAGTGCTCGGCCAAGTTCAACTGGCACATCGTCCTCCTCTTCAAGGAGCTCCTCTGCAGCGTCTTGGCCCGAGGCTGCAGGAACAACCACTCTGCCATGCGCCTCCAGGGGGCGCTGCACAGGAACAGGTGCAGCCTGATGTGAGGAGACCCTGCCGGCCACAAGGGGGCATGCTCACCGAACAATGGAATTGCAGAGCCTGGAGGGTCGTCGAGTCCAACCCTCTGCAATGGGGTGCCCCCCAAAAAAACAACACCTTTCCAAGAGGTTCGGACATTGGAGCCGTAGTGGGAAGCTGAGGGCCACATCTCGGCCACCAGGGCCGTGTTTGCAGGAGTAACCCCTTGAAATCCCTGGGCGTTTCTGCTTGGGGCGATGACCACCTTGGAGGGGGGGAGTGGAGTTTTGGGGTGCCATCGAGCCAAAATCCACGTAGCCCAGTTTTCTGTCATGGGTGGCGGGTGCCTGTGGCTGAGAAGCCCCTCCGCCATTTTGATTTTCCCACAATGCCATGGGGCAGCCATTGGCTTGGGAAGGATTTAGACACAATGGGAAATTTTAGATAGCAGGTGGATCCCCAGACTCAATCACTGCAGGCAGGTAATCAGTTGTGGGGAGGAGAGAGCCAAGCTGCTGGGGGAATCACTGACTCAAGAGTGAGCCCAGCAGAGGGTGGGGCCTCTGACCTGGAGCCAGCCTTGACCCAGTGGGCAGCTGAAGGCTTGATGGCTGTAGGTCCCAGTATAGCGTCCAGAAATAAGCAGCAGGCACTCTTTGCTTAAAATGCACAGGCCAGACCCTCTAATTTCCGAGGTTGTGGCTCTGGCGCTAAGCACCTGCCCCCATGTTCCATCCCTGGCAGGATCGCTGGGGAAAACTCCCCTGCCTGAAACCCTGGAGAGATGCTGCCAGTCAGTGTCGACAACACTGAGCTAGGTGGACCACTGGGTTGGCTAAGCAGAAGGCAGTTTCCTAATTAATTCACTACCACCCCTTTCAAAGAACAGGAAGGACTAGAATCTTAATTTATTTTTAGGGAGGAAGCAAGAGCAAGAGTTGTAGAGCATCTGCTTCCCCAACCTGCAAGCTCTGGAAAGCCACTGCTGGTCAGTGTGGACAACATTCAGGCAACTGGCCAAGTCCTGTAAGCCTACCGATCGATTCTTCGGCTTGGGGCTCTTGCACAGAGGGGCCCAGTTGCATGCCCACTTTTAGCATCAGAGAAGCAGCCGTGTGGATTTTCAGCATCTCAGGCCTGACCTCAGCTAGCTGGGTGATTGTTTCTGCCCTCATAGATGAGATCCAGTCCTTTGTGCGGTCCCATGTGACGCTCCAGAGGCATCTGCTGGGCCGTAGCTCAGTGGTAGAGCATCTGCTTTGCATGCAGAAGGCTGCAGGTTCAATCCCCGGCTTCTCCAGGTATGGCTGGGAAAGAGAGAGACAAACCTTGCCTGAAACCCTGGAGAGCTGCTGCCAGCCAGGGTGGGCATTACTGGGCTAGGGGCTGCCCACGGTTTGATTTGCCACAAGGAAATAAGCGTCCTCTTTCCCTGTATGAAATCTCTGCATGCAAAACGCTTGAAGGAGCTGCTTGCTCCTCGGAAGCCTCAGACGTGCTGCGGATTCAAGAGGCTTCGATGAGGTCTGTGAAAGCACACACACACACACACACACACACACACACACACACGACTGGGAGGGTCCTCCTTTCTAAGACCAGGGAACCAGTTTCGCAACGTCTGCCTGCCTTCTCAGGAATTCATCACAAGGCGACCCGTCCACAACCACCACCCCCAATAGCACAATCGCCGATGCCACGTTCATTCATAATCTAGGACGGTCGATGCTGCTTTTGCACTCAGCTGTGACTAATGTGGACTAGTGTGTTGCGAAAACAAAACGGGAGTCGAGGGCAAGTGGGAGGAGAAAAGGTCTTGTTTGTTAAAAGCCACAATTCTCCCCATCACCCCATCAAACTCTTGTTGGCTGGGATCAAGTGTTTGGCTTGCTTTTGATTTCCCCCCCCAAAATGTGTTGCAGGGTGGGGGTCTCAAGAGTTTCAGGGACTCCTTTCTCCACAGCTGCCACCATCACCTCTGGGCCAGAGGCTACAGCACACAAGGGTCTCCTACACCAGCCTCCCCTTTCTTTTGCAAGACACTGATCATCTGTTTAACACAGTCTCCAAGGAAGGGCTCCCCATTCCAGCGGTGCAATACTGGACCATCTATAAAGCATCCTCAACCAGGTCCCTTGTTATGTCTTGCTTGCAAATTGTGGTGCCGGGGTTTTTTGGCGGGGGTGGGGGGACTGGCCGGGCATCAGGTGATAACGTCCTCTCAAATGCTCCTGAGCAAAGGATCTCAGCCAATGGCAATGCTTGATCTACCACCCAAAGGTAGTTGTACTCCCAAGTCCCATCAGGGCTGGCACTCTTACATGTGCCACGTAATACCCGTTCTGTATCTGTAAGAAAGTGCACCTTGGGAACTCCCTGCCTCTTGATTTCAGGCAGGGGCTGTTCGTTGTATTCTTTTTGCCACCTGCTAAAAAAATGTTCTCCTTTAGACAACCCCACCCAGCCGTTTAGAAAGCTGGCAAGAGTTTTAATCTGCTTTTAGTCTATTGCTTTTTAACTTTTCGAAAGCCTTAAATCATTGTCCTTAAGTCTGTATGACTATTTTTATCGTTTTTGTAAACCACGTTGAGGTTTCTTGGGTGGCTGAACAACCAAGCAGTAAATTTTACGAAATTAAATAAATCAACTTCAGCAGGCAGCATGCCCAATGGTTAGGGACAGTTCCGCAACATCTGGAGGGCAACATGTTGCCTACCTCTAGTGGGGGACACACATACACCTGGGACTGGTTCACATCCACCCATCTTCACACTTCTGCAATAAAGGCACAGAGTCAAAACACATGATTTGTCCTCTTTTTTTTACTTTCTGGGTTCCGAGAGCTCGCGGGTCAGTTCAATTAGCTACATTCGTGGGGTCGGAAGGCGGGCACTATACGGGAGGCAGCGCTCAGGAGGCGAGCGGACACACTCGGTTGTATTTATATAAATATGCATAGATTATTTAAACACACCTACAGTACATTTGGGGGGGGGCAGGGGGTTGGTCTGGTTGAGGGGGAAGGAGTCTTAACGGCCCAGATCCCAGGACGCCGAGAGGGTCTGTCTGAAGAGGAATTCATGTGCAAGACTTCAGCGAGACCCTCTCTCTCCAAAAGCGCGACTCGTTTAAAAAATAGATAATCTGCAGAAAACGCTGTCAGCTGGCCTAGTGGGGAGAGGCTCCCCCAGTCTCTGTGTGGGGCCTCCCCCATCCTGTGCACATTAAGCACCTTCCCACTTTGAGTCACCACTATTTGCAAGACTCCCAAGGGTCTATAGCGTCCACTCAGCTGGGAAGGCGCCTTTTTAAAACATCCCCAAGGGGAAGCTGCCCAAGGATGTCAAAGCTGAGGCAGGGGTTACATGAGAAGGGAGCAAGAGGTTTAGAGGTCAAAAGTGCTACTTGAATTGGAAGACTGGGGAAGGAGGTGGAAGGCGATCAAAGCCGACTCAAAAGAATTTTACAACGGCCGATGCGAGCGAATATCGGACCACGTCAGAAGCTCCTCGCTGTGTTATCCAGTGTCCAAAGACTTTCCCCTGAAAGCTTCTCTCTCTCACACACACACATATACACAAATTTGCTACGAAGCCATGCCACTCTCCAGCCACAATTCAAAACCAAACCCCAATGGAAGAACCACCTTAGAAATTAAAGGCATCTCCACCCACACAATCCGTTCAGAACAGCAGCAATATTGAGGTCACCGAAGGAACAGTGCCCGAGGGACGGGGGAAGGAAGGCTGGGCAACTGAAGCAGCCAGGAAGGAGAGAGGAGGCAGCCGGTTGCCCTCTGGCACCCCTCATGCCCAGGCGCCCTCGTCGGCCACCCCGGACTCCGCCGGGCCGTGGGAAGGCTCCACAAGGGAGGCGAAGACGTTGTGGAAGGCTGCCCAGGGTCGGTACTGCTCTGGAGGGCGCTTGGAAGGGCTGCCCTTGGGCGAGGCGCCCCCTGCTGGAGACTTGCCCACCCCCGCCGCCTTGTAGCTGAGGGGCGTGGGGATTTTCGAAGGGGTCTTGTCTGGCTGGGAGTCGGTGCGAGGCTTGATCATGGGGCGCAGTTTGAGTTTGTAGATGGAAGGCACACGGTCAGGCTTCTTGAGGGACGACTTCGGGCGCAGCACGACTTCCTCGCAGGGAGCGGACCCCTCGGCGGCCTCGCGGGGCGGAGAGCCCAGGTCCGAATCAACCGCCTCCGTGATGCCCCACGGGCTGTCCGTCAGAGGCTCGGGAAGCTCCGCCCCTTCCTGGACCTCCTGCAGGTCATTCAGGCAGACGTAGCAATTGCTCTCGTCCGAGGAGCTGGACAGAGCCGGCTTCCTCCAGCGCGTGGCTCGCTCCAGAGGCACTGGCAAGTCCCACAGCTCGCAGGTGTCGGCCGAGCCGTTGTGGAAGTCGGGGGGCACCGCGGTGCCCGCTTCGGGGACCCCCGGCCTCTGGGAAGCGGCGTTCCTCTTGGGCTCGTCTTTCGCCTCGCTTGGGAGGCCGTACTTGCTGAAGAAGTTGAGGGATGACGAGGACGAGCTGGAGGAGCAGTAGGCCGAGTCAGCGGCTCCTTGATCTGGGGTGGTCTGCAGGAGGCGGGGGCCGTCGCAGGCCCGGCCCAGGGGCTCTAACTGCTCTGGCTCCCCATCCACCACCAGGCCCATCATTTGGGAGTTGGCCAGGAACTCTTCCTCCAGTCGCCGGAACAGCTGCTGCTCCTGGCTGGGGTCCAGGCGCAGAGGGGTCCGGAAGGTGTGAGCCAGTTCTTCCAGCTCCCGTCCTAAACTGTCTGAGGGCTGCCGCGAGTGCCCGCTCCCACCAGGCCGGGGCTGCTGCCTCGTGGCCCCGCGGGATCCCCCCAAAGCTGGCTGCTTCTGCCTCAGAGTCCCGCAGGCCGAGGGAGGCGGCGTCCGCGGCCGGGGGTCTGTCGTTTTCGTGGCGGGGAGAGACCCCCTGCGGTTGGCGAGCGCCGGGCTCCGAGACCCCACCGGCGTCCCTGGCGCCCACCTGGCTGGGCTCTTGGTCCTGGGGGTGCTTCTTCCAGAGCCCCCGGGCCTCTCCTTGGGGTCTTCGGCCCGCACCCAAGAGTGCTGCCCGTCCGTACCTCGGCTGATGACCAGAACGGTGGGCTCCCCGCTGGGCCTCCCCTGGCTTCGTGCCCGTGGGCGAGGACTCTGCTGCACGGACGGCTTGAGGTGCCCATTGGCCATCCGGGGGCGGCCGCGTTCTTCCGCCTCAGTCCTCCGGGGTGCCAGAGATGGCCTTGGCAAGTCCACCCGGTCTCGTGACTGGCTGCGGCTGGCCGGCTGCCTCTTGGGGCTGGCATGGGCCTGAGGGCTGGTCCCTTCGCCCAGCCGCCGCCCAGGCTCCTTCCTGAGTGCTGGGCCGCTGCCGCCGCCATCTTCATTGTGCCGCCTTCCCAAAGTGCCGCTCTGCGCGGAGGACGCTGAGGAATCGCTGTCTCCAGAAAGACGCCGGGCTCTGGGGGGCCTAGAGCAGAGGGGGAAAGGCAATTGTGGTGGTTAGCAGCGTTAGCATTTATCCATACAAAAAGATTTCTATAATGCCATTCACAATAATGGTGCAAAATGTGGCAGCCGGACCGTTGACTCGAGTTTCTTGCCGTGACACCATTCTTAAAAAAGCTGCCCATCTACTACCGAGCCAGGTTCAAGTTTCTTGTGCTAATTTAAAAAGCCTGAATCCTTATATCCCAGTTGTATTGCATTGAGGTCATCTGCCAAAGAGTTGTGGTTTGTTCCCTGAATTGGTGAGGATCGTTTGACAACAACAAGGGTGGTGGTTATTGTTTTGATATTTCAGTTTAATTATTTACTTGTGTTTTACCTTGTATTTCATTCTGTGAACCACCCTGGGATCTCTTGATGAAGGGCGGTATATAAGTTTAATAAATTTTAAAACAAACAAATAGTGTCATCGGCCCAGTCCAGTGGAACATTCTGCCACTAGAGATTCAGCAGGCAACTTTCAGCAGGCAACTATTACCCCTGGCCTACGATTAGGAATACATCCTTCCGCAAGGGTTAACTGGTAGCTGTCTTAAACCTTTTAAATAGTTTTACTGTATAGTTTTTATGTTTCATTGCTGTAAACCGCTTTGATTTTCTTAAAACAACAACAACAACACAGCAGCATGCAAATATTTTTATGAATAAATAAGTTAATAAACGTCAGAGCAGCTTACAACAATTATACATGAAACCACATTTTTAATTAAAAAAAAACATATAAAAAGTTGAAATTGGAAATCAGCTCAGTATTGTGGAAAGGTGTCAAATGGGATCAGGCTGGGGAAAGGTCGTGGAGGTGACATCTGCCAAAAAAACAACAGCATCCTAGTGGGCCAATCCTACAAGGGCTAGGTGGTCTGATTAGAAAATTTAGATAATTTGTCATGAATCATAGTTAATTAGTGGGAAGGGATTACAAGGGCCATCTACCCTACCTGCCCACGGACTGCCTCGCCAGAGTGGTGCATGCTTTGGTTATCTCCCGCTTGGACTACTGCAATGCGCTCTACGTGGGGCTACCTTTGAAGGTGACCCGGAAACTATAACTAATCCAGAATGCGGCAACTAGACTGGTGACTGAATTGTGCTTGGAAACGTACTGGGAGCCAATGTAGGTAATTCAGGACAGGTGATATATGGTCTTGGCAGCTGCCCCCAAAGTGTTGGTGTTGACCTTTAAAGCCCTAAACGGCCTCAGCCCGGTATACCTGAAGGAGTGTCTCCACCTCCATCGTTCTGTCCGGACACTGAGGTCCAGCGCCGAGGGCCTTTTGGCGGTTCCCTCATTGCGAGAAGCAAAGCTACAGTGAACCAGGCAGAGGGCCTTTTTGGTAGTGGCGCCCACCCTGTGGAATGCCCTCCCATCAGATGTCAAAGAGATAAACAACTACCTGACATTTAGAAGACATCTAAAGGCAGCCCTGTTCAGGGAAGTTTTTAATGTGTGACATTTTAATGTATTTTTAATCTTTGTTGGAAGTCGCCCAGAGTGGCTGGGGAGGCCCAGCCAGATGGGCGGGGGTAGAAATAATAAAATTATTATTATTATTATTATTATTATTATTATTATTATTATTCCAAGCCACTGCAATGCAGGAATCTTTTGCCCAACACGGGGCTCGAACCCTCGACCCTGAGATTAAGAGTCTCATGCTTTACTGACTGATCTATCCCAGGCCCACGGGCTGGCTGTTTCCTACAACAGTTGTACAGGTTATGTTTTCCATCATTATGACAGTGAAGCTGGAGCCTAAGGGAGGAGGACTTCCATTGCAGCCACCCAGAGGAGGAACCTTAAGGCTCTCTGCGCCTTCGTGCATCTGTTTAGCTGTTGGATACAGCAATGCTTGCCAAGTTGGATGGCTTGAGAAAACAACTAGGCAAGTTCACGGAGGGGACGGCTGTCATGATGGATATGTCCCCCTTCCACTGCCGGGGGGCAGCAGTGGAGAAAGTGCTGTTGCACCCGGGTCCTGCTCAGAAGCTTCCCTTTACCCAGGAGATACTAAAAGCCGTTTCCTGCCTGATGGTCTTCTCCCTTCAGAATGGCATAGAGCCGAAGGAGGAAGTCAAACGAGCGACACTCTTGGAAAGCTCTATGGGCTTCCCAAGGCTCAGGTGACTTGTACTGACCTTTTCCAAGCAATCTGCACAAAAGTCTGCTCTGGGATGCTCTAATAACATCTCTGCACAGGACCACAGAACGGTACCCTGTGTGTGTATTGGCATGAGTTGGTGTTACAAAGATCCTCAGCATCTCTAGTGGAGAGGAACCAGCTCCCACGGCAGGTTGCCAGGAGCGGATAAGACAAGGAAAAGTTCTTACCACCTGCTTTTTATTCAATATTCACAGAGAGAGGCTTGGGAAGGCAGCCTCTTGGAATAATGGTGTTGTCCTGAGTGAGTCTCCACCCCCTTTTTTCCCGACTTCCTCATGCATCATCTCTTCTACAGGTGGCACTGAGGGCCTTTTGCTTCTGAGCCCTTTGCTTTCCTACTTTCAAGGCTCGCCAGGTTCTGGGAGAGGGGAGTGGGTCTGGAATGCTTTCTAAAGACACTGTGTCCTTCGGCTGTTGCCCTCCTGGTTCTTCCTCTTCCTCTTCTCCCATTATTTCCCAACTTTCCCCCTCATCTGCCTCTGAGCTGTGACCTCCCTCAAACCCCTGATGTAATTCTGAACTGTCTTCTCTGGAAGGGCCTTCCCAGTAGTGGCGCCCGCCCTGTGGAACGCCCTCCCATCAGATGCCAAGGAAATAAACAACTAGCTGACTCTTAGAAGACATCTGAAGGCAGCCCTACTTAGGGTAGTTTTTGATATTTGATGTTTTATTGTGTTTTTAATATTCTGTTGGGAGCCACCCAGAGTGGCTGGGGAAACCCAGCCAGATGGGCAGGATATAAATAATAAATCGTTCTACCCGAACACTGAGGTCCAGCACCGAGGGCCTTCTGGTGGTTCCCTCACTGCGAGAAGCCAAATTACAGGGAACCAGGCAGAGGGCCTTCTTGGTAGCGGCACCCGCCCTGTGGAACGCCCTCCCACCAGATGTCAAAGAGAAAAACAACTACCAAACTTTTAGAAGACATCTGAAGGCAGCCCCCTTTAGGGAAGCTTTTAATGTTTGATGTATTACTGTATTTTAATATTTGGTTGGAAGCCACCCAGAGTGGCTGGGGAAGCCCAGCCAGATGGCTGGGGTATAAATAATAAATTATTATTATTAGGCTAGGGAGGCAGTCTCCACCATTCCTCCTCTGCCCAGCCCTTGACACTAGGTAAGGATGGCAAAGACCCCTTGTCTGAAACCTTGCAGAACTGCTGCTGGTCTGTGTAGACCAGTTAACTGGACCCAGGGAACAACTCGGGATAAGGCAACTTCCTCCATCCAGAAAACAACCTACATTACCTGAGGGTGTTGGACAGCCGCGAGTCACCGGTGTCCCGCTGAACCGTGGGCCCCCTCAGTGGGCTGGCAGAGCTCTGGCCAGACCTTGAGGGCAGCCCGTCGTGCTTCGTGGTCAAAGGACCCCCTGGCACCTGCCGCGGAGGGGTGTGGTCTCCTCCAGGCCCCTTGGCGGGGTGTCCGGGACGGGTCCCTTTCGTGTGGCTCGGGTCCCCTCCAGCGGAGAGCCGCTTATCCCCGCCACGGAGGGGTTCGGAGAGCTTGTGCTGGCTCATGGCTTCAGCCCGGCGCTGGGCACTGGGGCTGCCTGTCTGGGGGCTGCCTGGAGTCACCGTCTTCTGGGGGGAGAATCCGAGCCCCCGGGTCTGGTTCAGGCGGTGGGCTGCAACACAGAGAGAGAGGACACCAGGACGAGTGAGGAAAGGGAAGTGATACAAAAACGGTCTTTGATCCCCAGGATAGCCAAGCATCCACAAGCCACTGTTAAGATATTCCATTCCACCTTAAGAGGAACTGGCATGACTGTTGCATGTCACATGCCTGTTTACACTCCAGCACAGAAAACAGCTTGCTGGGAACTTCCGTTTGTGTATAGCTTTTGCTTATGCTGCTTGCTTGGACACGAAGGAGAGAAGACATGTTTTTCCCTTTGCCCTGATGCTGAATAAAATGCCTGTAAATACGCTTTACACAGCCTCTATCCGCCCTTCTGTTGTGGAGAGTTGTTTTCTCTGCTGGCTTGCGTGCTCAGCCTCTGAAGGTTTTGGAGGCTCGGGTCGCAGTTACCTGCTGATCCAAGTACCGGAGATTGCCCGGCTGCCGGCTGCTGGGCTGGAGCCAGCTGGGGGCCTGCCAATTGCCCCCGTTTCCTTGGACGCATCCCAACAGCCACATCGCCTGGGGCGAGTGCTCCCAGACCTGTGGCGAGAGAGATCTCTACCTCATTTCCATTGCGGTTTTCAAGCAAGTACAGAAGAGGAATTGCCCCAGCCAAGCACCAGGAGGACTCGATAGTTTCTTACCTTCTTCTCACCCTGAACCAATGAGGGAAGACCCTCTCCCAAACTCTCAGTGGACACAGGGTGGGATGACAAAAAATGGCTGGCTGGTTAGCCAAGCCAATATTTGGTGAACCTTTTGTGAAACAAAAGAAGTGCCATGGTCAGATCACTTCCTGGTGCAACTGGACTTCTCCACGACCCTTCCCCTCTGCAGGGAGGTGGGACCAATTCGGATGGTCCACCACCGCCACTTAATGGATCCAAATGGTTTCCAGAGAGTGGTAGGGGATGCCTTATCCCATGTTGATGGCCTTTCAGCTGATTCCCTGGTGGCCCGCTGGAATGCGGAGTTAACCAGGGCTATCGACTGTCTGGCTCCGAAGCGCCCTCTCCGATTGCATGGAGCCCGGACAGCCCCGTGGTTTTCTTCAGAGCTGAGGGCGATGAAACAATCGCTGAGACGGCTAGAGCGTCGGTGGCAGAAAACTCATTCCGAATCTGACCGGACACAGGTTAGAGCTCAACGTCGAGCCTACCAAGTGGCGATAGCGACGGCGAAGAAGACTTTCTTCACCGCCTCTATTGCATCTGCAGAAAATAGTAGCAGGAGACTCTTTTAGGTGGTCCGCAATTTAACGGAACCACCTTTACCAGCGGGGCCTTGTAAAGACCCCAAGATCTCCTGCAACGATTTTACGAAGTTTTTTGCAGATAAAATCACTCATATTCGGAAGGAGCTAGACACCACCATGGGAGCAGGGCTGGGGCGGGAGAGTGCTAGAGCCCTGTCTGGTCAAGTTGCATGGGATCAATTTCAATCCGTTACCCCAGAGGATGTGGACAGACTGCTTGGACACGTGAAAACAACAACCTGTCTCCTTGATCCTTGCCCATCCTGGCTAATAAAAGCAAGCCGGGAAGGGCTGGGAGATGGGCTCTGGGGGGTGGTGAATGCTTCCCTCTGTGAGGGAACATTCCCAGATCTGCTGAAAGAGGCAGTCATTAAACCGCTTCTTAAAAAAACATCTCTAGACCCGGCCAGTATGGCCAACTATCGCCCAGTCTCAAATCTTCCATTCTTGGGCAAGGTGATGGAGCGAGTGGTTGCTGAACAACTCCAGGCACACCTGGAGGATGCAGACCATTTGGATCCCTTCCAATCGGAATTCAGGCCTCATCATGGGACTGAAACTGCCTTGGTCGCGCTGGTTGATGATCTCCGGCGAGCTAGGGACAAAGGTGAGAGCTGTTTCCTAGTTCTGCTGGATCTCTCAGCAGCCTTTTATACAATCGACCATAAAATCCTTCTGGACCGTCTAGAGGGGCTGGGAGCTGGGGGCACTGTTATACAGTAGTTTCGCTCCTTCCTCCTGGGCCGTGTTCAGAAAGTGGTGGTGGGGGATGAGTGTTCAGACCCCTGGGCCCTCACTTGTGGGGTGCCTCAGGGTTCCATCCTCTCCCCCATGCTGTGTAACAGCTATCTGAAGCCGCTGGGAGAGATCATCAGGGGGTTTGGACTGGGTGTCCATCAATATGCAGATGATACCCAGCTCTACCTCTCTTTCAAATCAGAACCAGTGAAGGCGGTGAAGGTCCTGTGTGAGTGCCTGGAGGCGGTTAATGGATTGAGGTTGAATCCTGACAAAACAGAAGTACTGTTTTTGGGGGACAGGGGGCGGGCTGGTGTGGAGGACTCCCTGGTCCTGAATGGGGGTAACTGTGCCCCTGAAGGACCAGGTGCACAGCCTGGGAGTCAATTTGGACTCACAGCTGTCCATGGAGGCGCAGGTCAATTCTGTATCCAGGGCAGCTGTCTACCAACTCCACCTGGTACGCAGGCTGAGACCCTACCTGCCTGCAGACTGTCTCGCCAGAGTGGTGCATGCTCTAGTTATCTCCCGCTTGGACTACTGCAATGCGCTCTACGTGGGGCTACCTTTGAAGATGACCCGGAAACTACAACTAATCCAGAATGCGGCAGCTAGACTTGTGACTGGGGGCAGCCGCCGAGACCACATAACACCGGTCTTGAAAGACCTACATTGGCTCCCAGGACGTTTCCGAGCACAATTCAAAGTGCTGGTGTTGACCTTTAAAGCCTCGGCCCAGTATACCTGAAGGAGCGTCTCCACCCCCATCGTTCTGCCCGGACGCTGAGGTCCAGCGCCGAGGGCCTTCTGGCGGTTCCCTCATTGCGAGAAGCAAAGCTACAGGGAACCAGGCAGAGGGCCTTCTCGGTAGTGGCACCCTGTGGAACGCCCTCCCATCAGATGTCAAAGCAATAAACAACTACCTGACATTCAGAAGACATCTTAAGGCAGCCCTGTTCAGGGAAGTTTTTAATGTGTGATATTTTAGTGTATTTTTGGTTTCTGTGGAAGCCGCCCAGAGTGGCTGGGGAAACCCAGCCAGATGGGCGGGGTACAAATAATAAATTATTATTATTATTATTATTGTTAATGGGGGGGGGCAAAGCTTATTTCTGGCTGTGTCTCCTAAGTTAGGTTTCCCTGCTCTGTGGTTGCAAGCAAGGATCTGTCAGGGATTCTTAAATCATTGTTGTTGACTTTTCCCCCATATATATTTTTACCAAATCAGCCACATTAAAACAAATTTAATACAAATCTCTGCTAGTGATTCTTTAGCTGTGATTCCTGCATTGTAGGGGGTTGGACTAGATGAAACTTGAGGTCCCTTGCAACTCTACAGTTCTCTGATATTACCCGGCTACCTGGAGAGCGAACTCATGTCTTTTGCTTCTCAAAGCTCACGAACGGTGAATGTCAGTTAGTCCTTGTGGACTAACAGCTTTTGCCAATTGATCTACAAGGCTGTCTCACCAGACTCTCCCTAGCCCAACCCCTCATTGCTCCATTCCGTTGTCTCATCTGCAACACAAGCTTTTGCACCAACGCTACTGGGGAGATAACAAGCTGTCCTTGCACTAGGCATTTATCCCAATATATAGTTGCACTGAGGGACATGGGTGGCGCTGTGGGTTAAACCACAGAGCCTAGGACTTGCTGATCAGAAGGTCGGCGGTTTGAATCCCTGCAATGGGGTGAGCTCCCGTTGCTTGGTCCCTGCTCCTGCCCACCTAACAGTTCAAAATCACGTCAAAGTGCAAGTAGATAAATAGGTACCACTCTGGCGGGAAGGTAAAACGGCGTTTCCGTGCGCTGCTCTTGTTCGCCAGAAGCGGCTTAGTCATGCTGGCCACATGACCCAGAAGCTGTACGCCGGCTCCCTTGGCCAATAAAGCAAGATGAGCGCCGCAACCCGATTCGGCCACAACTGGACCTAATGGTCAGGGGTCCGTTTACAGTTGGACTGATGTACTTTCAGCTGAACATTGTGGAATGTCTGTTTTTTATTTTATTTTTTTAAGTCATGTTTCTAGCCCATAGGATTGCAAGGCTCAGCATCCAAGCCAATCAGGAGGCAGAGAAAAAAACTAGCAAGCAGGGTAACTCCAGGTCACTGTTTTGTGCAAAGCGCAATGAACCCGTGTGGAAGGAAGCTATGATGGCCACGAGCCACAAGGGGGCACTGCGGGAATGCAGCAAACCCCTGCCTTCAGAAGTCGAAAGTTCCCAGACTTGATTATGTAGCCGTTTTAGGGTTAATATGGTTTCATGCTCTCCGCTTCCCTGAACAACAGGAAGACTCAGAGTCAGCTGCTATGGGGTCAGTTTCCTGGGAAGGAAAACAGAAGGCTCACAGCAGGACTTGCAGGAGAGCAAGGGATGGCCTTTGTAAACAATGGCAGCTCCTCCAAGGATCGTGCCAAGGCAGGTTCCCAGTGTGGGAAAGAGCCAGAAATCTGGGCTTATCTTTATGTGCAAACACTTTCCCCAAGATGGCATAAAAAAGCAGTCTGCAGGATGAGGCTGCTGATCGATCCAGTCCGCCATCCTTTCCTCACAGCGGCCAAAGGCCCCAAAGAACCAAGTTAGACTGCCTCTGCACCTGGAAGTTCTGTACGAATATCAGAAGAGCCTTTCTGCCGGATCAGGCCCATGGCCTATTCAGCCTGTCACCCTCTCCTCACAATGGCCAATCAGAAGCCCAGAGCAGGATCTGGGCACAAAAGCACTCTGTCCTTCCTCCGTGGTTTCCAAGGCCTGGTTACAGTGGTACCTTGGTTCTCAAACGCCTTGGTTCTCAAACAGCAAAAACCCGGAAGTGTTCCGGTTTTCAAATGTTTTTTGGAAGCCAAATGTTCGATGCAGTTGTTAGCTATTGTTTCTGGGGCACCTGCACCAATCAGAAGCCGCACCTTGGTTTTCGAACATTTCAGAAGTTAAACAGACTGCCAGAACAGTTTAAGTTTGGTGCTTTTGTTCTTGCTATTTATTTTGTGCTTTTGTTTTTGAGGCTTTTTCAGTTTTTGTTTTTGTGACTGTGTGGAACCCAGTTCAGCTATTGATTGATTGATTGTGTGACTGCAGAAATGGATAAAAGCCCCCCATCCAAACAATGACTATCATCAGTGCAGGTAAGGAAAAAATGTTAATTTTTATCATCTACAATACCGTCTTATTTATTTTATAGTGCGGTACATTGATTATTGCTTTCATTTTATGGATCAATGGTCTCGCTAGATAGTAAAATTCAAGTTAAATTGCTGTTTTAGGGGTTGTTTTTGAAAGTCTGGAACAGATTAATCCGTTTTGCATTACTTTCTATGGGAAGGTGCACCTTGGTTTTGGAACGCTTTGGTTTTGGAACTTATTTCTGGAAGGATTAAGTTTGAGAACCAAGGTACCACTGTATTCAGAAGCATCACTCCCTTGGAAAGCCCTGCTGGGTGTTTCATGATGTACACACACAAACACACACATATTGAAAGCACGCAGCTTTCAAGAATCCTGGGAAGTATGGCTTGTTAAGCGCGCTGGGAACTGCAGCTCTGTGGGGGCAAACAACAGGTCCCACAGTTCTTTTCCTTGTCTTATCTGTTCCTGGCAACCTGCCATGGGGGCTGGTTCCTCTGCCGCCTGACATCTAGAGATGCTGAGGATCTTTGTAATACCAACTCATGCCAATACACACACACAGGGCACCACTCTTTGGTCCTGTGCAGAGATGTCGTTAAAGCGTCCCAGATCAGACTTTTGTGCACATTGCTTGGAAAAGGTCAGTACAAGTCCCCGGAGTCCTCCATACTCACAGAAAGAGGCGCAGCGGCATGGATCGTGCTTGTCCAGGTAGTGTTCCAGGGTGTCCCAGCCCCCGCCGACCCGCACCATCACGTGGTTCCTCAGCACCTATGTGGGCAACCCAAAAAAACCCACATCAGGTGAGCAGGTTTTGCCGGTGGGATCAATAGGGTGCGTCCTCACATGGAAAGGCAAGAGAGGAGATTGCTGGGTGGGGTGCAACAGGTGTAATTGCCTTTTAGATCAGTGGTTCCCAATTAGCTAATTACTGAGGACCGCCTGTTTTTCAAAAGCCAAGGCATGGACCCCCCTACTTTTGCAAATTTTGATACCTCTGCAAAGCAAATTTTTTGAACAAAATGTGGGGGAAGCCCCTAATAAGCAAAGGATTTTAGATATACAGTCGTACTTTGGTTGTCGAACGGAATCCATTCCGGGAGTCCATTCGACTTCTGAAAACGTTTGACAACCAAGGCGTGGCTTCTGATTGGCTGCAGGAACCTCCTACAGCCAATCGGAAGCTGCGTTGTATGTTCGGCTTCCAAAGAATGTTCGCAAACCAGAACACTCACTTTCGGGTTTGCGACGTTCGGGAGCCAAAACGGATGAGTACCAAGGCATTTGGGATCCAAGGTACGACTGTACTAAAAAACAGACCAAGGCTGAGCGATATCTGGTTTTCAACATCGTGATATATAAAGGTAAAGGTAAAGGGACCCCTGACCATTAGATCCAGTCGTGGCCGACTCTGGGGTAGTGGCACTCATCTCACTTTATTGGCCGAGGGAGCCGGCGTACAGCTTCCGGGTCATGTGGCCAGCATGACTAAGCCACTTCTGGCGAACCAGAGCAGCGCACGGAAACGCCATTTACCTTCCCACTGGAGCGGTACCTATTTATCTACTTGCACTTTGACGTGCTTTCGAACTGCTAGGTTGGCAGGAACAGGGACCAAGCAACGGGAGCTCACCCCGTCGCAGGGATTCGAACCGCCGACCTTCTGATCGGCAAGTCCTGGGCTCTGTGGTTTAACCCACAGCGCCACCCGCGTCCCATATATCAGCAGCTAAACATCATGATATTCAGATATATCACAATGTCTGGAATTGGAGATCAGGCGTGGGGATGAGGGATGGGGCAGCTGTAGAGATCCGGGGGATAGAGGGAGGAGAGGAAGCGGAGTCATCTTCACCGAATGGTTTGAGTGGGATGGGATGTGGGGTGCCATCAAGACACCGTCAGTGGGGCAGCCAGTGCTGGCAACCAGCAAAGATGCATGCCCACTGTGGCCGCTGCTGCTTTCCTGCTGACTGAGAAAAGCTTCTGCCTCAGTGCCAGGGGAAAGCAGTGCCACGGTGCCTTGAAGTGAGGGCGATCAGCTGCCCTGTTTCCCCTCAGCATCAGGGAAGGCAGCTCAGATTGGCAGCGTCATCGGCAGTGTCTTGAAATTGGCTTCCCTGCTTATATTGCTGCGAATTGCCAGGTCAAAAACGTTATGGCGGTGTGATTTCAAAACTGATTTTGGCCAATGTATTGAAAAATCAGGGTGTGCTAAAACAGACCATAAATTTTGTGATATTGCCATAAAATTGCAAAAAAAATAGTTTGGGGGTGGGGAGGCAAGGGGTGGGGCTCTCTGGGTGCATTCTGCAGACCCCTAATTGGGAAACACTGTTTTAGATTATTGCCCTTAAATTACTAAAAGAACGTCAAGGACCGGCTCTCCAATATAAAACAGCCCAGACCCTGTGGTGTCCATCAGAAGTCCTTGTACCCGACCCAAAGTGAGCTGCTGGAACAGGGTAGGGAGGGAGACATGAGGACAGGTCTGTTCAGGGGTGTTTTCCAGGGAGGTGGGCCTGGAGCCATCCTTGCCAGGCTTGAGGTCCCAAGCTAAGACCGTTTCCTTCAATCAGGTCTTTTGCATTCCTCAGGCAGAGGTTGGGTGGCCAACTGTCATGGATGCTTTAGCTGAAATTCCCGCTCTGCAGGGGGCTGGACCAGATGACCGTCAGAGAAGCTTCCAATTCTATGATTTAGTTGCCCCCTAGGAGGGTGCTTGTTTCGTAACAAGGCAGGTAACACTCTGCCCTTATACATCACTGGATGAGCATCTAAGGGGTTTTGCCTTGCTCACTGTATTAAATTTTCCTCATTGTACTTTGACGCTTTGCATAAAGCTACCGATAGATGCAATCAATGATAACAGTAATAATAATCTGATCTCATGGAGTCTAGAGCAGTGGTCCCCAAACCGTTGTTTTTTTTGTGGGGGGGGGGAGGCCCCCCCTTTGGTTCCATAAACTCATCCCCGGTGCTCCTTACCCTACAAAAAGCATTATTCAGGATAGTGGTTTGTACATCCCACTAAGGAATACCACAATAAAATTTGAAACAGTAACAATTAATTGCACGTTTTCTTCAAAATCCAATTAAAACTATGTGGTTTAATTAATTTAACAAATTTGACAGGCTTGATCCAGGGCTTTTCAAAGTCTGAGAGTCATTTACACCTCCAGACCCCTCCCCCTTCCACATCTGCTGCCCCCTTGCCTCTTAGCACCATGATAGGTAATCCCACAGCCCTCTAGGTGGTGGTACACCCCAGTTTGGGAACCACTGGTTTAGAGCCCGGAAGACAGATTATTCTTTTTTGGGGGGAGGGAGGGGACAGGAAAGCTAGGAGGGGAGGGAAAGAGATGTATTTGTAGAAGATCTTACTCGAACAAAGATCAGGGCGTTGGAGTCTCCCACTTTATATTTACCCTCTGAGACTTTGACCATGGGGAACTGGGATGGGCAGGTACAATGGCCCAAGATCTCTCTTACCTAAGAGGGAAGGGGGAAGAGGGGATGGAGGAAAAAAAGAAACGTAATTGATTAGCAACCAACCCATCACAAACAATCCAACACGCTGCTCCTTTGCAGCCCACAACAAAATAAAGTTGATTCAAGTCCCTGTGCGAAGCCTACCTCGCCCGACTGCAGTGAGGGTCAAACGGGGGCAGTCTCCTTTTCCAGTTGCAATTCCTGCATTGCTGGGGGGTTGGATAAGGTGGCCCTTGGGGACCCTAATAAACCAGCCCCTAGCCAGCACATCTATGGCCCTGAAGGAACCAGGGAGAATAACTCCCCCCCCCCCCCAATGCTTGCAGACTGTCGATGAAAGCGCATCTAGCCACAGACTGAAAGTTGGTGGATGTTTGGGCCTCCCGCCTTGGCAACCAGTTCAAAACAAGGAAGGGGCCCACCCTGTCTGTAGCCAGAGGAGGTGATGCAGGAGGTGATGCCCTGAGCCAAAAGCTGCTCCCAGATGCAGTGATTTATGCCCTCCCGGCTCAGGGAGACATATCAAAAACAGCAAGGCAAATGCAGTAAACCCAGGCACAGCCTTCTTCCAACCTGTGCCTTCCAGATATGTTGACCTGCAACTCCCACCAGCACTCCAGGTAGGCCTAGGAAAGAGCTGCTGCCGGTCAGTGTTGACAATACTGAGCTAGATGGACCGATGATCTGATTTGGTACAAGATAGCTCTCCTGTTCCAACGGATCAGGTCTCTTACTAGAGTGGCCCCGAGGCTGAGGGATGCCCCTTCCCCTCCTTTCTAGGGGCAGCAAGACACTCCCCCTTAATCAAGGGGGGAGAGCTATTTTCTGCCCGAGGGCCACACTGCCTTCTGAGAAAGCTTCTGGGGGCCACATGCCAAGAGGCAAAAGTGGGCGGAGCAATGGATATTTATTTGACCTCTGTGCAAAGAGGCTATGTTCCTACGCACCCCTCTGTATCCAGAAAAGCAAGACTCCTTGGGCACATTCCAGCTAGGCAAAAACTTTGTGCCAGACAGAAGCCTGAAGGGTTGCTTTCAGAGTAGATTCATTGAAATCAATGGGTCTAACTTAGTCATGCCTATTAGTTGTGATGGGTCTACACTGAGCTAACGCTGAATGCAGTGCGTATTTATCTCGGACAGTGTTAGACTGACCAGCTTCAAAGCTGCCACAATGACCATTCACAGTATTTTATCCTAGTCTTATCTTCCAGGGATTATCCACCTTCAGCAATGAATAATCTGGTTTTCTGGTTTTCTGAGCCACTGTGATCCCTGGGAAAAGTGAGTTAATGATTCTGAAAAGAGGTAAATAAATGGCTTTTTAAAAGGCGGCGGACGGGGAAGAGTATGAGTTTTTATTTTCCCTCGATGGAACAAAATTTAATGCGTGGAATTTTACAAGCCTGTATAGAATAGCTCTCTTGCTGAAAGGGGTGGGGGGTGGGGTGGGAGCGGAAAAGTGGATTTTTCCTGCACGTAGGAAAAAACAGCCAAAATGACTGCAACTTTTCCACATTTGGTTGGGCTCCTGAAAGCAAGGACAGAGACCTCTGACACAACATCTGTTAGCAGTTTTATTTGAGAGCAGAGCCGTTTAAGCTGAAGAGCCACAGCTAGACAACAGAGCACCTGCTTTGCATGCAGAAGATCCCTGGTTCAGTCCCCAGCAGGTAAGGCTGGGACAAGACTCCTCCTGAACCCCTAGGAAGCCACTGCCCGCCAGTGTAGAGAAAGCTGAGCAAGATGGACCAGTAGCCTGGCTCTGTATAGCGCAAGGTCATAGATCAGCGGTAGACTGTCTGCTTTGCATGAAAATAGCTCAGCTACAATCCTCAGCATCTCAAAACAGGATTGGAAAACATCTCATATCTGAAACTCTGGAAAGCTGCTGCCAGTCAGTGAAGGGAATACTGAGCTGGGAATAGTATGAGTTAGTTTCCAGCACTCTTGTGTGTTAAGGAAGTGCCAAAACTCAGTAGTTTGCACACATACGTTCCTAGGTTCAATCCTTGGCATCTCCAGGCAGGGCTGGGGGGAGAGAGAGAGATAGACCCTGCCTGAAACCCTGGAGAGCTGCTGCCAGTCAGTGTTGACAACACTGAGCTAGATGGGCCACTGCGGTGACTCACATCATCAGGCAAATGGCAGGTGGGTAGGCCCACAGATAAAGATCTGAGACTCTGGGCCTAAGAAGATTCCCTGCCTCTGGTTTTGCAGACAAGGTTGAGTTCGATAAGACTTATGGCATTTCTTGGTATGAGTCAGCTTCCTGCTCTCCTAGGTGTTAAAGGGAAATCTGTAGCTCATTGGCAGAGCTGCTGCTCTGCTTGCTAAGGTCCCAGGTTCAAAACCCTGGCGTCCGCAGGTAGGGCTGGGAAGGAAACTCTGGAGAGCCGCTGACAGTCAAGTCTTCAACCCCGGGTGTCGTCGGACTTCGAATGCCACAATCCCTGTGCATTGGCGAAGCTCGCCAGGGATGATGGGAGTTGTAGTCCAACAACACCTGGGCAGTGTTCAAAATTCCCCAGGCTTGTTTTGCTACAGGTGCAGGTCCAATGGCGACTGCGTGGAGATTTTTGGGCACCAAAGGTTGGCGACTCCAGTGGAAAAACCTCTGCCTTACTCCATAATGAACACCTTTTCCATTTCCACCGTGTGTGTTTCTCCTTCTTGCCTTCTGGAACAAGCAATACAGTTGAGATCATACCATCATAGAATTGTAGCACTGGGAGGGACCCCTTGAGGGGCATCTAGGACAAGTTAGGCGCTAAATGGCAGCTTAAACCTAGATTATGGGCACCACAATGGAATGTCTAGGCGCGATTTCTTTCAAAAGCAAGAATACAGAGCTGAAAATGAAAGAACTGCAGCTAAAATACTATGTTCATTTTCACATGGTCTAGTCCAGGGGTCAGCAACCTAAGGCCTACGTAACCTCCCCATAACCTCACTTCTTGCAGTGACAGAACAGCCAGAAGGCCCTCGGAGCTGGACCTCAGTGTCTGGGCTGAGCGATGGGGTGGAGACGCTCCTTCAGGTATACTGGGCCGCGGCTGTTTAGGGCTTTATAGGTCAGCACCAACACTTTGAATTGTGCTTGGAAACATACTGGGAGCCAATGTAGAAGACTACTCCTTTTTGACTTTGGGGAGGGCCAGGAAGTTGGCAGACAGCCAGCTGAAAATCTTGGCCCACCCCTTGCTTAAAAGATCTGGAGGGCACCAGGTTGAGAAAGGCTGGTTTAGCCTGCCTCTCGCTTTTCTAAGAGAAGCCAGGAAAGAGATGCAAGGAGCTGAGATGAAGCAGCTGGCTGGGGAAGAAACTAACCTCTTGTGCAGAGAGAAGAGGTTTTGGTCCAGCCAAAGTAACTACAAAAAGCATCAGCAGCACAACGCAGGGAATGAAGCCAACGGGGAGGCGAGGGCAGAAAATGGACAAGCTGTAATAGCTCCAGGGAGTCCATTTCCAAAAGCTGCCCTTGATGGATTAGCCGAGTCTTCCTGGCCGCTCGTTCTCCAGCAGAAGTGCCTCGCCACAATTCTCAGGGAAGAGGGGGCCAGGGTGGAACTGCCGCCCATCATATGCTAGCTTTCTACAAGCAGAGAGGTGGCGCTGGGTTTAGAACTGCTCCTCGCCACATGCTAGATTTCTACAGGCAGGGAAGCGGTGTCAGGCTTTTCACAATTCCGACACGGGGCCTCCCCACTCCAGGTGTTCTGAAGCGGGACAGTCCCAATGAGGCTTGCTTGCCTGTTTTATTCAAAAGCCCTTCAGATGCCACCTTGCAGAGCAAAACTCTCCCACAGCAGCTTGTAAAATGTAAATACAGTGGTACCTTGGGTTAAGTACTTAATTCATTCCAGAGGTCCGTTCTTAACATGAAACTGTTCTTAACCTGAAGCACCACTTTAACTAATGGAGCCTCCTGCTGCCGCTGCTGCACAATTTCTCTTCTCATCCTGAAGCAAAGTTTTTAACCCGAGGTACTATTTCTGGGTTAGCGGAGTCTGTAACCTGAAGCGTATGTAACCCGAGGTACCACTGTATATAGCAGGATAACTTTGCTTGGGTTCGACACAAGTACCAAGGGCCTCTGGACTCATTCCTCACCTCACACACACATGCACACAGCACTGACAGACACTCTGGGGTGTTTGAGTTGTGAGTGCCCTTTGAATGCAGATCAAACTGTGCTCCGGTCTATGGTGACCGCCTGCCATGTTGGGTTATCCAAAATGCAACGCCCGAGCTGACATCAGCTTCCCATCTGTCTCTCTTTAAAATCAAGTTTCTAGTCTTAAGCCTGCTCTGGGCAATGCCTGCCGAAAACTCAGAAGCCAGGGAGGTGGTGAGGCAGAGGGAACGCCTCCCTTCTCCCTCTAATGACCGAAACCAGAATCCATTGAGCCAAATGGTAAACGCCGTAGAATAACTTGTGCAAATGAGAACATTTATTCGTTTCCTTTTATTAACTTTGTGTAAATGTGTTTAATGTGCATAAATCCATAAATCATGCAGAGGGAGAGCAGAATGTCCCTGGATTTGCAAGACTGCATGGCCTGAATGCGTATTTCTTTTTTTTAAAAGTTCGTGCACACACAGGTCTCATATCCCTCTCTTGACGCCTGCTGCAAATGTTTTATTTTGAGAGATGGGTAACTCGCCCAAAGCCACGTCGCAGGTTTTGTGGCGGAGGCAAGGATTCCAGCCCAGCATCCCACATCCAAAAAAGTCTGCCGCACTACGCCAGCTTTGAGCTGCAGCCCTTCTAGATGGACACCATTTCCCATCCACCCCCCCCTGCCAAGCCAGAGAGTCACCCCCCCCCCCAAAAAAAATATATTTCTGAATGTGCATGCCACTCCGTGTTGCTTCCAAGCAGATGAGGACACATTAATTCCTCCTGCAGCCGTTATGAAATGTTTTTGGGAGACCAGCAGATGCTGAGAATTGGAGCACGGGTGGGGTGTGTGGGGGGTGTTACTATTTATATAGCCCCATTGACAGAAACATCTTCAGCAGCACAGGAGAAATTAACGTCCAAAATCCCTCGTCACGCTCCGGGGTCTAATCTGCCAAAGGGGCTGGAGATGAGGCAGCAAGCCGGCCGCAATTATTTTGCAACCGGCTCAAGAGATCTTTTGCACATGTGGCACAGCCGGCCGGCCTTCCAGAACACATGTGGACGGCCATCGCCACAGCAACCAGATCTCAACAGCTGTTGGCACCGTGCCAGCCCAAAGCTGGAGACAGTCGTGGGGGTCGGGGATGGAAGAGAAGCAAAACTGGTATTTTTAGTTAGCTGCAAACAGGCGCTTCTGGTCTCGACCTCTCTCCCATCTGGAGTGGAAGCGAGGAAGAGCTGGGAACACTTAAGACGGAGAGCAGATCGTTCGCCCCCACCACCCAGGCCGAATTCTGCACCCTAAACCTTCCCAGCCGCAAATGTTTCCAGATTTGCCGGGAAAACAGGGAGGTTGGAAGAGGCAAAGCAAGACTCTACACTCTGCTGTGCAGAGCCAGGAAGTTGCCGGCGGCAACTCTTGGGTTTAAGACGCAGATGCGGATGAATTAGGCCTGGCCACCCAGGAATCCCCACCCCAGAGACATCTAGGCATAGCTGTCAACTTACACATCTGAAAATAAGGGACCAGCAGCCTCAAAAATAAGGGATCAGCAGCCAAAATAAGGGATCAACAATTACTTTGATAAAATGCATATTTTGTTGCATGCAAATGGCTTTAGATACCTATTAGGTCCATAAATTACCATATAGCATATATTCAACACAAAAAAACAGCCACAATTTGTTGTTGACAAAGGACAGCTAGACATAGAAAGGGCCCCATTACCTTCAGTAGCTTATTTAAGGGAGATCATCAATAAGGGACAGCAGCGGGACATGGCGCTGGGATAAGGGACTGTCCCGCCAAATAAGGGACGCTTGACAGCTATGCATCTAGGTAGGGAGCAAGCAGTCTTGCCTTTCCACTGGGTCTCAGAAGACTCTGAAAGTCCTGCTTGCACCCATCATACATCTGGGATCAGCACAGGAGCCTGCCTTGCAAGCTATTCCTTTTCATTTTGCGGAGCTTGCCCAAATGCCGTTTCCAGTGCTCCCTCTCTCTTAGCAAACACATCATTTGTGCACATTTAATAAATGCATGGAAAACTGAATAAATAAAATGTTCTCATTTGCACCACTCATTCTGCAACGTTTCCCCTTTTGCTTATATGATTCCGGTTTCGGTCATCCGAGGGAGAAGGGAGGAAGGAATAGGGATTTTATTCCACCCACCTCCCTGGCTTCTGAGATATTAAGTGCCTTGAACAAACAAAAACAAAGTAACAGCAATGTGTAGAGATGGGTAAGAATCAATATGGGTTACCTGGATGCAAAATGTTAATGGGCTTTTCAAGAAAACAGAGGAGGCTCAGCCCTGATCAGATTCCTCTGCCTGTCGCCTGACACACCCTGCAAATAGATTAGCATCTTTGTACGCCTGTCTAGTCATGCCCTGGCGTAATGTAATCAGCTGCCCATAAAACACAGCCGTCCAGCCGCCCACCCATGACTTCCCTGTTCTGCTTTTCTCGGGCAGATGCCAAGAGGTGACTATATTTGGGAAACCTCAAGAGATCTGGGGCAAAGATTAGCTCATCGCACATTACGCAGCAGCCATTCAAGAACCCAGGGTTCTCTCTCTCTCTCTCTAACAACATAATTAAACATACACACACCCAATGCACAAATCTAAGTAATCCAGATACAGGAGAGTTCACCAGCCTTACTGCCGATTCAGCCACCTTCAGAGACCCAGCGAGGTTCAAACCTCTTCTTCCCTATGTCAATACTGTCATTTATATATACAATGGTACCTCAGTTCTGGAGGTCTGTTCTTAACCTGAAACTGTTCCTAACCTGAAGCACCACTTTAGCTAATGGGGCCTCCCGCTGCCGCTGCACGATTTCTGTTCTCACCCTGAAGTAAAGTTGTTAACCCGAGGTAATATTTCTGGGTTAGCGGAGTCTGTAACCTGAAACATCTGTAACCCGAGGTACCACTGTATAGCACTGTGAGTTCTAGTCAATGTAGTGAATCATTTGTAGCTCACTCGGTAATGCATGAGACTCTTCATCTCAGGGTTCTGGGTTCGAGGATCGCCTTGGGCAAAAAGATTCCTGCATTGCAGAGGGTTGGATTCGATGACCCTTGTTGTCCCTTCCAACTCTATGATGCTATGATTTAGGGTTTTCTCTGTGGCAGCCCCAAAAGTGAGGAACTCCCTCCCCACAGAGCATCTTCGTTGTAGGGGGTTTTTAGCCTCTTGATCCAGACTTTCTGACAATTAAAGTATTTTTGTTTTGCTTTGTGCCTTTTTGTACTGTTTATAAAGCTTTATACTGTTCTGTTCCATTTGGAACTGTTTTACTCATCTTTCTTGGAAGAGCAATCGCGGGGATCATTCTGTGTGCAACCCTAAGGACTAACAGAGTTAGTGTGAAGGTCAGCCAGCCAAGAGGGGGCCAAGTGGAAGCGTTGCTTAGCAACCAGGCAGGGCGGCATGATGCCTGCTGAGGTGGTGCATGCTCTGATTGGCTATGCAGTTGTGAGGGAGTTTCCCCTCTGTATGCTTGCTTGAAAAACCTCCTTCTGTGTGAAGGCCTGAGAGAAAATACAAAACTTCTCATCAAATTATAAGCTGCTTTGTTCAGTTTTCTTCAGGAAAGTGTGTATAAGGGTTTCTTTCTACTTTGGACTCCACCTGTATCATCAATGAAGCGGCTTTGCTAGCAGTTGTATCCCTGTAATGGCTTTGTCTCCTTTTTATAACTGTATATTCTATTACCATAACCCACCTTAGGACCTTATGGGCGAGTAAGAAACCTCCTAAATAAATGGCCTAAACTGCTAAGAGGAACCTCTATATGCAGCTGCAGTATATACCTCTACATATCAGATATCTTGATGGGAAGGAAGATTGCTTGCAGCCACCTGATTCCTGGTCTCTATAGGAAATGGGAAGAAGGCGGAATAGATGGGCCTCTGTTTACACTAATAATACAATTATTCTGCTCTTAGAAACCAACAGCAATTACAGAGGAAATAGTGGAACAGAGTCAAAACCACAGCGGAGATCACAGGAGGTGGGTGGTTTGAGCATGCAGCGTTTGTTCTGACTGGGAGAGCAGAAACGGGACAAGATGATGTTGAAACAAAACTATGATAATGCAGCCAGTTCATTCATTCCCCCCCCCCCCAACTGTATCTATTTCTAGCTGTAGTTAGAGTAACAACGCAGGCACATACGGTGCGGGCATGTTTGTTTATGTGCGGGCCAAGTTACCCTTGCAGCGAGTTTATTTTCATCTGCGAAAAGCTGGACAGTCCAAGATTGTTGGCATTTTATTTCCACTGAGGCTTCTTGACTCGGGGCTGGTGGCTTCAAAAGAGAAAGGAAAGCAGGAGAGAGTCTGTTCTCAACTGCCTCCTCCTCCTCCTCATCTCGGACAATGTCCATAAAAGCCGAGGGCTGGGCATGGAGCCTGGACATTACGAAGCAGAAAAAAATGCTCCCTGGGACCTCCGAGGAGAGATGGGGGGCTGGGTACGTCAACCAACCTACTAACATACAAGCACCCATCTCTCCCTGGGCAGAAAATGGAGGGAAGGAGAGAGCCAATATCTGGACCTGTGCTTTTCTTAAACGCATAAGAAGCAGTGTTAGAAGCTCAGATCTACAGTCATATCTCGGGTTACGCACCAGCCGAAACCCGGAAGTACCGGAACGGGTTACTTCCGGGTTTCGGCGGTTGCGCATGTGCAGAAGCGATAAATTGCACTTTGAACATGCGCAGAAGCGTCAAATCACAACCCACGCATGCAGAGACATCTCACTGTGGGTTGCGAACACTGCTGGTTGCGAATGTGCACCCCGCACGGATCACGTTCGCAACCCGAGCGTCCAAATGGCTCAAACAAGCTTGCAGTTGCCAAAAAGGAATGTCTGGTTGCCATTTTGGGGTACAACAGCTCTCAAGTCTTATTTTTCAAATGATGGACTGACTGTGATGGATTCTCAGTTAAACATCTGGCTAGTTCAGATGAAAGCCTTGAGCCTTGGTTAAGAAGAAGTTTCATAAAGTTCAACAAAAAAAGCAGAAGACCCTGTGGATTAGTTCATTCTCTAGTCAGTTCATGCATAAGGCTTAGGATGGCGAAACAAGGCTAATATTCTGGAAATCCTTGTCTTAGACTCTGTGAAAGGATTCTGTGGAACTGTAACAACCCTTCATGTGGATTACTAGACTCTATGAACAGACAGGTGGAATAGACATTTATACATGCGTGGACCTTATGCATGAACTTCCGCTGAAATCTACAATTTGATACAATGAAGTATACCTTATTTACTTAAAAGTACAGCCGGTTATGTCTTGTGTGTTTATTGAGTGTGTTTCACATAACCATAGGTCTGTTGTTGTTTTGCTAATGTTATACCCAAGTCAGACCTAGCTCAGTATTGCGTACACTGACTGGCAGCAGCTCTCCAGGACTTAGAATCATAGAGTTGGAAGGGACCACGAGGGTCATTTGCCCAACGTGGGGCTCGAACCCACAAACCCGAGATTTAAGAGTCTCATGCTCTATCGAATGAGCTATCCCATGGTTCAAATTGTGTTTTCATGGCTGTATCCCACTTTGGCACCTTAGGGTGAAGGGTGGGCAAGAAGTAAATAAATATGTACTGTGCGAGAACAGGATGCTGGACTAGATGGGCCACTGGCCTGATCCAACAGAGCTCTTCTTCTTTTTCTCTGCCCCAAATCTTCCAACATTCAGCTTCATCTGATAGCCCCGAGTTGTAGGATTATGAGAGAGGCAAGAAGGAAAAACCCTCTCCCTGTCCTGGGGAGCATTGGCTATAACAGGGAACCCAGTGTACGTCTCCAAGCCCAGAATTTGCACTCATTTCTTTCAGGACCGTCTTGGCCCAGTGAGTCAATAGCCCTTTGTACGGGGCTGTGTCATCTCTGAGACCACACAGCCCACGGAAGGGATGCCTGGCCTGTAAAAAGCCAGCCGTTTGCCCTCCTACTGCAAAACCCAGTGCCAAATCTGCCCTGGCACCCAACAGTAGCGTCATTGAAGAGGCAGCAGCTGTGGCAACCGGCTCTGCCCGCCCCCTGCCTGCCCCCCCCCCAACCAGGCACGCTAGGAAGAGGTCTCCCTCCCTGCCATCAGGGGACTTAACAAGGAATCGGGCCAGGAAGGAGTTTTAAATTAAAAAGGGCTTTGAGATTATAGAGTCAGGAGAGGTCAGTCTCTCAGCTCCCCCCCCCCTTCCTGAAAGGCTCTTATCACAGGGAGTAATCCAGATGCCGATTCAGGATCTCCAGATAATGAAAAACAACCACCACAACCACAAATTGGGCCTCTCTTGGGGTCACCTGCTCGCTGCCTCCCTTACTTATCTCTACTAGCTGGTAGGTAAAGTCAGGCAATGCAACAGAAAGCAGCAAACCTGCTCTGGGTAGCAGCTGGCCAATCAGAACAAGCATTGCCTTCTTTCCCTTGAATAGGGAGATTTGAATAGCCCTCTATAGGGCTGTGGCTCAGAGGTAGAGCATCTGCCTTGCATGTCGAAGGTCCCAGGTTCAATTCCCCAATCGGCATCTCCAGGTAAGAGCTGGGAGAGAACCAGGCTGGGTAGCTACTGGGGAGCTCAATTGGTAAATCATGAGACTCTTACTCTCAGGGTTGTGGGTTTGAGCCCCACGTGGGGCAAAAGATTTTCCTGTGTTGCAGGGGGTTGGACTAGACGACCCTCCTGGTCCCATCCAACTATGATACTAAGTCCTGGAGAGCTGCTGCCAGTCAGTGTCCTCAATACTGAGCTTATTATGTTCCTAGATGCTGCTGGGCTCTGACTGCCATCCTCCTTAGTCAGTGGCCAAGCTGGCTTCTGCTGATATGAGTTGGGAATCCAGTAATGCGGGTCGGGAGGTCACAGTTGTTTAAGTGGCTGGGGGCTCTGAAAGTCAGTCGAAATCAATAAATTAATTTATTTATTGCTTTGTTTTGTTGCACAAAGGTAAGAGTCTCTCTGGCCATGTGCAAAGTGCTGGCTCATTTCCCACAGGAGTCTCGTTCACTGTAAGAACAGCAAGCTGGATTAGAAGGGCAACTGACACAGCAGATTTTCTAATGTTCTTGCATATCCTTTATTTTAGCTTCCGCATTCCAAGACCACAGAGTGGATTGAATACAAATCCATCCTTGTCTTCTTTCAGCAAAGCCCGTCTAGAACAGACAAATCTGCATTGGTGACTCCTGACTCACATCAGTTCAGCCCACAGCCTCCGCACCATAGCTGGAGGCAGCTCAGAAAAGCCGACAGCTTGCAGGTGTGAATGCCCAGCACATGAGCTGTAAGCTATTTTTGAAACTTCAAAGGAAAGCAGAGTGTTGGCCATAGATTTGTAGGGGCAAATTTGCCACCTTTAGGGTTGCCATACACCTGGAATTTCCTTAACATAGCTGGAATACAGCAGCTGGGAACAGTGTCTGGGCGGAAATCGCTGAGATGTCTGGGAAAATTTGGAGAATCTCCCTAAAAATAGCTCAACAACTTTGGCCAAAAAAAGCTCAACAGATTTGAAATATGGCAACCCTAGAGCTTGAGCCGGGACGCAGGTGGCGCTGTGGGTTAAACCACAGAGCCTAGGACTTGCCGATCAGAAGGTTGGCGGTTCGAATCCCCACGACAGGGTGAGCTCCCATTGCTTGGTCCCTGCTCCTGCCAACCTAGCAGTTTGAAAGCACGTCAAAGTGCAAGTAGATAAATAGATACCGCTTCGGCGGGAAGGTAAATGGCGTTTCCGTGCGCTGCTCTGGTTCTCCAGAAGCAGCTTAGTCATGCTGGCCACATGACCCAGAAGATGTACGCCGGCTCCCTTGGCCAATAAAGCGAGATGAGCGCCGCAACCCCAGAGTCGGCCACAAATGGACCTAATGGTCAGGGGTCCCTTTACCTTTAGACCTTGAGCCACAAAGGTGCTTGATTTTACAGGGGTCTTGCAAAGGAGCAGAAAAGTGGGGGGAGCGCAGGCCAGGGCGTCAAATGTAGCCCTCCAGACCTCTCTATCTGGCCCTAGGGACTCTCTCCAGATCCCACCCCCACCAGTCCTGCTTTGCACCCTCCTTGAGTGTTTTTGCATGGGCAGAATGTGTCCTTCAAACTCAGAAAATGCCTCTTGCTTGCTTGGATGCAGGAGGCGGGGCAGGCAAGTAAATTAGCATCTTTTGCTCCACCCACTTTTGTTTATGGTCCCACCCGCCACTGACATGTGACACCCCACCCCCAAAAGACTGCCAACAAGGTGATGGGGGAAATATACAGAAAAGTGCGGAAAAACAGTCACTTGACACAAGATCGTAAAACCTCTCCTCAAACAAATCAGAACAAAGTCTTAAAACCTCTCCTCAAACAAATCAGAACAAAGTCTTGCAGAACACCGGACATTATATAGCTTCCCTGCAAACTCTGTGCAAACAAATCAGGTTCAAATTAACGAGTTGCTTGGAAATAAGTCAAGGCTGCAACCAGGCCCCGAGAAACTGTTTGCCGCAGCAAGCACACATCTGCTTCTGCATCGAACTGCATATAAGGTCGACTCCAACTAAGTTTGGCTCAGGCCAGACCGACTGAAATTAATGAAGCTGTTGAAATTAACGAGCATCGCTCCATCACATCCATTCATTTCGCCGGGAATGCTCTGGGGTAGGAACCAACCCTGGATACAACACAGAGTTTGTAAGTTCCTCGGGGCAGAGGCTTCTACTCTGAAAGCAGCCGTGAGGACTGATTCTGCTCTCTAAAACAGTCAACATAAATGACAAAAAGGAAACCTGGGACTGGTATAGGGGGTCAACAACATGTAAGGAATCCTGCTGAGATGAAAAGAAAAAGCTAACAGAGGCTTCAGTATATACACTTAAAAGCAGTATCATAGAACTTTACACAATCATGGCTTCCCCCAGAGAATTCTGGGAGCTGTGATTTGTTTAGGGCGCTGAGAGTTGGTAGGCGAGACCCCTATTCCCCTCAGATGAGTGGAGGGCAGGTCTATTGATGGCTCTCAACTATTATCAGATTAAAGGGCACAGGGAAGAGCTGCTTCCCAGAGGCATCTAGACAGCCACTATCAGAAGCAGGAGACTGGGCTAGTCTCCTTGATCTGTTCCAGCAATTGTCCTTCATTTCCTTTAAGTTTGGCCCCATCAGCACGCCATACATCCACACCACTTTAAACAGTCATGGCTTTCCCCCAGAGAATTCTGGGAGCTGTAGTTTATCAAGGGCGCTGAGAGTTGTGAGGGGGCTCCTATTGCCCTCCCAGAGATAAAATTCCCAGAGTTCCCTGGGAGGAACGATTGATTGTTAAGCCACTCTAGGAATCGCAGCTCCGTGAAGGGAATAGAGGTTTCTTAACAACTCTCAGCACCCTCAACAAACTACATTTCCCAGGATACTTTGGGGATGAGGGACAGGGAGCCATGGCTGCTTAAAGTGGTATGACACGGCTATAAATGTATAGATGGGACCAGAGTTTCTGCCTACGAAGTCTTGGCTAGGAGAGACAGACCGGCTCTTTGGCTGGAGAGCCTCGATTGTGGCAGGCGTCCATTGTGAAGAGAGAACAGAGGCCCCAGTGATCTGCTAAGTGGGGAAGGCCAGCAGTCTCTCGTGTTCTCTCTGTCCTCTTCAGCCGCTGCCCCCCCCACCCTCCGTCGCATGCTGGCCACAAGATCCTTTGCCTTCCTCTTGCCAAAGATATAATAAACAAAATGCCACCATCGCAGTGGCTGGATGCTGCTCCGACATTCCCATCTCTCGCCTAACACAGGCCAGACTCCCCGCTCTGATGCCTTCCAAACATTTAGGACTACAAATCCCATCAGCCCCAGGCAGCATGGGCAGTGAATGCATGGGAGTTGTAGTCCAGCGAGGCCGTCTAGGCAGCCCAGGACCCCCATACATACTGCCCAGGCTAGCACCCCGGGGAGGTCAACTCAGCACTGCAGATGCAGCGGTTTGCCTTCACCCCTGGAGGCATACTCCATTGTCACTCCAGACAGACAGATGCCAAGAACTATGAGGACTAGGTGTCCCAGCTGTGGCTCAGAGGAAGAAAGGTGGGTGGTTCAGTAAAGCTCCAAGTAGGAGCCTGCGAGCATGCCAGCCTACAGCTGAGAGACCAGGCATGTCAGGGGTTAAATAACACTAGGCGGAATGTTATTAATTTCTGCAAGCTGCAGTACACCATCCTACCAGCTGCAGTGGTGGTGCTGTAGAGTCAACAGCTTCTTCCCCTTGCAGACAACCCTGGTTGTGCAGAGAGAAAATTGCTGGTTCTTGACCATCCTGACCTCCCTTAAGGCCCGACTACCTGAATCGAACATCATCCTGTTAATGATGAGATTAGCAAACACGACTTATATTAAATACCAGGAGGTAGCAATTTTGCAAGCACTCCCTGGGCGCCAATGGGAAGCTTAACCCCAATGCTAATTGTTGGTGGGGAGCTATTTCACAGAGATTACAGATTGGGAGGGAAGACTTAAAACTCCCTTCCCCGTGCCAGAATTCTTGATAACCGCTCCTCCTCCTCCTCCTGCCTCTAGGCACCTGGTGTTTACTTTTAAAAAACACATAATCTAATTGCTAATCACCTCATTATAAAGTCAAATGCAGGGAGGCCCTAAGGCTCTCTAGTTGAGGAAGGAGGTGATTTGGCAGGGGAGATGATGTCTATATGCAGATCCAGAGATACAGCAGCAGAAAACTTTGCCCAAAGGAAAACCACAGATATTTTAAGTCCAGCTGCGTATTTTTCCAACTGGGATCCAGGGTGAGAGGCGGTGAGGTGTAGTGGTTAGACTGTTGGACGAAGAGTTGGCAGATCAGGGTTCAAATCCCCACTCAGGCATGAAGCACACTGGATGACCCTGGGCCATTCATAGAATTATAGGATTGTGGAGTTGAAAGGGACCCTCTCTGAGGATTATCTAGTCCATGGGTAAGCAAACTAAGGCCCAGGGGCCAGATCCGGTCCAATTACCTTCTAAATCTGGCCTGCGGACGGTCCGGGAATCAGCGAGTTTTTACATGAGTAGAATGTGCCCTTTTATTTAAAATGCATCTCTGGGTTATTTGGGGGGCCTGCCTGGTGTTTTTACATGAGTAGAATGTGCGTTTTTATTTAAAATGCATCTCTGGGTTATTTGTGGGGCAAAGGAATTTGTTCGTCCCCACCCCCATATAGTCTGGCCCCCCCACAAGGTCTGAGGGACAGTGGACCGGCCCCCTGCTGAAAAAGTTTGCGGACCCCTACAAAGCAGGAATATGCAGCTGTTCCCAACAGGAATCGAACCTGCAACCTTGGCGTTACCTGCACCACACTCTAACCAACTGAGCTATCCAGCAGGGGCGGCAACTTGGGCCTTAGGCTTTGGGTGCCCAATGGCACCTGCGCCATAACGGGACGTCATGACATTACATTGACGCTCCACAGCGGCGCTTTGAGGCCTGTCAGGGCCTCCGACGTGATCTCTGAGGCCTTATGGAGCCTAGCAGGGCCTCCGACGTCTCCTCAGTGGTCGCGTCGGGCCTCTAACATGACTTTTGATAGAAACTGGAAGTCGCATCGGAGTCTGCGCTGCGGGTGCTGAGCACCCCACCCCCCAAAAAAATTGTGAGTGCCTGGGCCCCCAGTAGTTGGTGCCTATGTTATCCAGTCACTCTCAGCCTAGCCTACCTCACAGGGTTGTGGAGGGTGGAGGACGACGTATGCCATCTTGAGCTCCTTAGGGGAAAGGTGGAATATAACTGTAATAAATAAAATCTGGCTTCAAATCCACAGCTGAGAAAAGGAAGAACGCGTTTGCCTCAACCCAAGAGAGATGTTGGACCATCAACTTGGCTCTTTCCGCCCAAAAACAGGGTGCAAACAAAGCACTATCTTCTCTAACTTTCCAGTTGCAGAGTAAACAGAACAGGGAACAAAAGCCACACACACCCCAGAGCACCAGTTTGGAGTCCATTATTCAGTGTTTTTCTAGTCAAAGGGAGCCTGTCGGGTTGGAGTCATCAGTATGCAAGCGGCAACCCGCCCCAAGAGGCTCCCCCTCAGACGGACAAGAGAGTCCTCCCCCCTTCATGGAACTTGGAGGCTTCCCTGCCTTTGCAAAGTGGGCGGCTCACACCTTGCAGCAAGCAGACATTGCTGCAAGTTTCCACTTGAGGAGCCGCAAAAAAACAAGGACGCTGCGTCTAAGAATAAAGTCAGCAATTTATCCAAAGGCATTCATTTCAGACTGCCGGGAGAGGGAAAGGAAAGGAGAGAAAGTGCAAAGCTTCTCTACTGAATCCTAACCCCACCAGAAAATTATAGCCTGGCTAATCCATGGCTCCTGTAATGTTATAAATGAGAGACCTGGTGACAGAATGAGAGACCTGGACAGAACCGCAAGCACGGCCAATTCCAAAGTATTTTCTGCTCAAAAGACAGCTACGCAGCACACGGCAGATGCTTTGCAGTGGTGCAAAGCGGGACAGCCAAGGGGAGCTTTCTCAGGTCATTGGAGGCTCCCGTGTGCAGGCAGGGTTGGCCCTGATTCAAATATTAATCCACTGATCATCTGTCTGATCCAAGAAAGAGTCACACGTCTGCCACGGACGCTTCCTTTTCCCTTCAACATCCCCCTCCGCCCTGCACACCTTTCAGTTACTACAATCAAAGGTGAGAGGGAAGAGAAGCAGGAGCAGCGCATGGTTATGCATGCAAAGGAATGGAAAACACAATCTGCTGGATAGAACCTCCAGAGTCAGGGCAGTCTACCAGTGGGGCCAGGCGCTGTAGGCAAACCAGAGGCTGAGAAGCATCACTTTTGGGCCATATTCACACCATCCACGATACCACTTTAGAAAGGCATGGTTCCCCACCCAATAATCCTTGGAGCTGTAGTTTGTTAAGAGCATTGTTAGGAGACCCCATGCCCCTCACAGAACTACAGTTCCCAGGGTGGTTTCACAATCCATCCCTCTTGATAGGGAACTCTGAGAATTGTGGCGTAATGGTTAAGAGTGTTGGACTATGACCTGGGAGACCAGGGTTCGAATCCCCACTGCGTGACCTTGAGCCAGTCACCATCTCTTCGCCTAACCTACCTCACAGGGTCATTGTGAAGGTGAAATTGCACCACCTTTTGATCCTTGGAAGATAAAGGTTGGTATATAACCGTACAACAACAACAATTGCAGCACTGAACTCCTCACAGTGCTCTGCATCATAGCTGTGGCGCTGTGGGTTAAACCACAGAGCCTAGGACTTGCCAATCAGAAGGTCGGCGGTTCACATCCCCGCGACGGGGTGAGCTCCCGTTGCTCGGTCCCTGCTCCTGCCAACCTAGCAGTTCGAAAGCACGTCAAAGTGCAAGTAGATAAATAGGTACCACTCCAGCGGGAAGGTAAACGGCGTTTTTGTGTGCTGCTCTGGTTCGCCAGAAGCGGCTTAGTCATGCTGGCCACATAACCCAGAAGCTGTACGCCGGCTCCCTCGGCCAATAAAGCCAGATGAGCACCGCAACCCCAGAGTCGATCACAACTGGACCTAATGGTCAGGGGTCCCTTTACCTTTACTATAACCGTACAACAATAACAATTGCAGCACTGAACTCCTAACAGTGCTCTGCATCATAGCTGTCAACCTTCCCTTTTCTTGCGGGAAATTCCCTTATTCCAGCGCCGTTTCCCACTGCTATCCCGGATTGTTAGATATCCCATAGACTGTCCCCGGGACAGGTGAGGTTGCTGATCCCTTATTTTTGAGGATGCTGATCCCTTATTTTCAAATCTGAAAGTTGACAGCTATGCTCTGCATCCCTTGACAAAACTACAGCTCCCAGAATTCCTTGGGGTGGGGAAGCCACGATGGTTCAAAGTCGTCTCATGTTACTTTAAACAGATGGTGTGACTGTGGTCTCAGTCAAATGGTTGACCCATCATCTTTTTAGCGCCTAGTGGAGGCTCATGTCTCCAGATCTCTCCAGATCCCATTACAATATGCAGAACACCCCAGGCTTTGACATCATGCCAGGGTTATTCCTCCCTCCCTCTCATTTTGTTTAACATATTAGCCTGATTAAGGGTTCCGGAAAACTTCTAAGACATGCTCACTATTTTGTGACATTTGAGCCGCTCCTAATAAAGGCATTGGCCCTACAGCAGAGCTTGGGATTTTATTCCCCCGCACCCTGCATGGACCACTATGGTGAGAGCTGCTTTTTGTCATCCCAACCATAAACACCAGTAAGAACATAAAGGAGCCTGCTGGGTTAAGCCAATGGCCCATCTAGTCCAACATCTTGTTCTCACAGAGGCCGGGGGGCACCAATAAGCAGGACCCAGGGACAAGAGCCCTCTCCTGCAGCCACAGATATTTGAAAGCATTGCTGCCTTCAACTGTGGAAGCAGAGCGCAGCCATCATGGCTTGTCAAGTTGGTGGCAATCGATGCCTCCTGTGGCAGAGAGTTCCGTAGTTTAACAGTCCCGAATCTTCCAACGTTCAGCTTCATTGGATGTGCATCAGTTCCAATGACAGGAGAGGGGGAGAAAATTGCTTTCCCCTCTCCACTTTCTCCATGCCATGCATGATTTTACAAAGTTCTATCTTGTTGCCTCTTACTCGCCTTTTCTCTTAAGCTAAAAAGTCCCATACGGTGCCACCTTTCCTTGTGAGGGAGTTACTCCACCCCCTTGATCCTTTGGGCTGCTTTTTCTGAATCTTTTCCACCTCTACAATATCCGTTTTGAGGCGAGGCAACCAGAACTGTACACAGGTTTTCGGTGGGGAGGGGTTATAGCAATGGACAAGCTTCTGGGCACAGAATTGGTCCCTGTCAAAAATCCGGGGTGGAAGGAGATGTTCTTGGGAGTCCAGCTCCTATCAGCCCAAGCCAGCATGGCTATTGGATAAGGATGATGTTGTTCCATAAATTATGGAGGGCTGCCTTGGAAATACCACATTTTTTGCTCTATAAGACTCACTTTTTCCCTCCTAAAAAGTAAGGGGAAATGCGTGTGCATCTTATGGAGCGAATGCAGGCTGCACAGCTATCCCAGAAGCCAGAACAGCAAGAGGGATTGCTGCTTTCACTGCGCAGCGATCCCTCTTTCTGTTCTGGCTTCTGAGATTCAGAGTATTTTTTTTCTTGTTTTCCTCCTCCAAAAACTAGGTGCGTCTTGTGGTCTGGTGCGTCTTATAGAGCGAAAAATACGGTAAACCCTCCTCAGCCAGGGGAGCCCTCCACAGATTTGAGGGATTCTGAAAGAAGGGCCTTCTGTCATCTACTGACAAGCCCTCGTATGCTTCCTGACTTTCCTGAACTCTTTCGTTCGTTCAAAGAGCGCTGCCTCGATAGAGCATCCTCTGTGCTCCTTTGAGACGCAGAGTCATAATATTTGTCCACCTCAGAAATAACCCAGCAGCAAAATGAATGGCGCTGTTATTCCCAAGGTTATGTGCCAAACTATTAGCGAGGTGTTTTCCTGCGTCAATGTTTTGGGAGGGTGTTTATTAAAAAGCCGAAGTGTCAACAGTAACAAAACACAGCATCACTGTTAAGGCACGTAATATTTCACGCTTTCAAAGCAGAAACTTTCCGTAAGATCCAAAGTCAACAAAGCAGGATAAACTCACTAAACCATTTTTTAAAAAAATGTTTTGGGTCAATTAATTGTACACTGCAGTGTTTAGAACGCGGCCAGTTTTCAAAGTAGTGAGGACAATGGTTCTCACCTTCCAGAATGCTCAAGAAACATTAAGAGGTCTCAGAGTTAACAGCATGAGAGTGAATCAGAGCAATTCACCTGACAGCAACCCGCCAATCGTTTCTATAGGAGGCTATCGAATGCGCTTCACTGCACAGAGACTCGTACTCTGATGGATTGTTTCAGCAGGTGAAAAGCCAATTTAACATGGAAGTGCAGCGGTCCACAGATACTGGCTTGCCTGAGCAGCCAGACATTATTGTGGTCCTTGCTAACCCTTCTTCAGGTCCTCTGCACTTATATCATAGGATTTGTGGAAGCGGGGGTCCCTGCAGCCACGCAGATCCCACAAATCTCGCGCGGGGAGTTTCTACCCGTTTCAGAGCTCAGCGTAACACAGAGATCTTCTCACTCCTCACCGAATCTGTCGAGCATATCTGTGAGCCTGGGAGAAAAAACTCACGTCACGCTAAACTTTGGAGTGGAAGCCAGTTATTTTCATGCACCAAAGCTAAGCGTGCCGTAAGATCTCTTCGCCCAGGTTTTCTGCAGTTTACAACAGCCCAGGAAAGGGGATCTCTGTGTTGCTGAGGATTCTGCTGAGCAGATTTGCAGAGGCTCAGAAAGGCATATTTTGCAGGATGGGCAAAGAGCAAAATTGGTCTCCAACAGTCATTCCATCAGGCCACAGGAGCTGGGACTGCAGAACCTCTAGTCCCGGCATGACCAAACTTGGCTCTCCAGCTGTCTTGGGACTACATCTCCCATCATCCCTAGCCAACAGGACCAGTGATCAGGGATGATGGGAATTGTAGTCCCAAAACAGCTGGAGGGCCAAATTTGGCCATGCCTGCTCTAGTCTTTCACTCCCCCCAGGAATTTTTCCTCACTGGGGGCCACATTCCCTTGTGGGAAGCCTTCCAGGGGCCACATGCCAGTGGTGGGTGTGGCCAGAGACAAAGGTAGGTGGAGCAATGGATGTGGGCTAGATTATCTTGTTCACAAGCTCACACACCCCTCTGCGTCTCTCCAGCCAGGCAAACAAGAGACATGATGGGTTTTTGAGGGCACTTTCCAGGCAGGTAAAAACACACCTGGGGCAAGAAGCAGGTCAGGAAAAGGTGTGGCCTGGGGAGAATTGCAGGGGCCAGATAGACAGGACTGTTTCACTCCTGGCCTGAGATTGCCCACATCTCCTTTAAGGAAAAAATATACATGTTTGTGTACTTACATATAGTTTTGCAATATATCTATTCCAAATTTTCAGTATATTTATATACTGTAATATTTATGGAATGTTGAAATTTTAAAATTATCTGCAAGATGTGTGTGTGTACATGTGTGTGCATGTATTTACTTGAAATTTTATGACAACTGTATTGATGAACACATAAACTATACAGTTGTATCTTGGTTTCCAAACAGCTTAGTTTCCGAACGTTTTGGCTCTTGAACGCTGCAAACCCAGAAGTGACTGTTCCGGTTTGCAAACTATTTTTGGAAGCCAAACGTCAAACGGGGCTTCCACAGCTTCCAGCTGAGTGCAGGAAGCTCCTGCAGCGAATCAGAAGCCGAGCTTTGGTTTTCAAATGTTTTGGAAGTCGAACAGATTCCGTTTGACTTCCAGGGTATTTGTAAATACAGTATAATAAAGAGAGGCAAGAGTCTCCTGCGGGATAGTCTTTCCACATATATGTCCACTAAACCTCTTCGATCTGTGGAACTAGTACTGTGCCAAGTGCCAAGCAATACCTGTTCCACACAGGTAGGAAATTATTCTTTTAATGTGGCAGCACTTTGGAACGCCTTGCCTACTGAAATCAGGCAGGCATGTTCACTGTATTATTATTTTTTTGGTGCGCACTCAAAACATTTAGGCAAGCCTATTCAAGGCACATCAACGCTGTTAAATTGTTTTTATTGATGCTTTTAATATTTCCTGCAAACTGCCTAGAAGTTTTCCCAAAACCAAACAGTGCATAAATATTATTAAATAAAATAAAATAAATTATATGTCTCTTAAAATATATAAATAAATAAAAATTCCCTGCATTGTGGAGAGATGGACCAGATGATTTCCTTGTGGTCCTTTCTGGCTTTACAGTTATGCGATTCCATAAAAATGTTGAATGCCTAGTGCCGAGAGAGGAGGTGGGGAAAGCTTAGCTTTTCTTGAAAATGGGTTTCAGATCCTTAGTGGGGATTTCCCAGCACCACAGCTCTTGTCTGACACTCTAACCACTAGACCACATCAACTTGATTACGATGCCAACCATTGGCGGGAAAGATGGTTGGGGGGAAATCTGTAGATCTGATAAAGGAACTCTGAAGATGAGTTGTGTGCAAAGGGAGACCGAAAGCAAATGAATAAACAGTGTTCTGTTTAGGGAAACGGCATGCGAAGGAGGAGAATCCCGTATTGACAGCTACCAAATATTTTTAAAAGGAGGGTTGAAACAACAAGAGGAATTTTCCCATATCCACTGAAGCAAACCGCAAATAGCCTGCAGATCTAAATCACACAACAGCCTGAAGCCTAAGCTTGCCAAGCAAGACAGCTTGGTTAATCCTCAATTGGGCATTTCAGTTCAAAGAGGACAGAAATGCTAAGCCCAAACACAGCAAACAGCCCTGCGCTGTCTTCCCTTCATTGGCTCACTTCATAAACACCTTCAGCCTGATCAGCTGTCAATTAATCGGACCATTTCTTGCTGTCCCTCAAAGGTCGGCATCCTCCTAACTAGAGAGACAATGGAGTGTGCCTTAAGGGGTGAAGTCAAATCGCTGCGGTGGAGACCAAAGTCACATCCCTGGGCGCGAGCCTGGGCAGCGTGTATGGAGGTCCTGGGCTGCCCAGACGACAAGACCCGCCTCTCAGCCTCGCTGATGTGATCCAGCTTGGCAGCAAGGCATCCTCCAACCGTCTTAGGGACTCCACTCTGGATTTGTGCAAGGTTTACTCCTTAGGCTTAGCCTTTTCTTTTCCTGAAGATATCCCACAAGGCAGGGGAGATTTAAGACCAGAGTTTTCCTTCTCCTAAATGGGCTCCCTTCCCAAGTTGATGAGCCCCATCTGCCCCTCACTTCTCTCTGCAGCATGCGCAGAGACCACCTTCCTGACCATTGGACCCAGTATTGGTCTCGTCCGGAAATCCCTAACTCACCGAGGGTTTGAGATCCATTGGCAACCCTCACTTGGTTTAGCCGCAGTTACAGGTAGGTAGCTGTGTTGGTCTGCTGTAGTCGAAACAAAATTAAAAAATTCCTTCCAGTAGCACCTTAGAGCATAGCTGTCAACTTTTCCCTTTTCTTGTGAGGAATCCTTTTCAGAATAAGGGAATTTCCCTTAAAAAAGGGGAAACGTTGACAGCTATGCCTTAGAGACCAACTAAGTTTATTATTTGTATGAGCTTTCATGTGCATGCCCACTTCAAAGTGTCTGAAGAAGTGTGCATGCACCACTAACAAACTTAGTTGGTCTCTAAGCTGCTACTGAAGGGATGCAGGTGGCGCTGTGGTCTAAACCACAGAGCCTAGGACTTGCCGATCAGAAGGTCGGCGGTTTGAATCCTCGCAACGGGGTGAGCTCCCATTGTTCGGTCCTAGCTCCTGCCCACCTACAGTTCGAAAGCATGTCAAAGTGCAAGTAGATAAGTAGGTACTGCTCAGGTGGGAAGGTAAACGGCGTTTCCGTGCGCTGCTCTGGTTTGCCAGAAGCGGCTTAGTCATGCTGGCCACATGACCTGGAAGCTGTCTGTGGACAAACGCCGGCTCCCTCGGCCTATAGAGCGAGATGAGTGCCGCAACTCCAGTCGTCCGCGACTGGACCTAACAGTCAGGGGTACCTTTACCTTTAAGGTGCTACTGGAAGGAATTTTTTTATTTTGGTTTAGCCAGCCAGTCAAACCCCTTTCCTAGGGTTTGGCAGCTGCTGAAACCTGACAGCCTCTAGGAGTCGCAGCTGAGAGCTGTGGACAAAGTACCCCAGAAGGAGCACGATGTGTCCCCCACCAGAGGTACTACCCCTCCCCTAACATCCCAGACAACCCCCTCAAACGTAGACCGAGAATATGGAGGGCTGTGCGTACATAGGAAGCTGCCTTATAATGAGTCAGACAATTTGTCTATTCTGCTCAGGGCTGCCTACACTGACTGGCAGCAGCTCTCCAGGGTTTTGGGCAAGGAGTCTCTCCCAGCCCTACCTAGAGATGCCACCAGCGACTGTAGGATTTCTTCTATGCAAAACAGATGCTTTGCCACTGAACCATTGGTCCATCTAGCTCAGTATTGTCTGCACTGACCGGCAGCAGCTTGCCTGGGTTTCCGACAGGGGACATTTCTTGTCCTTCCTGGTAGTTCTGGGGAATGAACCTCAGTCCTTCTGTGTGCAAAGCAAACACACTAATCACGGAGCTTTGACTTTGCAGAATGAAGAGAGGATGCAAGATGCAGCTCCAGCCTCAGAATTCCGCTGAATGAAAAAGCTCAGCTTTCCTTTCAAAGCAAACCAACAAGATTCTAGACCCCATGGCTGCAAAAATGTGCTTGAAAGCAGGCGCCTGCCAAAGATGCAGTAACTGAAGGAGCTGCAGAATGAGATTGATCCTGGTCATGAAGTGTAGTAGCTTCTGTGCCTTTGCCCTTCACCATGACTATCAAAGCAGAATTAAATTCTGCAGAACGATGCTATGCAAATGTGTAACGTACCCAGGTTGCAGAATTCTGTTCTACCTAGCACAGAATTTAGACTGAAACCTACACTTAAGCACACAATCCAGAAACCCAGTGGACAGAGCAGCTTTCCCCAACCTGGTGCCCTCCAGATGTTTTAGACCATAGCGCCCATCAGCTCCAGCTAGCATGACTAGTGGTGACTGGTGATGGAAGCTGATGGTGCAAAACATATGGAGGGCACCAAGTTGGAGGAGGAAACTTCTGGCTCAGTGTTAGAAAACCCAGATGCATAAGCTAGGTGCCAAATGACATATTAACTCTCAGTTATAGTCGCCACAACGGAACGTCTTTTCACATTCCAGTGCAACAGTTCTATGATCTCAACTACATTGCTTGCAGAAAGTCACTTGCAGAAAGGAGAAACACACACAACGGAAATGGACATGGCATTAACGAGGGACTAAGGCAGAGGTTTTTAAACTGTGGTTGCCAACCTTGGCGCCCAGAAATGTCAACATAGTCGCAACTGGACCTGCATCAATAGCAAAAATTGCCTGGGGAATTTCGAACGCTATGGTGGCTCAGTTCTGTTACTGCTGTAATGCTGGAAATTTCTTAACCAGGTTGGATGCTGTTCATTTATTAACTTGGATTTTTTTCCCCAGAAGAGGGTTATATCTGTGTTGTGGCTGTTTGTTACCCGCTGGGATAGAAATATTTTAAAATAATGACATAAACAAACATTTACATGACTCAGTAAATATGCTGATGCAATTGCTAGCCAGCCCTCCAGAATTACAGCCAGGAGAAGGGTTCAGTGTGTAAAAGGAGACACATTTTAAATAAATAAAGAGGATGCCAGCAGGACAGAAGAGACTCACCAGCTCATCCAGGTTCTTGAGGTCACACAAAGTTATCCTCTGGCTTCTGCTCGGGTAAACAGGAGACTTGGGCCCCAGGACTTCGCTCGCCTCCTCCGTCTCCAACTCACCATAGGCCACCTGGTCTCTCATCTCCTCCTCAATCTCCTCCTCCATTTGGATGAGCATGGGAGCCAGCATCCCAAATTTGGAGCCCTTCCTGGCCACCTCCAGGAGACACAGGACGAAGTTCTTCTCGTTCTTCTTCAGCACCAAGTCGTTGGTCTCAAACATCACGACATCCTGGATGCCCAGCTCCTGGCGGCACCACTGGATGAAGTTGGAGATGTTGTCCCTGGCGATGAAGGAGCCTGGCATGACGTTCTTGGCCTGGAAGACCACCTCCTTCTGCGGGATCCTCATGTGAGACGCCGCCTCCGGGTGCAGCTGCTGGAACTCCAGCGCAATGCGGTTGACGTTGTTGGCATGCTGGCAGAGGTCGTAGCCAGTTTCCAGGACATCCATGAAGTTCTCCACTTGGACGTCGAGGTCATAGAGGGTGTTGAGCCACTCGGCCAGGTCCTCCTTCATGGCGTAGAGATACTCCTCGCTGGAGCGGAAGGGGCGGATGCTCTTGGAAGCCGCTGATTGGATGTTGCTCTGGTCAGCCATCTTGCATATTCTCACAGCTCATCACTGGCAGGAGAGAAAATCAGGAGATACCACAATTTACAACACACACAGAGAGAAACTGACCCTGGACAGCAGGGGCAGGGCCTTAAATCACCCACTTTACATTCACAGAATTGCACAGCTAGAAGGGACCACGAGAGTCAACCCGCTGCAAGGCAGGAACAAGTGTTTCCTTGTAGGGAAACCTGTAAGCAGGACCTGAGTGTGACACCATTCTCTCCCTGCTTGCGGTTTCTGAGCACAATTCAAAGTGTTGGTGCTGACCTTTAAAGCCCAGTATACCTCTGGGAGTGTCTCCACCCCCATTGTTCAGCCCGGACACTGAGGTCTAGCACCGAGGGCCTTCTGGTGGTTCCCTCACTGCGAGAAGCGAAGTTACAGAGAACCAGGCAGAGGGCCTTCTTGGTAGTGGCACCCGCCCTGTGGAACACCTGCCAATTAGATGTCAAGGAAATACCGTAAACAACTATCTGACGCTTAGATGAAATCTGAAGGCAACCCTGCTTAGGGAAGATTTTAATGTTTGATGGTGTTTTTAATATTCTATTGGCAGCTGCCCAGAGTGGCTGGGGAAACGCAACTAGATGGGAGGGGTATAAATAAATAAATAAATAAATAAATAATAATTCCCAGTGCTTTTTTTTCTGGGGAGACGCAGGGGTATGCATACCCCTAAATATTTTGTGAATCTAAGTTTGGCCTCATTGAGGAGCAGTATTTCAATAATGAGTAGGAAAATGAGAGTACCCCTAAACATTTTTTTAGAAAAAAGCACTGATTATTCCCAGCCACTGATATCCAGAGGCACATTGTCTCTGACAGTGGAGCTAGAACATAGCATAGGAACAGTGTTAGAAACTCAGATATATAAGCTGGGTGCCAAATGGCACCTTAAACCTAGATTACAGTCGCCACAATGGACTGTCAATTCACTAGGGGGTTGGACCAAATGACCCTCAGGGATCCCTTTCAACACTACAGTTCTATGATCTCAGCTACGTTGCTTGACGGTAACTTGCTCTTACAGCAATTCACTTTGGACCGGCAAGAGGGAGAAAAGCACACAGCGGAAATGGAAATGGTATTAATGATGGACTAAGGCAGAGGGACGCGGGTGGCGCTGTGGGTTAAACCACAGAACCTAGGACTTGCCGATCAGAAGGTAGGCAGTTTGAATCCCCGCGACGGGATAAGCTCCCGTTGCTCGGTCCCTGCTCCTGCCAACCTAGCAGTTCGAAAGCACATCAAAGTGCAAGTAGATAAATAGGTACCACTCCGGTGGGAAGGTAAACGGCACTTCCGTGCGCTGCTCTGGTTCACCAGAAGTGGCTTAGTCATGCTGGCCACACGACCTGGAAGCTGTACGCTGGCTCCCTCGGCCAGTAAAGCGAGATGAGCGCCGCAACCCCAGAGTCATCTGCAACTGGACCTAAAGGTCAGGTCTCCCTTTACTTTTAAGGCAGATACAGTAGTACCTCAGGTTAATAACTTAATTCGTTCTGGAGGTCCGTTCTTAACCTGAAACTGTTCTTAACCCAAGGTTCCACTTTAGCTAATGGGGCCTCCTGCCGCCACCACACGATTTCTGTTCTCATCCTGAGGTAAAGTTCTTAACCCAAGGTAGTATTTCTGGGTTAGCAGAGTCTGTAACCCGAAGCGTCCGTAACCTGAAGCATCTGTAACCCGAGCTACTACAGTAAATCTCAGCGGAGTTGCAATTGGACCTGCACCAGTAGCAAAACACACCTGGGGAATTTCTAACACTGCATAGGGACATCAGAACAGTCCTGCTGGATCAAGTCAGTGGCCCATCTAGTCCAGCAACCTGATCTCATACTGGCCAAATAGATACCTCTTCTGGGAAGTCCACAAGCAGGACCTGAGCATAACAGCCCTCTCCCCACCTGAGATTTCCAGCAACTGGCAATCAGAGGCACACTGCAAAACTCAACACACACACACAGTAGCCTTATCCTACACAGATTAGCATAAGCCTTTACAGCCGCCCCAATTGGTGGCGCAGCTTTTCAAAATTTTTGTTATTAAATCTGTATGCTGCCCTTCATCTGTAAGATCTCAGGGCGGTTCACAACATAAAATTACAATACAGTGGTACCTCGGGTTACAGACGCTTCAGGTTACAGACTCTGCTAACCCAGAAATAGTACCTCGGGTTAGCAAAAGTGGTACCTCAGGTTAAGAACAGTTTCAGGTTAAGAACGGACCTCCAGAATGAATTAAGTACTTAACCCGAGGTACTACTGTATATTAAAAATAAATTAAATTAAAAAGGGACAAAAACCAATAATTCCCCCTACAAACAACACATTTCAAAGGGCATTGGATGTTCTGTCAGCCCAAGGCGTGGCTGAAAAGGAACCTTTCCATCTGGCGCCTAAAGATGTATAATGAAGGCACCAGTTGAAACTCCCTGGGGAGAGCATTCCACAAATGGGGAGCCACTGGAGAGCTTCAAGTATTGTGGTCCGCAATCTGGTTGAAAACCTCTCAGCTGAGTTGTGGGGGTGGGTCAGTCTGCACAAATAGGAGTTGGGGGGTCAGGGAGGTTTCCATGGAGGCCCTGGAAGGGGGTGTTGCTGGTTCAGGTGCCAACCAACCAACCGGGCACTGAGCCACCTCCTCGCTCCGTGCTTTTCAGGTGCCTAAACAAACTTCTTTCTGGCTCAAGTCCCTCTGCTGGTAAGGATGACTCATCCCACGTATTCAGGGGCAAAGTTCCCATTCAGAGCCTGTGAACTTCAGGGAGGGACAGGGAAGCAGGGAATCTCTTTGTACTCATCTCCTTCCTTTCTCTCTCATTATTCACAGTGGCCTAATCCTGTGGGGGGTGGGGAGTCACAGTACAGAACCTGACCCACCCATTAAGTGGGCTTCAGTTTGAGAAGCAGCCCAAGAGTTTAGTTTTCTGCCGTTAACGGCAGCTCAGGGCGGCTCAGCCCTGCGATCGGAGAGAGCAAAAGAATGGGTGCATCAGAGTATATGCAAAGTGCCCTTCCACAAACAGCTCCCAGGCATTTGGCAGAGGGAGGGTACCGTTGGCAGGTGTGCTTGAAATTTAACGAGGTTGCAGTTGGCAAAGAGGGATGTCTAGTTGCCATTTGGGGGGCAAGACTGTGGGTCTAAAGGACTGGCTGTGATTGATTCTCAGTTAAACACCTGGCTAGTTCAGATGACAACCTTGAGCTGGGTTAAGAGCTTTGAGAACTTAAAGAAGAAAAGTCACTTGATCCAGGGACAGTCCACATATATATATACTGGCCTATCCTGACCTCTTTTTCTTAATGGTGAGTGTTCCTGCTCAGGCTGCTCACAGAAAGCAATTTGGTTGCAGAAATTCATTCTGACCGAAGAGATAAAACATAACTGGTCGAATTCTACAGAATGGGGTATTAGTGTGTGAAAACAGTCCAGATCCAAAGATCCCCAGATGGGGAAGATATCAGATGCCATCCTGGCTCCAAGGTATCTTCACTTGGTTGCAAGTGGTCAAAAGCCAGGTGATTTAGCTGTGATTCCTGAATTGCAGAGGGTTGGAATAGATGACCCTTCAAACGCTCCAATTCATAGCTGTCAACTTTTCCCTTTTCTTGCGAGGAATCCTATTCGGAATAAAGGAATTTCCCTTTAAAAAAGGGAAAAGTTGACAGCTATGTTCCAAATCTATGATTCTACTATCTATCCCCAAGTTTACATCCAGTCCCAACTGGTTCATCAGTGGTTTCCCTCCACGGGATGCAGCTGGGATGCCTTCAACTTGGAAAGGCAGCCATGCAGTTGTTGTCAACCTGGTGGCTTCCAGATATGGTTGGACTACAACTCCCATCAGTCCCAGCCAGCCAGCTGATGGGAGGTGTAGTCCGACAGATTCTGCAGGGTGCCAAGTTGAAAAGGCCGCTGCTGGGGAGCTCGCAATGCAGAATGAAAGGCACTGTTTTGGCATTGTGAGACGGTGTGGCACAGTGGTTAGAGCGCTGGGCTAGGAGGACCTGGGAGACCCAGGTTCAAATCCCCACTCGGCCACGTCTAGCTCAGCGAGGGTGACCTTGGGCCAGTCACCACCTCTCAAGCTAACCTACACTGCAGGGTTGTTGTGAAGATGAAATGGGGAGACGTTTGTGCGCCACCTTGAGCTCCTTAAAGAGAAAGTGGGATAAAAATGCAATCAGTCAATCATCTTATTATTTATACCCTAGCTAGTGAATCAGGTTCAACAGCACACAGGGATCTGGGTTCAGGTCACCACCTGAACCCCATGGCCTCTCTCTCAACCAATCGTTGAGAGGATAAAATGGGGAGAAGCCTCTGAGGTCTTTGGGGAAAAGAACAAAGGCCCCACCTGCGATATAACATTTAAAACAATGCCATATCGCTTTAAACAGCCATGGCTTACCCTCCCCCAAGAAGTATCCTGGGAAGTGTAGTTCCTTGAGGGTGCTGAGAGTCAGGAGAGACCCGCTGTCAGAGCTACAATTCCCAGAGTTCCATGGGAAGGATTCCCAGCATTCTTTGGGGGAAGCCGTGACTATTTAAAGTCGTATGATACTGCCTGAGATGTACAGAGCACAGGTGGGGCCAAACTTACAACGGAAATAAGGCCTTAAGAAGTAGCTGCTGGAATAGCCTGGCCCAGCCTCCTGCTTCCAACAGCGGCTAGCCGGACGCCTCTGGGAGCCCAGATCTTCCCTCCAACAAAGCTGGCAGGCAGATAAATAGTTCACTGAGGTTGAAAGTCTTAACTGCAGTAGCTGAAAGTGATCAACAGACTTGCCCTCCATCAATTTGCCCAGTCCCTTTTTCGAGCTCCTTGTACTACTGGCCAACCACATCCCGTGGCACGGAATTCTACGTGTTAGATTTATTACTGTATTTACTTGAATTTAATGCCCATCTTTGGGGGGCGGGAGAAATTTAAGTTGCACGTTCGATTCAATGGCACATTTACCGTACATTCTCGGTAGTGGCACCCGCCCTGTGGAACACCCTCCCTCCAGATGTCAAAGAGGAAAACAACTACCAGACTTTTAGAAGACATCTGAAAGCAGTCCTGTTTAAGGAAGCTTTTAATGTTTAATAGATTATTGTATTTTAATATTCTGTTGGAAGCTGCCCAGAGTGGCTGGGGAAACCCAGCCAGATAAGTGGGGTATAAATAATAAATTATTATTATTATTATTATTATTACTACTACTACTACTACTAGCCAGCAAATACTTTTTTGGGTTTCAAGGTTCTGAAAATTGATGTGTTTTGATGGCGCATCAGATTCGTGTAAATACGGTATCTATCAGTGATGTAGCTTAAAGGGGAACCCAGACCTTGGCTCTGAAGGTAAGGAAGACAAGGACAGGGGTAGAGAGCATCTGTCTTGCATGGGGAAGGTCCCTGGTTCATTCTCCAGCTTCTCCAGGTGGGGCTTGGGAATGCCTCTTGCCTGAAAGCCTGGACAGTCGCTGCCAATCCTTGTAGACAATACTGAGCTAGATAGACCAAGGGACTTGGCATCATTATTTATTGCCCTTATCTTACAAGGATCTCAATGTGGTGAACATGGTTTTCCTCCTCCCCATTTCATTCTTACAGCAACCCTGTGAGGTAGGTTAGGCTAAGAGATGGTGCGACTGGTCCAAGGTCATGGCTGAGTGGAGATTCGAACCCTGGTCTTCCAGGTCCTAGTTCGACCCTCTAACCATTACATCACACCGGCGTAATAAACATCACTGTGTCCCTAGAGTAACTGTTTACAGCCCTCTAAGACAGTCAGGTGGGTAACAGACCTATATGTTAAAAACTTGGACTGCTCCAATTATAAAAGCAGAAGTCAGACCGAGATCAAAACAGGTGTGTTTCATTTCCCACAACCATTTCTTTCTCTGCTGCAGCTTGGAACTTAAGAGGAGGAGGAGCACAGATAGATAAACTGGAGGGATGGGGCACTTTCACCCTAAAAAAATCAAAGCCACATTCTAACTCCTTTTGAATGAAACTGGTTAGAACGTTAAAAGCTGCCTTGTACAAAGTCAGACAGCTGGCCCATCCAGTTCAGTATTGTCTGTACCCCCTCAAAACAAGATAAATGCTAGTCCTTGTTATTAAGGTGCTAGTCCTCATGATTGAAAAAGTGGAGCTGAATTAAATAGGAAGCTGCCAGTCAGGCCACTAGTCCACATAGCTCAGTATTATCTACACTGACTGACAGCAGCTCTCCTGGGTTTCTGGTATCGATCCTCTCCCAGCCCAAACGGGAGATGCCATTGGGGATTAAACCAGGGACCTTCTCGCTGCAAGGCAGAAAGATGCTCTAACCACTGAGCTACCCATCTCTTGCCCCTATCACGACTTAATTGAGTGGGTGGGCAGGTGTGATGACCCTGCAGCACTTGAGAGACGCAATGACTCAGTATTAAGTTCTCAAACCTGTCATATGAGAAGGAAAGACAATACCACTGGGGGGAAGAGTCCAAGATGGAACCTGAGGACTCATGATAAGGCGAGAACAAATTAGATACAATTGGGGGTGGGAGGAATTTTGTGAGTGTGTGTGTGATCACACTCACACAGCTTAGCCATTTGGGTTGAGACACACAATTTCATATTTCATTCAGCAAGTGCGGGATGAGCCACCCCAGACAAACCTTGAATACCCATCTCCTCAACCCCCCATGCCACGCTTCTGGGCGTTCACACGTGCAAGCTTAGCAGTCGAGCATCCATGGAGGGCTTGAGCACGTGAATGGGACACCATCCCAGGCAAAGTTCTACACCCCTCCCCACCCACGCGACGTTTTCCAGCGGAACCTGTTCACGGGTTCGGGGGCTTCTACACGGATCACGACGGCTCAGCGCAGGGCAACCGAATGCGCCGAGCCCTCGAGAAAAAAAGCCACCGCGTTCGAGGCAGAGAGAAGAAAGTGTGACCGGCGAGGGTGACGCCGCCGCCCCACCCCCATCCTGTTCACACATGCAAGTCATCACTTGATGCGGCAGCCTTCCACCGCGCGGCCCGCACGTCTGAACCAGGGCCAGCCATCCTAATCCGTGCAGATGCCGTCCGCGCGTCCAACAGCTTGCCCCCCCAACCCCGCAAAGAAACCATATCCTATCATATAAACTCACCCGGATCACCATGACGGACCGGAGTCTTGCTTCTCTCCCCGGATCTGGGCGGGATGGGGAAGACACTCCCCGCGCGGATACACAAACCCAACGTGGACTTTTTTTTTTCCCCGGGGAGGGAGAGAGAAGGGCGGGCGTCGTTCACCCCTCCCCGTCCTTCAAACAACACCAGCCACGCGTCATCGCACCCGGGTTCTCTCGTTTCCCTTTCCCACGTGCGCCTTTCCCTCGCCGGGAACTTTTTTTTTCCCGTTTTTGCGCGCGCGGGCGAAAGGAGAGCCAAGGGCGCACGGAGGGAATTCAAAGACCCCTCGGGGGGCGAAGAGAAGAGAGGGAAGCAGCAGCAGCCTCGGCGACCTGTCTCCAGAGGGAAGGGACAAGCAATCGAGGCTTGGTTGGGGTGGGGGTGGGGGGTCGTCGTCTCCGTTTGGTCGGCCCCCCTCGAGGAAGCGGGAACCTCTCCAAGGCGCAGCGCGCCGTCGGTGGAGGGAAAAGAGCCGCGCAGCAGCAGCAGCAGCAGCAAAGCCGGGAGGAGGAGGAGGTGGAGGCGCCGCCTGCCGCAGGATCCGATCCGAGCCTGCTAATCGCTTGCTGGGAATTAAGCGGCTCAAAGAGGCAAAGGAAGAGGTGGAGCCGCTGGCCCGGCCGGGAGGAAGCTGGAGAGAGGAGCGCGCCTGGGCGCGGCGAGGTTGGGTAGGTGCGCCCTGGCTGGCTACCAGCCTCCCGGGCTCAGTGCCTCCATGACCCCTCCAGCGGCGATGGGAGAGATGGGGGGGTCTGGAGCAGCCCCGGCTGGCCTGCTCCTGCTTCTCCGCCGCCTCCTTCCCGTTGCCGGCGCCTTGATCTCATCCGGATCAGGGACGAAACACGCCCATCCTTCGCTACTGCTGCTCCTCGTCGGGTCACTGCTTCATTTCTCCAGGGAGAGAGAGAGGAGAGGAGAGGTGCCGGGGATTGCCAAGCGCGCGTGACGCAAAGGGCCTGCCCACGCGCAGGCTGAGCTCCGCGTGGCGGGGGCGGAGGGAGGCGCTCTGCACATGCTTAGGAGGCGCTCGCTCTTTCCGAAGAAGGACCCGGCTACTGGATCAAGGCCACAAGGGCCCATCTAGAGTGGCCAAGCAGACGCGTCAATGAGAAGCACTCAAAGCAGGACCGGGGCACAAGAGCGCTCTCCCCTCCTGCTGTTTCCAGGGGGTGGAAGCGTCGCTGCCTCGAGGGCTTCCGAGATACCCTGGGGTGAAGTCCCGCTTCACCTTCTTGGGAGTCCCTCTCTTATGCTTTGGGGGGGGGTAGCAAGGGGGAAGAATAAGGATTTCCTCCACCACCAGCCCCAAATTCTATAGTAAGAGAAATTGGGGCCCAAGGCTACTGGGGAAATGGTGGGTCTCTAACCATAGAGCTCAGGTATGTAGGAGCAAGCTGGCTCTGCCCATAGGGAGGAAAAGCACTCTGTGCAAGCTCAGAAGCCCTTGCTGAGAGTTGAAGGGATGGTATCCTGGTTTGGATCTGCAGTAGGGGAAGTTGCTTTAAATTGCCGGGGGTTTTCTGTTTTCCCAACATTGCGCTTTGAATTTCTAGAACAGAAGATTCACAAAGGGGGAAAGGTTGAGGAAAGAGCACTCTGCACATGCCCAGTGGTTATGGCATTGCCATTACTTCTTTTAAATACAGTCTGGCATTGGAGTTCTTATCTGATCTTTACGCTTTTCCTTGTTTTGTTTTACTGGGTAATTCACTCTGAAGGCACCAACTTAGATGGCTTTGAAAGAGGATTAGGCAGATTGATGGGCAGGAAGGCTATCAATGGCGGTATCCAGGACTGCTCTGCCTCCACAGTCAGAGTCAGTAATCCTTCTGAGCTGGAAACTGCAGGAGGAGAGAGGACTCTTGCACTTGCAGGTTTCCCACAGGCATCTGTCGGACCACTGTGAGGACAGGACACTGGACTAGATAGGCCATTGGCAAAGCTATCCTTGAGTGCAAAAATGCAACTGATAAATCATCTCCATTGATGCAGCCAACTCCTGGTTTAAATAAGAGGATTGCAGCTCCCGTGAAATTTCTGCTTTTATGGCTTAAATCAGCCTTGCCAACCAGGTGCCCTCCAAGTGCTTCAGAGACAGGCTCCCATCACCTCCCAGCTGTGCTGGAGGCCCCCAGAAATGAGGGATCCTGATTTAAGTGTGCTCCACTGCAGCAACCTAGCATTGCAGATCGTCCTCCCAGCTGAGGCCTGGTTCAATGGCGCAAGTCTGCAGGGCTCTGTGCCGGGTTCTCTGTTCCTCTTTGAATCAGGAAGGGGGCGGAGGGCTCTTGTGCTTCCCAATTGCTATGGGAACTCCCTGGGTTTTTTCCCTCGCCCTCTGAGAAACACACAGGCGGAAGAAAGAGAAACAAGGGTTGCTAAGCGGGGTGGGGGTGGCGGGGAAAAGAAAAACATACATCCTCTTTTATTTTCTGCTTGGAATTTGGAAAAGACCCAAATAGGCCTCGAAAGCCACTGCGCCGGGTGTTAAAGAGACAGCAACCTTTTATTTCGCTGCCAATGGCCTGGTTGACATGTGTAAAGGGTGCCCTGCATTCTTCTTGGAGGGGATGCCTGTAGCTCCGTGGTTTGAGCATCTGTTTTGCATGCAGAAGGTCACAGGTTCAATCCCCGGAGCCTCTTGGGAGGTCTGGGAAAGACTCGGGCATCCTGCCAAAATCAGTCCCATGTTCCGAATTCTGAGGACTAAAGTTTTCCCTTATTTTTAAGGGAAGGGTCCTAGCTTAATGGTAGAACATCTGCTCTGTGTGCAGAAGGGCTCAGTTTCAATTACCAGCATCTCTAGGCGCAGCGGGGGGGAGGGGGGTGGCCAAAAAAACAATCCAGGCAAACAATATAGAGGCAGATAGACCAAGGATCTGAGTCATTATATTGAAGCTTCCTATGCTTCTGCTCCCCTTCATGGATCACTGCCTTGTCATGGCAAAGGGGCTTGAATAACTCAGAGAAGCTATGAGCTATGCTGTGCAGGGCCACCCAAGATGGACAGGTCATAGTGGAGAGTTTTGACCAAACGTGATCCACCTGGAGCAGGAACCGGCAAGCCACTTCAGTATCCCTGCCAAGAAAACTCCATGGACAAAGAGAACAGGCATATAAAAGTTATGATGCTGGAAGATGAGCCCCTCAGGTTGGAAGACGTCCAACATGCTACTGAGGAAGAGTGGAGGACAAGTAGATTCAGAGCTGATGAAGCAGCTGGGCCAAAGCCGAAAGGACGCTCAGTTGCGGATATGCCTGGAAGCCAAAGGAAAGTCCAATGCTGTAAAGAAAAATATTGCATAGGAACCTGGAATGTAAGAACCATGAACCTGGTTAAGTTGGATGTGGTCAAAAATGAGACGGCAAGAATAAATATTGACATCCTGGGCATCAGTGAACTAAAATGGACGGGAATGGGCGAATTCAGTTCGGATGACCATCATATCTACAACTGTGGGCAAGAATCCCGTAAAAGAAATGGAGTGGCCCTCATAGTCAACAAAAGAGTGGTGAAAGCTGTACTGGGATGCAGTCTCAAAACAACAGAATGTTTCTGCTGAATCAGCCCATATTCTGAATCCTGAGGACTAGAATCTTACTTTAAGGCTCATAGCTCAGTGGTAGAACATATGCTTGGCATGCAGAAGGTGCCAGGTTCAATCCCATGTAGGTCTGAGAGGCTCTTGCTTGAAACCCTGGAGAGCCTCTGCCAATGAGTGCAGGCAGTGCTGAGCTAGGTGGACCAATGGCCAGACTCAGTGTCCGGCAGCCTCCTCTGCTCCTATTTATTTATTTCTAATAAAAGTATTTATAGATCACCCTTTCAGAAAACAGCAGGGTGGCAGGAGAACATTTAAAAAAAATCATTAAGAGCAGTACAGAACAATCATTAAAATGCCTGGCTGTTCAAGGAGGTTTTTAAATGCAGAGAGGCCTGTCGGAATAAAGAAAACTTCTTTCTTTCTTTTCTTTTTTGGTTGGGTTTCTGCATTTATCATCCTCCTGGCAGGCAGATATTCAGCAGGTGGGGAGGATTTCTTTTTAATGTTGTTGTCGGAATGTTTGCGGTTGCTGATAGCTTCCATTTGATCATTGTAAGAATGGATTGCTTTGAAGTCATTTCCACACCAGGGAAAGTCATATAAAGGCTCCCAATTTCCACCCCCTTTATTTTGCTTGACCTGTCCCGTATTTTGCCCAACCAAAGGTGGCAACTCTACCTGAAGCATCTCTGCTGGAAGAGTCTTCCACAGCATGGAACTGGTTACTGCAGTGTATTGGATTCCTGGATGAGGCTTGCTGAGCATCTCTTACCGTATTTTTTGCTCTATAGGACGCACCAGACGATAAGACGCACCTAGTTTGGGGAGGGGGGGGTGGAAACAAGAAAAAAAAAAAATCTGAATCCCAGAAGCCAGAACAGCAAAAAGGATCTGGCTTCTGGGATAGCCTCTTGCTGTTCTGGCTTCTGGGATCGCCGCTGAAGCCTCTCCCAGGCAGAGTGATGAAGGCTCCCCCTGCCTGGAAGAGGCTGCGCGCGGGTAAGCTGCCCTTTGTACCTTGTCCCATCTCCTGCAAGAACTGCGTGCTCTTTAAAGGGAGCCCGGTTCTTGGGGGCTTTTCTGGGAGGTGGGGGAAGGGACAGCCGCACTCTGGGAGGTGGGGGAAGGGACAGAGCCCACCACGTCCCACAAGAGCCGCGCGAAGCCTCCGCAGGGCAGCGGGGAGCCTTCGTCCCACTGCCCTATGGAGGCTTGCGGGGGCTATCCAAAAGCCAGAATAGCTAGAGGGAGTGCTGCGCAGCGCTCCCTCTAGCTGGTCTAGCTTTGCGCGAAGCCTCCGCAGGGCACGGGGAGCCTTCATCCCCATGTCCTGCGGAGGCTTCTGGGACTGCCCACAAAGCCTCTGCAGGGCAGCGGGGTGCCTTCATCCCGCTGCCCTGCGGAGGCTTTGCGCAGCTAAGCCGGAAGCTAGAACAGCGAAAGGGAGTGCTGCGCAGCAATCCTTCTCCCTGTTCTGGCTTCTGGCTTAGTCACGCAACCTGCATTCACTCCATAAGACGCACACACATTTTCCCTTTTTAGGAGGGAAAAAGTGTGTCTTATAGAGCGAAAAATACGGTAACATGGGGGAGGCCAACTAACTGTGCTTCTCCAGAGGATCTCAGTGATGGAGCTGAGACATGAGGTTTCCGGCGGTCCTTAAGGTATCCTGAACCCAAGTTGTTCAGGGCTTTGTGTAGCAACACAACTTCTTTGAATCTGGCAGGGTAAGAGATGAGCAACACGTGGCCTTTTCGCTGCTCATTAAAAGCTGATTTTGGTTAGGGGAAGTCCATAGTTTCTCAAGCAACACACTCACAGGACCCAAGAATGTCACACAATGCCAGGGGGCTCGCTCACCCGCCGACATGAACTGTGCCACCACCATCTGCCAAAGATGCCCTTCTGGATTTCTCACACAGGCAAAGAAGCCCGTCTCTATGCTAAAGAATAAATGCTGCCATCGTGATGCCGTTGTACAAATTTATGGCGCGGCCACATTTCGCCTGCAGATCTCACAACATAAAAATGCAATGTAAAATTACAAAATATATGAACAAAAAAAGCAATAACCCCCTTCTAGGGGAAGAGTTGGAAAAGGTTCAGACAGGGGCAACCCAAACGATCAAGGGAATGGAGAGACTCCTCTGAGAAAAGGTTGCAGAGACTCCTCTGAGAAAAGGTTGCAGATTTTTTAGTTTGGAGAAAAGTTTAATAATAATAATAATAATAATAATTATTATTCATTATTTATACCCCACATATCTGGCTGGGTTTCCCGAACCACTCTGGACGGCTCCCAACAGTATTAAAAAGCCGATAAAACATCAGTCATTTAAAAACTTCCCTGAACAGGGCTGCCTTCAGATGTCTTCTAAAATCAGATACAGTGGTACCTCGGGTTAAGTACTTAATTCGTTCTGGAGGTCCGTTCTTAACCTGAAACTGTTCTTAACCAAAAGCACCACTTTAGCTAATGGGGCCTCCTGCTGCCGCCGCGTGATTTCTGTTCTCATCCTGAAGCAAAGTTCTTAACCCGAGGTACTATTTCTGGGTTAGCGGAGTCTATAACCTGAAGTGTCTGTAACCTGAAGCATCTGTAACCCGAGGTACCACTGTAGTTGTTTATCTCCTTGACATTTGAGGGGAGGGCATTCCACAGGGCGGGTGCCACCACCGAGAAGGCCCTCTGCCTTGTTCCCTGTAACCTCACCTCTGGCAGTGAGGGAAATGCCAGAAGGCCCTCGGAGCTGGACCTCAGTGTCCGGGCTGAACGATGGGGGTGGAGACGCTCCTTCAGGTATACTGGACCTTGGCTGTGCCACATTTGCACCAGCTGCTGCTGCTGAGTACACAGGTCTAGTATCACAAGGTGTGTTGGATACTGAAGGTCAGAGATGGGTGGTGGTGTCAATTCAGCACGCTTGCCATCTGTGGTAAAGAGAAGGTTCAAATAAAGGACATCCCCCAGCTAGGTGGAGAGAGGACCTTGCCCTTTCTGGTTATTGATCAGACAGGAGAGATTAAGGGCATGGCCCGGGGCAGTGGGCATGAGCTGCCTTTCTCTGGAAAGGAAACAAAGCAAAGACGCCTCCCTATTTGCACCCAGAGTCACAGAATTGTGAATTGGAAGGAACCACGAGGGTCATCTAGGTCAACCTCCTGCAATGCGGGAATCCTTTGCCCAATGTGGGGCTCAAACCCACAACCCTGAGTTTAAGAGTCTCATGCTTTACTGACTCAGCTATCCCAGCTTTCTGTTGTTGTAATAATAATAATAATAGGACGCGGGTGGCGCTGTGGGCTAAACCACAGAGCCTAGGACTTGCCGATCAGAAGGTCAGCGGTTCGAATCCCCGCAACGGGATGAGCTTCCATTGCTCGGTCCCTGCTCCTGCCAACCTAGCAGTTTGAAAGCACGTCAAAGTGCAAGTAGATAAATAGGTACCGCTCCAGTGGAAAGGTAAATGGCGTTTCCGTGTGCTGCTCTGGTTCGCCAGAAGCGGCTTAGACATGCTGGCCACATGACCGGAAGCTGTACGCCGGCTCCCTCGGCCAGTAAAGCGAGATGAGCGCCGCAACCCCAGAGTCGGCCACGACTGGACCTAATGGTCAGGAGTCCCTTTACCTTTACGTAGTAATAATAATAATAATAATAAACCACTAACATACAATAACCTATTAAACATTAAAAGCTTCCCTAAACAGGGCTGCCTTCAGATGTCTTCTAAAAATGGTGCAGTTATTTATCTCCTTGACATCTGATAGGAGGACATTCTACAGGGAGGGTGCCACCACCGAAAAGGCCCCCTGCCTGGTTCCCTGTAACTTGGCTTCTCGCAGCGAGGGAACTGCCAGAAGGTCCTCGGTGCTGGGCCTCAGTGTCCGGGCAGAACGTTGTAAGAATAAAAGAGCCCTCCTGGATCCAGCCAATGGCCCATCTAGTCCAGCGTCCTGTTCTCATGGTGGTTAACCAGATGCCTGTGGGGAAACCTGCAAGCTTCCAGCAACTGGTATTCAGAAGCATTACTGCCTCTGACTATGGAGGCAGAGCACAGCCATCTTGGCTGGTAGCACCCATTGATAGCTTTCCCCTCCATGAATGTGTCAATCCCACTTTGGGCCAAGTTAGTGACCATCCCTGCCTCCTGTGGCAGTGAGTTCCGCAGTTCTTGCTCCCCTGAATCTTCCCACATTCAGCTTCCTTGGATGCTCCCATGTTCCAGTGTTATGAGAGGGAGGAAAACATTCCTCTGTCCACTTCCTCCATGTCGTGCCTCAGTTTGTAAGCTACTATCATGTCTCCTCTTACTCTTAGCAAAACCATATAACACCACCCCTGAAAGACCTACATTGGCTCCCAGTACATTTCCGAGCACAATCCAAAATGTTGGTGCTGACCTTGAAAGCCCTAAACTGCCTCAGCCTAGTATACCTGAAGGAGCATCTCCACACCCCACACCCCCCATCATTCAGCCCACACACTGAGGTCCACCTTCGAGGGCCTTCTGGCAGTTCCCTCAGGGAAGTTCTTAATGTCTGATGTTTCACATTTTTTTTATGTGCTGTAAGCCGCCCGGAGTGGCTGGGAAAACCCAGCCAGATGGGCGGGGTATAAATAAGTTGTTGTTGTTGTTGTTGTTGTTGTTGTGAACCTCGATCAGCCCTCACTTACCTGTCTTCCTGCTTACACCCAGTCCAGGAGGTGATAGTGGCTGTCAGTTTCTTCCTGCTCCTTTGTCTTATTTTGTCCTTTGTAGAATTCAACAGGTAAGAGGAGGATGTGGACAATACAATTTTATTTATTTATTACATTTATATCCCACTTTTTCCTCCAAGGAGCTCAGGGTATCACACACAAATGTATTTCTCCTCCTCTAGTCCCTACAACAGCCCTGTGCGCCAGGTTAGGTTGAGGCACAGTGAGAGGCCAAAGCTGAGCTTCATGGCCAAGTGGGTCTTACCTTCTGAGAGAGAGGGAAGGATCCTGCACACTGTCCCGCAACAGACAGACAGACAGACAGACAGACAGAAACACGTTCTCCTCAGTGCCAAAATAAATACTAAATAATTTAAGCTGCTTTAATATATTTCTTTCACATCGTCTACAGTCCTTTAATAATTTAGCGCAACCTGTAATGGAAGCTGCATGGAGAGGTAAGCCAATCCGTTCCAGAAGATCCGTGTTGATGGAAGAATGGGCAAGCTTTCGAGTTCACACAGGGTGCTTCATCTTTCAGGGAGGAAAGGAGGCGATCTCCTCTATGAACCAGTGATGATGCTGTTCACTAATGCAATGATTCTCGACCCTAGTGCCAAAAGGGTCCGAAGAAATTGAGTAAGATCTAGGTACCTTCTCAATATCTGTAAATCCAGTCCTGTGAAGCCAGTGTGGCCTGGCGGTTAGAGTGTTGGATTAGGACCTGGGAGACCAGGGTTCAAATTTACACTCAGCCATGAAGCTCACTGTGTGATCTGGGGCCAGTCACTGCCTCTCAACCTGACCTACCCCACAGGGTTGTTGTGGGGATTAAACAAGGAGAGGGAGAACCATGTACCTTGAGCTTGGAGAAAAAGGTGGACTATAAATGCATTTTTTTAAAAAAATCTATAATTCAAGAAAAGCTGGGAGTATAGTGGCAAATCCAGAAATGCAGGATCCGTTTTGTGATAATCATAAGCACACCCCCTTCTAAGAATATACTACCTAAGATTGTAAAATAATAATATAATCTGATAATCATAATAATTAGGGTGGCATTGCAACTGTCAATTCATGTACAGACATACCTTGGAAGTTGAACGGAATCTGTTCCGGAAGTCCGTCCGACTTCCAAAACGTTCGGAAACCAAAGCGCGGCTTCTGATTGGCTGCAGGAAGCTCTTGCAGCCAATCGGAAGCCGCGGAAGAATGTTCGGCTTCCAAAAAAAGGATGGATGTTTGGCTACCAAAACAAACATTTGGAAACCGGAACACTCATTTCCGGTTTTCAGTTGTTCGGGAGCCGAAACATTCAGCAACTAAGCCATTCAAGGTCCAAGATGCCTTTTAGCTACATCCACTATTTTCTGCGCACGTAGATGGGCAAATGATTTGGAGTGTTCCAATGCCTTTTTTCAGAGTGACTCGAGTTGTGTTTTTCTTGAACTTCCATTGTACACAACAGAACTTGCACCCCGTTGTCTTGAAACTAGAGAACCCTGTGTTTTCAATGTTTCTAAATTGATCAGTCCTGCTCACTTTCTCGAGATTGACCCTAGGAACACTCTTCTTCAAGAGCAGACTCACAGCCTTTTAGCTCTGGTTGTTCCAATCAGCGCAAAGGGTGATAAGGCTTTGTGGCTTAAATGCTCCCCTTACGTGCTGATTGGATGTCTCTAGGTACCTGGAGATCCTAGGCCACTACACCTCTGGGGTTAGCCAACACAGTACCCACCAGAAATTGTTGGAATACAACTCCCATCAGGCCCAACCACCCTGGGCAAAGGTCAGGGATGTAATAAACGAAATCTGCCCTTATTCCCTTATGGGGGACACAAGAGCCCTAATGGAGTCCTTTGTAGGTTCTCTATTGGCAGGAGAAAATAACAGAGGCCAACCAGAGAATATTGAGAAGCAAAGCAGCTAGTAAGCCTGCTCTTTATTGAACTGTTGCAACAGGGTGCTCCCATCACACGCAGGAAAGGAGGAGGACCCAGAACCAAGGTGTGCCTGCCCTTATATAGACATTTTAAATTGCCTTCCCTGGAGCTCATGACCACCCCACCATACATCACACATAGATCACAGAAGTGGTGTAGCCCAAGACCACCCCCCAGATATATCATACCTGCATCACAGAAAAGGCAATCTACAACAGAAATTTGAATGATTTTGTTTTTCCTGTCTGCCAGGTTATCTGATAATGCCTTATCTGATTGCTTTTCCTGGTAGTCTGGCCATTCCTTTGAGATGGTGATTACACAATTCCTGAGACAATGGGAAGGTTTCCTCACACACACCCCTCCTTGCAGAGAAACACTTGGTCAGTTTGGGAGTCAAAATGGTTTCAGGGCGGTCTTCCTATGCTGCTCCAGACATGTGGTCCACATATCGATGTACGTGCTTGGTTGGTACATTTATGAACATTATACACACACACACACACACACTGTGGGTTAAACCACAGAGCCTAGTACTTGCCAATCAGAAGGTGGCGGTTCAAATACCCGTGACGGGGTGAGCTCCCGTTGCTCGGTCCCTGCTCCTGCCAACCTAGCAGTTCGAAAGCACGTCAAAGTGCAAGTAGATAAATAGGTACCGCTCTGGCGGGAAGGTAAACGGCGTTTCCATGCACTGCTCTGGTTCGCCAGAAGCGGCTTAGTCATGCTGGCCACATGACCCAGAAGCTGTACACTGGATCCCTCGGCCAATGAAGCGAGATGAGCGCCGCAACCCCAGAGTCGGCCACAACTGGACCTAAATGGTCAGGGGTCCCTTTACCTTTACCTTATACAGTGATACCTCGGGTTACAGATGCTTCAGGTTACATACGCTTCAGGTTACAGACTCTGCTAACCCAGAAATAGTGCTTCAGGTTAAGAACTTTGCTTCAGGATGAGAACAGAAATCGTGCTCCAGCGGTGCGGCAGCAGCAGGAGGCCCCATTAGCTAAAGTGGTGCTTCAGGTTAAGAACAGTTTCAGGTTAAGAACGGACCTCCAGAACAAATTAAGTACTTAACCTGAGGTACCACTGTATAACCTTAATTTTTTTATTTCAGGGAAGATGGAAGTTGTAGTCCAGCAGGGTTTTTGTGGGGATAACATGGCAAGGGGGAGAGCAAACATCCCCCATGAGCGGCAGGCCCTCCTCTTTCCAACTGCTTTCCACTCTCTGTCTCCAGCTTCAGACAAACGGGTGGTGACCTCATCCTGCCTGTTGCACAGCAGAGTTGGCCCGGGATTTGTCAGCGGCTGAGTCATGACCTCATTGGCTCAGTCTGAAGGTTTGAAACAAAACAAACCCTGGCTGAACAAAGCCGGAGGAATATGAGGCCCGGATACTAGGAAGGAAGAAATCAGCTGGCGTCCTCCCCTGCCCTTCCGGCAAGTCACAAGCAGCCTTCCCCAACATGCCGCCCTCCCTCCATGCTTTGGACTACAACTCCCATCAGTCCCCAGCTAGCGCAGCCATGGGGCACTAAGGCTGGCTGGGGCTGATGGGAGATGGAGTCCAGGACGTAGTTTCCCAGACCATGAAGACAGGGCTGTGT